CCCGGTCGCGCTTGAGCTTTCCTTGGGCTGCTTCTGGCATTTCATGTTCTGCTTGCACTATATCTTCACGGATAGGACCAACAATTGGTACGGCAGTACCATGATCCGCAGCGGATCGTATCATCGAGCAACAAGATTGCCGAGTCTCGCCTCACTGGTACGCAAGCGAACCTTGCTAAAGGATTGTGAAACAGGGGATGGGCCAGCGGGGGACGCCGAGGTAGAATTCTCGTGTAGATTGACCACGCACCTCACCACTTCGTTGACTTGGCGATGGCTGGTCCGTGCAGATGCGCGCCCACAGACGCGTTTTCGCCGGTCCCACTCGAACCCTGAGCCGGTGCAGTTTGATGCCACGCCGTTTTTGAGGTCGGGCGAGGACGCACGCCGCTACGTGCGTGCTCCCAATGCCACGCTCAAGGAGGCCCTGCGCAATGTGCCTTTGTCAGTAATCAGGCGCTGGTGTCGGGACGACAACCTCATTCGATCGAGAAGGGGCTGCGAGGTGACTCACGGGATTTTTGCGGGCTGCTAGGCATCTTGGTTTCAACATTGAGGTCAAGTACCCGCTGCGCGAGTCACAGGATCAGTGGCAAATGCACCAATCAGATATCAACACGTTTCTGGATGCCATGCTGGACGTGGTGATGGCGCACGCAGGCTCGCGCAACATTGTGTTCTCCAGCTTTCATCCCGACATTTGTCGGGCACTGACACTGAAGCAACCGCACTACCCCGTGCTCTTTCTCACTTCGGCGGGTTTCGAGGAACGCTTTGACAATCGCTGGACCAACTCGCTGCGTGACGCCATTCGCTTTGCAGCCACCTATGGCTTGATTGGCATTGTCACCTATGCCGAGCCCATCATCCTCTGCCCCGAGCTTGTGCGCCAAGTCAAGGCTGCAGGTTTGTGTTCCCGCCCGTCTGACTTGTGCCATTGCCTTGCGTCTTGCGCTCATTTGGTGCCTTCATGGCGGTCTGCGTCAGGTTTGCTTTTGTTGACGTGGGGCCGTCAAAACAACAATCTCGAGTATTGTCGACTGCAGGAGGCGTGTGGTGTCGATGCGGTGATTACGGACCACGTGGCTCACATCCGAAAGGGCCTGCTGCCCCGCGAGAGCGCCAGCGATGCTGGCTCGACCTGAGTCCCTGCCAAACACCTTCCCTATCGGCGTGCGTGGTGTTTTTTGTTTTTTTTTCTTGACTTGGTCAACAGTGTCTCTCATCTTGTTTTCTGTTTTTGTTTTTTGTTTCTCCTGTCATTGCTGTCCATTGCAGTCCCGACTGGGCTTTTTTTTGTGTCAGAGCCTCCTGAACCTTTCCAACATCGTCTCGAGTGTGTTTCGACTCTTTGTGTATTTCTTTCAATCTTTGCCGTCTGGCCTTCAACTGAATTGCAAGGTGCTTCCCTCCTGTCCCGGCCCGGTCCTATTAGGACAGCGACGCGAGGCCACACCACTGTTTGCGTTGAGGGGCTGCACCACCATTTGCGGCATGGACTCTGCCCATGGCACTTCAGCTCGGCTTTTTTCTGACAAATGATCTGACATTTACGGGATTTCAAGTTGTGGCGGAATTGGCGTAGAGGCAAACATCCTATCAACAGAGTGGCAAAAATTTATTTTATATAATTCATATTTTTGCAATCAACCGCAAGCGCCCTGTTCCCCTCAACATTCCGTCGCCATCAACGTTACACACACACACACACACCCTTGGAGTTGTTGGTGGGGTTTGGCTTCTATTTCTTTTGTTTGTGAAACGAGGCACAAGGCTTTTGTGGCGTGTCCTGGCGCGTTTGGCAGACGACCCCCGAGCGCAAACGGCAGCGCGGTCGGTCCTGCGCCCGACCTTCCTTTCTGCATCCCTGGCGCCGTTATGTCATGCCGCAAGCCAGCATGAGCCTGCTCAACGATGAGGCTGCCATGCATTTGGCCGCGCAATGGTACGTTGTGCTGTGAGGGGGAACAGCTTGGCCCTTCTTCCAATTGTCATCTTTTCCGCCTCTCTCGTCTCTCTTCTCTCTCTTCGTCTCTCTCTCTTACATACGCTTCACAACGACACAGGTACAACCGCTCTGGACCGTTTGCTGGGACGTATGTCATGCAGCCGCTGCGAGCTTGGCGAGCCAAGGATCTGAGCTACTGTATCCGCTTTCGGGTGCGTACTTCTTGATGGATCACCTGGGAGACTTGGATAACATGCTTGCCTCCACAGGCCCGTGTACCCTGGTTGGCCGTGGCCGCTGCCAAACACCACACAAAGGGCAGCCATCCTGGCTTGACTTTTGAAAGTTTTGCTTGAAAGCAAAAACTTGAAAGAGAGAGAGAGAGAGAGAGAGAAAGGAAGCAAGAGAGCAGCCTTTCGTACCCGATCGAGCACCGTTGTCTCTTGGCCTCACAGCAGCGCATCATCGGCCGCGTGCAGGTGGAACCGGACGTGGGTAAGATCTACCACCGACAATTCAATTTTGCCCAGACCGAGGCAGAAGACGAGGCCTTTTCAGTGACTGGATGGTCCGAGGAACTGCAGCTCCCCCCAGGTGAGAAGGTGTCGAAGGTCTCACCAGAGCCGGGGTACTGCTGTCGTCCGACCCTCATGTCCTTAATTTCATGCTTGTACCAGGCGCCAGCATTCAGGACGGCATGGATATGGATGATGATGACTCGGACCTTGACGTGAACGAGATGCAGGACGAACTGGCTGGCCTGCAGGATTCAGAGGACGAGGATGAGGTGGGTGGTGACCCCGCCTGCTTGTTTGTATGCAGCCCCTTCTCACTCACACACACCTCATTGCTGGGTGCCGTGCTCACGATTCTGCATCATGATGGTCACATAAGGCTGCCCTTGCGGCTCTGCGGGCGCGGCTTGATGCAGCTCATGCTGCCGAGCAAGCCGAGGCTGCCAAGCCGGTACGATCTCGCGAGTGTTTGAATGATGCAGCCGGAACGGGTGGGCAGCATGTGGTTCACATAAAATCTCACGCACCGTCAAATAGACTCCCTCGGGTCTGCCTGATCCCCATCCCGACCCTCAAGTGCCAAGCACAGAACCCATGACGCCGGAGCAGGCCTGTCAACTCGCAGCGCACTGGTTCGTGTCTGCATCTTTGCTCGTGGTGGCAACTTGACTTGTTTGCTTTGGCACCTGGCATTTTCTTCTCTGATACATGTCTCAATCCCTGCGCAGGTATGATAGCTTTGGACCTTATCGTCACATGTACCGACTCAAACCTGTCAAGGCCTTTCAAAATTCACCTTCCGAATTTTCTGTCCGCTTCAAGGTACCATCACTGCATCTCACTTCCCACCACGCCCTCTCCATCACAACCTCGCGCCATGTTCTGCGTCCTCTGTGCACACACATGCCACGCGCACCCCGGATACTTACGTGGCTGCCTAAATCAAATCATTCTAGGTGGAGCCTGATACAGGCTTTCTTTACTTTCGTCGTTTCAAATTTGGCACTTCGGAAAGCGAACTTTGGTATTGCCAGTCGTGGTCTGAAGACCCTGCCATCCCAGATGGTGTTGACTACGCTGACCTGATTGAGCCCGATCAACTCGATCAAGAAGAATCAGAGACAGATTCTGACGACGAGGATGACGAGGGTGACGTGCAAGCTGAGCACGGTTCCACTGCGGGAGGACGCGATGGCCTCAAGCGGCCACACACGCGCCACAATGACAGCGACGATGAGCAGGATGAGCTAGCAGCCTTGCATGCGGTGAGCTTGCTGTTTTGCACACGGTGTGGAGTACGCTCTATGTCGTGCAATCTTACAATTTTTCCACATTTATAGGATGCTGAGGAGGACATTGAAGCCCTTCGCGCCAAGTATGGCTATGGGGTAGTAAATAGTGAGCATGCCGCCGCCAGCCACGAGTCTGTTGCCCCCTCATCCACCTCGGGCGAGCCGCGCCCTAAGCGCGTACGCGTTGGTCCGCACGCCACCGAGACCACCGTGGCCCCGTCAACGGATGGCTCGCTCACTGCCAGCGCAAGCGCGACAGACTCTGGCAGCAAGGCTACCGATAAGACCGAATCGCTACGCGAGGGTAATGGAACACTGGAGGCCTCGTCTGCAGTCAAGGACCCAGCAGAGGAACACTCGCTCGAGGGGGCCATGCAGAAGCCTGCACGTGCGGCGACCCAGAACGCTGATCTCCAAGATGATGACGAGGACGACGATGACGATGATGATGACGAGTTTGACCCCACTATTGGTGAAACGGCACACATGGCCGATTACTTTCGCACTGCCATTGCTGAAGGCCTTGAGTTGGACCTGCCCACAGGTCCAGCCAAGCACGTTGAGGTGCGGGTTTTTGTTTTTTTGTTTTTTTTTGTTTTTTTTTGTTTTTTGGTTTTTTGGTTTTTTTGGTTTTTTGGTTTTTTTGGGTTTTTTTTTCCTTTTCGTTTGCTTTTTCTCCTTGACTAGGCTCTGAATGACTCGCGGTCTCGCATGAATGGCTCCGTCTATCCCCTTGGGCTCATGACCTTGGTTGTTGTGTTCTCTTCCTGGGTGTGTCTTGTCTTGTCTTGACAGTCGCGAACGGGTGTCGAATACCAAGCTGTTGTGCCTCCCTTGGACGTGCCCAACTGCGTCGACAAGCGATTCCTTGAACTTTCCACGCCCACGTGGCTTCCACGAGAGCTTGGTGCGCTCTCAGCTTGGCAGTCCATGGAGCCGCATATGCGCCGTCCGAAGCTCATGGCCCTCCGCATTCTTCGCCTCTTTAGATCAACAAGCTTTGGATGCTTTTCTGCGCCTGGCGCGTGCTGGCAAAATGCGGTCTGATGAAGCAGCGTGGATTGCGCTGCGCGTGCTAACCGAGCAGCAAGGTGATTTTGAACTAGCCAAGGCTGCCCTTGGACCCGCGTTGGTAAGTGTTTCGTGTATGGCTGCGCAAGTACTTGGCTGTGGTGACTGCATGCCACGACCGAGCACAGTCTTCACGGGCTCATATTGTTGCCACCTGCTTGTCCTGCGAAACAGCGGGCTGATATGCCGCGCGAGTTTACCTTCCATGAACTGGACATGTTTGAGATTGGTCTCAGTGCGTTTGGCAAGAACTTTCCAGCCATACAGCGCCGGGTGCGTCATGCCTTGTCCCTCGCTTTGGGCGTCGACGTGGTATCCACCGCCAAACACAACCTTTTGTACGCATGTCTTACATGAATACACTGCCTGCGGTTGCACATTTGACTGCGCTTTGCAGTATTTAAGCCATCGAAGCGTTCGCGAAGTGGTGCGATGCTATTATGACTGGAAGAGAACGCCGCGCTATGACCTATGGGTCATGGTCAGTGGTTTCCACGGTGAACAGCGGTACGAACTCGTGACCCGCATGTCGCCTCCAACCGAGGCACTGATTGAGCAGATTGCTGAGAGCGTCGAACGGAGCCGTTCGCCTCACGCTCTGCCCTCGAACTTGACTTTGGGTGACGCAACGCTTGAGACAGCTTCTGAGTGGGTGGCATCAGCTGACACCCTCACTGCCGCAAGTGATCAGACTTCAGGAGCACCTGATCCGGCCAAGGCGACGTTGGCAGTAACGGCCGGCCTGCTCTCTTCGCCGCGGCACAACACTGGAGACGCTGATGTGGATATTGACTTTTTGAGTCCCATCAAGGACCTTGAGTCCATAGCCGGTTCATTGGCGAGCGAGCCTCACATGTCTTTGTGAGGCAGCAATGTTCATGATGTCCTTTTGGTTGAGCCCGGGTCTGATGGACCCGAGCTAGGATGCGGCGTATGTACAGGTGTACAGGGGGCGACCTTGCAGCTTATTAGCCACTGTCGTGGTCGACCCTTCCTAGGCTCAGGTGTTTTCGTGTTAGATGATTTATGATTTGCTTTGGTTTCGCTTAGTATCTGCCCTTTCTATCCGTCTTTATCCCTGCCCAGGTGTTTCCTTGCGTGTTTGTTCTTGTCATATCCTCGTTTGCTTGTTTATTTCCTTTTTTTTTCTCCCTCTCCCTCTACTCTTTGCGAGCCTGGTGCTCCGCAATGCCATTGGGCCCTTGCATCAGGGTCTATCCACAGGCCTTCTTGACCTGGGCATTGATGATTGACTCGTTGCCGCTGAGCGGTCTGAAAGTATCCAATTCATCCCTGAATTTTATTCATCCATATAGGTATGACAAACACTGTGCAAACTGTGAACTGTCAATTTTGTGGCCGCAGTAATTCAGGCACCATATCAGGGACTGATCCGCCTTGACCAGACATGAGTCGCTTCACCGTGTGCCTGATGCTCCTCCAAGGGAGAAGCAAGGTCATCGCGTTGCACGGCACCGCTCAAAGGGCACCACGTCGGTGCAGCAACCCCGCAGGTGGCTATCGCGGCTTTACTCGTTGACCTTGTTAAAGTACTTGGCCTTCTTGGCGGGATGGGGCACAATCTATCAAGAGAGTTGCATGGGTATGGTAAGCGGGGGAGATGATAGAAAAAAATACGGTTACGTCCAGTGTCCTTCAACCGGCCACGTAAACACCATCTTCAAAGCAACCAACCGTATCTGCGCCGGGGGTCCAGTTGGCCGGGCAGACTTCGCCATGCTTGTCGGTAAACTGGAAAGCTACATGTTCATTCGGCCGTGAAAAGTTGGCGACCGCATGAGACACTTGACGATAAGCACGATATACGCGTGGGGAGAAAGACATGTAGACATGAAGCGGCGTGTTCTTACCCTTGACGAGACGCAAGACTTCATCGACATTGCGGCCGACGGGAAAGTCGTTCATGGTGATGTTGCGAAGGATGCCCTTGTCATCGATGATGTACAAGCCACTGCAGCAGCAAGAAAATGGGTATAATATCCAGGTGAGACAGAAGTCAAGGGCAGGCCATGTGCAAGGGCAATAGCCAGGACATACCGCAGGGCACAACCTTCCTCCTCGACGTAGCAGCCGAGAGCCTTTGTGAAAGTGTGAGCCTTGTCGGCGAACATGGGAATGGACATGGGGGCGAGGCCACCGTCCTTGCGGGGGTGCTGGGCCCAGGCCAGATGAGAGAACTCGCTATCGATCGATCCAACAATGACCTCACAGTTGGCATCGCGGAACTCCTGGACGCGATCGTTGAAGGCCAGAATCTCCGTGGGGCACACGAACTATCCACAAGAACATGCACATCAAATCAAGAAACCGTGAGCAGTCGCCGGCTTGTGGCTGTGGGCGTGGCGGGGGCTTCAGCGAGGTTGCTCAGCACCCAAGCAACGTACGGTCCAGTCAAGAGGGTAGACGGCAATGACAAGATACTGGAAGTTGGGATACGTTGAGCCATGATGAGGGGTGAGATGAGATAGTGCGCAGTCCGAGGCAAGCAAGGTGCGCTGAGTGCGGGCGGGGTGGGGGGCTGGAGATGGTAAAGCAGGACTCGGGTCAAAGTTTGCGCTGTACCTTGCCCTTGAATTGCTCAAGGCTGATCTCGCCCACTTCGGAGCCGTTGAGGCAAGCGGGGAGCTTGAAGTCTGGGGCGGGCTTGCCAATGCGAGCAGTGGGGACGACCGACATGTTGATGGTTGAAGAACAGCTGCGAGCAAAAGAAACCGCAAGGCAAGTCGAATCAGGCTGCGCGCAACCGTGCACCATACTCCATCTCCTCACTGGCTGGCCGTCATGACATCCGCTGTCATCAAAAAAAAACACCAAGAAAAAAGGAGGTAGAGGCACGCAATATACAGGAGACCGCCGCGAGCCAATCCGGGCTCTAGTTGCTAGCAGCTGACAGCCCGAGTAGCCCGAGCAGGCGCCCGAGGAGAGGCAACCCCGTCATCTCGTCACTGCTGACCTGAACACGAGGAGACGGGAAAGAAAAAAAAAAATGGATGATGCGCGCAAACGAGAGAGTGATGTCAGTGAGAGAGATGTGGATACAGGTGTTGACGCAGCAGGGAACGAAGAAGATTAGAGATCAGAAGCAGAGATACAGCACTGAAATGGAATCTGTTACCTTTTGAACTCAAGCCAAAGGAAGAGATGTGACTTCACACATGCTGATAGCAAGAGAGAGGAGCGCCATTACTCTTTCCGGTGAGAGAAGATGAGAATGATGACAATCCGGAAAGAAAGAGCAAGAAGCGTTTTTGGCGCCGAGACAAGACGACACGTGGACATGTGGTAGCATCTTGTTTTACTTTGAGGAGTGGTGTTTTAAACATGATAACGGTTAAGGCGCAGAAGTCTGACAATCATTGCACTTTTCGGCATTGCGGAGATCCTGAGCTCATCTCTGAACACCGCGGTGATGGCAACGGGATTTGACCGCCGCCCCTTTCCCAACACTCACATCTCTGACGCTGCGTGTATCTTTGTCTTCTCTGTCTCCGTCTCTGTCTCTGTCTCGTCTCTCTCTCTCTCAAGCTCTCTCAAGCTCTCTCAAGCTCTCTCTCTCAAGCTCTCTCTCTCCAGCTCTCTCTCTCTCTCTCTCTCTTTATTTTTTTTTCTCTCTCCAGCTCTCTCTCTCTCTCTCTCTCTCTCTCTCTCTCTCTCTCTCTCTCTCTCTCTCTCTCTCTCTCTCTCTCTCTCTCTCTCTCTCTCTCTCTCTCTCTCTCTCTCTCTCTCTCTCTCTCTCTCTCTCTCTCTCTCTCTCTCTCTCTCTCTCTCTCTCTCTCTCTCTCTCTCTCTCTCTCTCTCTCTCTCTCTCTCTCGAACACACACCCTGTCCACTTGCGAGGATCGAGTGTTCGCGGCGGCACACGGAGTGATTGGTCAAGTGTTGTCGGGTTGGGTTTCGTGTCGTGCGCGTTTGGCCCTGTTCTCGTGCATTTGGAAGTCACACGAGACGGTCGGTGGCGCCCATTTCCACTGCTGAAGGAGCCGCGTTCCGGGAGTGTTTTTTCCAGCTTCCGCAGCCATGTATCCTCGTCGTGACGCTTACGGTGATACCGTCAAGTTCAAGCAGGTATGCAGGCGCCTGCTCATAAACGCCCGAACTCGGCACCCTCTGTGGTCTTGGCGGGAGCACCGACGGCCCCCCGCCGTCTGGTCTTACGCCCACGCAGGCTCGCACTGCTCTTGCTTGAATCGTCTCGTCAGCGCAACACATCGCATCGTCTCAACATGGCCCCACGGCACGCACCAAACCCCGTTCTGGGCGCTCTTCCCCATAGGCCCGCCATGCCGAGCCCCCGAGTCACACCGAGGCCGTGCATAGTGTGCCTCGCCAGGAGAACGTGCGCTTCACCCACTCTAGCGTCAAGCTCCATGCAAGTCTCCCGCCCGTGTCGCACGCTGACATGAATCGGCGTGGCGCCTGTCTGTTTGTTTGTTTGTTTTGTTTGAGCCACTGGCCCGTCGGCTCGAGGTACAATCTGACTGAAGCTGTGTGTCATCCAAAAATGCCAATGCCTGCTTGACAGGACCCAGGCCATGATAACAGCTCGACCTGGCAGCGCAACTCCCACAATCCAACTCATGCACCTCGTGCCAGCTCAAGCAGTGGTCACCGGGTCCTTCCCCCGACCCCGGCACAAGAATCCCAGCTCGCCAAACAGCGCCTGTCAAAGTAGGCAAACCTGCCTCCTCGACAGTGCCACCCATATCCCACCTTCAAAGGATACGCTCGTGCCTACAGACACGCTTCTTTCGTGACTTGAACCTCTGCTCACCCTACGCCCGTGTTTGGTTCACACCTGCTCGTCTTCTTCTTGACAGGGAGTTTACGCCTCAAACCAACGTGTATGGCCCTGGCAAGGTCTCGGCGCGCCGTAGCAGTGAAAGTTATGGGCAGCATGGTGGTATGATACCTTCTGCTTCCCCTCGTGCTTCTTGCGAGTGCCTGTCACTCTTCTTTTTTTTTTTTTTTTTTTTTTTTTCTCGGCAACATCCCCACCTTCTGTCTTTTCACCCAGAGCGTGACACATCGGGACGGACCGTCAATCCACTGACAAACATGCCAGAAGGGCTTGCCAAGCAGAAGTTCCACGTCTCTACGGTTGGTCCTGGGCGCGCAACCTCATCACAATGCCATGCTTGGTGGATCCTTCCTCACTGACATGTGAATGCCGGTGCATCTCAATGCCTCTCCTTGAGTCTAGATGTCCATGAGTGAAGAATACATGCACGGTCGAGGCAAATGGCGATCCAATCATGGCGTTAGCGAGCGTGACCCTGTTGGCAAGCTGCCCGGGTATGCACCAATGCACTGTCGTGCCACATGCCCCTTTTGATCTTTTGTCTTTTCCTTTCTTTTTTTTTCCTGTCTTTCGCCGTGTCGGCCTGCGACATGGCATTGCCCACATGGCTTCTTAACTTGCCTTTGCTCAACACGGCCCGTGTTCACAGCTTCCAACCGGGCATGACGGCGGAGCAGGTCAAGACGTATAAGGAAGCTGGAAACTGGATTTCTTCCTTGCGCGTTCAAAACGATACGCCCCAACGCATCGCGACTCATGACAAATGGTAGGTCGGTGACCGGCCCATGCCATTTAATAATTCCATGCCTGGCTTGAGGCTCATGTCGCTCCATCGCCATCCACTTTGTTGCATTAAGGTGGCGCCCCACCACCGCCGACAAGGAGATTGATGTACATGAGGAACACGTGACCATGCCGGAAGTTTATCACCGCCTCACAAATCACGGAAGGTACGATTTTTCGTCGAAAGTACCCAAACTGCACGTCTTGCTGGCCACGTCACTCTGCCTCATCATGGTACTTGCTTCTTCTGTTGTAGCTATACCGGCACGCACAAGGCCCGATTCGGCAAGGATGGTGTGGGCCTTGGTCTCGAGGGGCGTCGTGATGACGATGAGACTAATGTAGCCATTGCTGGCCAAGCCATCATCACCCGTGAAGTTGACGATGTATGTGATTTGAACGTGTCTACCATTCCGCTGGCGCTGCGACAAGACGTGTTATCTGTTTGCTGTTTATTTTTGGTTTTTGGTTTTCGTTTTTTGCAATGATTGACACTGTACTTCTCTGGCGCCTTTCGCATTCGCTTGGTTCTCGTGGCACGTAGGAAATGGATCGTCCGCACCGCCCCGCCATGCCCTGGGAGGCTGAAAAGAAAGCGTAGGTGGATCTTGACCCATGGAAGGCTCCATCATGTGACAACCGGCCTCTGAACAACTGGCCTTCGTCTGACTTTTATGATGCCACGCTGCGTCTCACATCTAGGATGCGCTCGTCGACGACAAGTGCAGGGCCCTCACGCCCCGTCTCTCGTGCTGGTGCAAAGAGCAAGAGCGACTCCGTCTTTATGCGTCTCTACGAACCAGCTCGCGTCCACGTCAGTAAAACTTTGATCGCTTCTGCACTGGCTTGATGTCTCGACTCTGACCTGCCTTTCTTGGTTTCCGTGTATACGTATGCGTTTGCCAGCGGTCGGCCGAGGGAGACGCGGCCTATCAGCGCAAGGTTCTAGACAAGTTTGGCGTGAACCGAGACCACATCCCTCGCTGGCAGTCGGGTGTTTAAAGTTGGGCCGCAAGTGACATTCACTCATCGTCATGTGCCCAAACACGCCTATTTGCATGTGTATTCGTTATCCCTGTTTGCTGATGTTTCTTTGAAATCTTATCCACCGTGGCCTTGGGCTAATGGGTTTCATCCCCGTACCCAGGAGCCGCTCTCTCCAATTGTTGTAGTTTCCCAACCCCACTTGCTCCTGACTTATCTTCCTGCTTTGCTTTTCTTTTTTCTGTGCCCGGAATTTCGCCATAATTTTTTACGAGTTTTGTCTTTTTTTTTTTTTGTTTGTTTGTTTGTTTGCTTGTTTGTTTGTTTGTTTTTACGAGTTTTGTGCTCTTTGCGTCGTCCAGCACGCCATGTGGTGTTTTGCGCAGCGCCGAGAATTGGCATTCTTTGCCTGATGCGTCTGTCGATGGACCAGATCGTGCAGGTGCCGCGATCTACACCTTTTTTCACGTTTTTACGCATTTTCGTTTCGTAATTGACAGTCATAATATGCTTCTGCGAGTGTGTACCCGGTGAACTACAGCTCAACTTCCAGGAGCCAAACTTAGGCTCGCGTTGTTGGGAAAGGAAAGACAAGTCACCAAGTCAAGTCATGTTTGCATCCTGATGATAATTAGTCTTCTGCACTTCATCGAATTCAATCTTTAGTTCCCCTCCCCTTCCAGCCACCATGGATCTACTCTTCCCATACCTACGTGTCGTGGAGCCTACGAAATGATTATGTATGTGATTGACGCTAACAGACTTTGCAATGAGCTCAAGGCAACTGCCCACTTGCTACTCTAAGTAAAATGTAAAATTCCTTCACATCCCATTTGAAAAAAAGGCCGTGGGCCCAAGTGCTTCTAGTTGGTGCGCAGCATGGGCAAGTGGCAAGACGGTCAAGACAAAGGGAGGACGAGCAGGGATGATAACACGGAAAAAAAGGCAAACGCATGGTCACGGCATCGACTGAGCCCGCGCGAGCCATGGAAAGGCATCATAATAAGGATGAAACTTGTCCACACAACACGGCATTCAAGCATCAGAACACGCATGCAACTCTGTTGCAGATGATTGACTGGATACACAGATAAGACCAAAGGACTGATACCAAGAGCTGCTTAGACTGTTTGCGGAACGGCTACTCCTTGAAGCGGCTCAAAGGGCAATGGCTTGCCAGCATTCAAACCCCCATATCGGGTGTTGTTGTTGAAGGCATCTCCGTCTTGAAACATGCGCAAGGGTAGCTGCTTGCTGACGGCTGCGATGGCACTGGCTTGGGCTTTCTCATCCAGTTTGGCCTTGTTGTACATGGCAATGCCGAGCTGTGATTGTGAAGATGGGCAAGCGTCAAGTCAGCACGAGAACACTCTCTCTGCTTGCTGGGTAGAAAACAAGCATGCTTGGGCTTACCATGGCAATACTGATACCAATCAGGTTTTGCCAGGTGACGGGGTTTCGGAAGACAATCATGGCTAGGACAATGATGACCACACGTTTGCCCACGTTGGCTACCGAGTACGTCACTGGCGTTACCAGCGAGAGGAAGGTAAATGCGAAGATGGTCTGGAAGCTGTTGCCTAGCGCAGAAAGAAACAGCTTGCCCCAGATGGACCACATCTGTGGCCAAGGCCGTGGGTGGCGTGCATGAGGGTTACAAGGTCATAGACCTCAAGAATTCTTTGGAAGTTTAAAGGTCCCAATGGAGAGAGTGGCAAGGCGCGCACGTACTTCGGAAGACGACAAGTGTTCTTCGATGCTATTGGTCATGATGGCAAAGCCCTCGTGGAAGAACCAAAAGGGCAGGAGCATGACCAAGGACACGCGGCTGACAACGATGAGGATGGAGATGTGATCGACACCTGCTTTCATCACCTAAGCATCGAAAAAAAAGGGGTGCCGTGAGGTACATGTTGGACAGGAGCGGGCGGAGCGTTGTAGCCCATTGATCGTGTTGGTGTGTACCTTTTTGGAGAAGATGTTTTGGACGGCAAATATAAAAGTGGAGAATAAGGCCGAGACCAGGCCAATCATGTTAAACTCAAGCTCGGTGACAGAGGAAATGACAACACCTGAGGCCAAAGATGGCGTGCAAAAGGGGGCGTCGGTAATGAGTGAGAGCACCGTCCAAGGTGTATGTTCGAGGTCTGGACTGAGGGGTCGTGAAGGGGGCTGAAGGTGAGAGCGCACCGGCCATGATGGGAACCAGGCTGAGGTAGGCAGCCCAGCTGTGGCTTTGGCGCAAGAAAATGCGAGAGAGGACGACGGTAAAGATGGGCATGAGCGCCTTGACGGTGTGTGCGTAGGACACGGGTACTTTTAGAATGCTTAGTTGGGAGGATAGGGTAACGAGCAGCTGGGTATCACACGCCAAGGCAGCCCGGGGCAACGGGGTGAGTAGATGATGTGGCAGGGGTGGTAGGTCATGTTGCCGCGAGAAGAGCGGCGGGACTGCACCTTGAGCAAGGCCAAGGGAACGACCCAGCTAAACCAATCTTTCCGGCGGATGACAGCGGGCTATAATCAAGTCCGGTGCCAACTCCAGTGAGTGTGGATGGGTTTCAGAGAAATGGGACGAGATTCTGGTCTGATGAGGGTAGCTGACCTTGGTGGTGCGGAATAGGGGCAGGACTGTGTTGATCACGACCAGCTGGACAAAAGAGACGGTGGTGGGATAAGGAAAATGCTTCATAGCACTGTCCATACGCAGGGCCATGATGGGCAGGGCGGGCGCAGCGAGGAAGAGGAAGAAGAGTGAGGTCGTGAAACAGAGGCGGGGCAAGAGACGAGAGGTAGAACAGGGAGTCAAGTTCTCAAGTGCAAGGGGCATCCTGGCTAATATGTGGTCGAGTCGGGGCAGCCACGGCGTACCTTTTGCCCGCAATACCATTGATGGCACTGCCCGAGTACCAGATGATGCAGATGACCATGGCCTTGATAGTATTTTTGTTTGGCCGCCATCTACCATGCCCCATTCAAAGCCACGCGGCAAACCCACAACAGTGATACGTCAGCAGCAGAAGGTGACACGCGTCAGCCGCCCAGGTCCTCAAGCCCACGCACGTCTCGGCTTCTTGAATAAAGGGGAGCGCCATGCTGCTGCACTAGCTCCTGTCTCCCACGCCCGGGTTTGATGAACACTGCCACCCAATCAACTCTTCAAGGTCCCACAAACCCCGCAACCTCCCGCCTCGCACACCACACGTCTACAACCAATCTAATCGACACAGGGCGCTGCGTCGTGTGGAGGGAACAGGCAGCAGGAGGAGAAGGAGGAGCAAGAGGAGGAGGAGGAGGAGGAGGAGGAGGAGGAGGAGGAGCAAGAGGAGGAGGAGGAGGAGGGCGCTGGTGACGATGAGATGAAAAAAATGGAAAAAATGCCCAATGGTCTTGTTCGGATGGTTGTGAGCACTTTATTCTGACATTTCTGGATGACACATTGTGGACGTGGACACGTACATAGTTTGAGAGGGACAAGAGAGAGAGAGAGAGAGAGAGAGAGAGAGAACAGAGAGAGAGAAGAGAGAGAGAGAGAGAGAGAGAGAAGGGAGAGAGAAGAGAGAGAGAAGAGAGAGAAGGAGAAGAGAGAGAGAAGAGAGAGAGAAGAGAGAGAGAAGAGAGCGAAAAGAGAGAAAAGAGGGAGAAAAAGAGAGAGAAGAGAGAAGAGAGAAGAGAGAGAGAGAGAGAGGGAAAAGAAGAGAGTAAAAGAGAGAGCAGAGAGAGAGAGAAAGAGCATCAAAAGAGCATCTATCGCCTATCAAAAGCATTGATTTGTACTTTGATCCAGCTCAACGTTTGACGGCCTCTGAAGAGGAGGGCGGTGGCGGTGGCGGTGGCGTGGGATTGTTGTGCTGGATCTTTGGCGTCGGGAGAGGGGGCGGGCGGGGTGAGCGTGCTGTGGCGTTTGTCTGGTTGTCGTTGTAAAGGGGCTGGGTGGGTGTGGGTAAGGGGTACGCGGAGAGTGTGGGGCAGTGTGGATTTGGTAGTGTAATCCGACGCGCGCCGAAGCATAGCTGCGCCAGCATGGCCGACATGGAGGGCTTGGCCTTGGCTCAGAATGGCCTGGTCGGCGCCTTTGTCGTGACGTTTCATCACTTGAAAGGTGTGTTGCGCTGGACGCCGGCCTTGTCAATCAATGTCCGGGACTTTGCTCGCTGTGATTTCAAGGCTCGGCTGCACACTGTCCACCCACTCATTCAGTGTGGCGTGTTTCTGGCTCCAGGCAACACGATCTTGTGGTCCTATCCCTACGACCTGGATTTGGATGGCGTGGAATTCAAGGCAAGCCGAAGCGTTCTCCCCCTTTCCATGGATCCTTGCCCGTGCTCCACACTCGAATGGCCACACGATAGCGCACGGACAAACACAAACAGATTTTCTTGTGTCGTATTGGATCCATCATTTCGCCATCGCATTCCGATACCTTTGGCTCTTGCTGACCCCCTTGCCCGCGCAGGCCATGCCATCGGGGTCGCACGTCATCAAGCATGACATTGTGCATTTTCATGTCTCGGGCAACCTCTATGCAGTTGCCGCGTTCGAGTCGATGAACGATGACACGGCTGAACGCAACCTCCGGGCCCGTGCCGTCGGTTCGTCCTGGTTTTGGTCCTCCTTGCTTGCGTGTCCTAGTCGATCACACTTTACTTGAACACGGCCGTTTGCGTCGCCTCTTCAAACGTGGCCTGAACCGTTGCACTGCTGCCTGCTCCTTTTCCAGGAATCATCTCCGCCAACGTTGATCATCTACACATGCACGTGGATTTTCTCGAACATCAGTGCCATCACCAGCTCCAGATTACAGACGAAGCACAGCAGAACTTTGACGCGATAGCAGACTACGTCACCAACTTTAACGCTGCTCAACACCCGTGCGTCAACACGGGTCGTGCTGGCTTCTCATCTCTCCGAACCAACTCTTTCGTGTGCTAACCATCCTGCGACGCTCTCCTCCCCCATTTCTTCATCCTTGGACAGGGAAGCCTTTCGGCACATTGACGTTGGTATTCCAGCTTGGGTGGATGTGCCTGGTAGCCCGCTGCAGTGCGAGTGGTCCGAGGGTCAAATCACCGTGGCGCATAAGGACGGGGCCATGCAACAGCTGCTTGATGCCTATGGCAAACGCATCATGTTGTTCTGGAAGCTAGCCCTTTTGAAAAAGCGCATCATCTTCTTGACCTCCCCACCCGTGCAGCACGCTTGTCAACGAGGTTGGTACTGCAGCAAGTCGGCACTGCCTCAATGTGTTGCTGCTTGGCATCCCACTGACCTGGCTCGGTCGGTCGATGTGACGCATTTGCTCGCTTTGCGGACGTAGTACTTGCGTGTCGAGCATTGGGCCAGCGATGCGTGACCAACGCAAGCCTACAAACCGTTCTCAAACCCTACGGCTATCAGAATTTGTCCGACATTGCCACCATCCAAAATGATGACGAGTATGCTTGCTGTGTGACCGAAACCATCTTCGAGACCAAGCCCAAGCTGTACGACGTCTTTGTCAAAGAAGACAAGGTACATGCGTCATCCATTTTATCGCGCCCCTCGCACCGCACGGCTGCGCTGCCATTTTACAGCTCATACTGTTGATTTGTGCACGCCGTGTACGACAGCTCATTGCCCCGGATGAAGGGGTGAATCGTCTTCTGCGCTTAACTGCTGCCGACAATCGTCGTTTTGCCAGGTGTGCTGCCTTATGCCACAGCAGAATGAAACGGGCACAGAATTTACAAGTTTGGGGGGCATCCACGACCCCAGCTCATGATGGATGGCCCTCGTTGACCTCGATAGGCTGAACCAGTTGTTGCGTGCATCCAACTCCGACAGCACGATCGTTCAGTGCGTCGCCTCGCTCCCACCTCTCGTTCGGGCACTGGCGCAATGCTAAGGTTTCGGTGTCGCCTGTTCATGCCCCACATGCGTGTGTCCGTCACTTAGGTACTTTGTTGAGCTGAACAGCAAAATCCTGGCGGCTCTGGCCATTGCGCGTGACCGACCCACGCGACGGGTGACAAAGGATGATGTTGCCGCTGTTGGTGAGTGCACCTGTGTGTGTGTGCGTTGGTGGTGAGCTTTGGTGTGTCTTTGTTTGTTTTGGGTTGGCCACACCCACTCACAGGTCATTGCCTCAATAGGCCTTCATCCGCGTGACGATGGCCCACTCATAGTTGAGCTTGCAGCTGTCTACTGCCCTGAAGTCGATGTCGAGGATATGAGTGATTGTACTTGTCTGTAGGGTCGATGAACCGCATAGTTGCTTCGGCACGCCCTTTGGGCTTGCTTTTCGGAAAACCGAGTGATGCTTTTTGCACACTGATAAATTGGGCTGTTGAAAAGCCTGGTTCTGATTGCGACAGCACAAGCGCATAGTCAACAGCACTGCCGACAAGATGCCGGTGCTAAAATAAAAAAACATTAACGTCTATTTGTCCATCATCGTCCCTCTAAACTAAGGCAGGTCAAAAGCATGGCCACAGCATATTCGCAAATGACAACGCTGACACAGCGCACCCTGCGACTCTCAATATGAGGCATTGGATACAGCCGCAGGCAGCCCGCGGGCCACCGGCGCAGATGTGCTCTCATCCGCATCGCGCGCGCCACCTAATGACGTCATGTGCGCATGGGATCAGCCATGCGTGTTGACTGGGGAAGCTGTCACAACATCATACACTTCAAGTCGGGACACGTACGCATTGTGCCGTTGGCAGAGGGCGGGGTGACCTTGAAGGTGGGAAAGGCGCAGCTCATGCGGCGCGCTTGGTAGAACAAGAGGTAGGACGTGGACGAGGTCTTGCGCTGGTGCTCCTGCATTTCTGTATGGCCAAAATAATCCTCGATGCTGGACTCGGGCACCGCCTGTAGCCGACGCCCAGGTGAAAACAGGAACGAAACAAACAAAAAAGGCGGAAAAAAAGAATCAACGATGAACCGAGTGATGACAAAGGGGTCAGGTTCTATCAGCGCTCATTTGAGTGGAGCCAGTCCCTTACCTCGACTCGGTCATCATCGTACAACAGCCACTGCATGCCCGATTTGACGAGAGCAATGTAGTGACCACGGGTGAGGTGTGAACCAATGTGGATCACGATCGCAAAGAGGTCGTAAAGTCGTTCCGCATCTTCGGCATCATCGGTCTGCGTTACCAGCACACCAACAGCCCACGCAGGTGAGGTGGCTACAAGCTGCGTAGATAGCTGGCGTGGAAGCAGAGAGGCACGGGCAGTGACCCACCGTGTTGACAACGCGCAATTCAACAGGGTGAGCGACGCGGCAAGAGAGCTTTTTAAGATTCTGAAACTGTTCGCTGTACTTGAAGCGCTTGAGATGTACTGCTAGCACGTTGGGCAATGCTTTGATGCGCAGCCTATCGTTGCTCCCCTGTGAGGCGGACGCATAGACTAGACAGTTGGGGGAAAAAAGCGCGCAATCATGGAAGCAACTGTACCTCTTCTCGCCCTCCTGCTTGGAGCAGCATGCCTCGCAGTAGTACTTTGAATCCTCCCTTAGCGTTTCAGTTGAGCTAAAGTTTCTGCACCGTGCTCGACCATTCAGGGTACCAGGCACGTGAGCTGGGTGGACCAGGCTGGGCACGGCCTGTTTACATATAGACGAGCGGTGCTGGGGGACCAACGGACCGCAGACAGCTGGTCAAGCTGCAATTCTGACCAATATCCAAGGACAAATCCAGAAAGTGCTCATCACGCGTCGTCGTCTATTGATGCAATAATCATGAGCAGTGAATAGCAAGCAGCAACAACAAAGATCAGCACAGAGCGAAGCAGAAAGAGGCACAAATAAACGCCGAGAAGCGCTGTTCAAAAATGTGCAATGGCGAGGCACAGTTTGGGGTGGAACCGGTACATAAAGACGGAGCAGAGGCTTACCGTCTCGCAGGTGAGGCAGCGAATCTCGTTGGTCAAGGTGCCACGAAAAAGATCCTCCACCCAAGTCTGCTAAAGACGAGCATTGCCCATGGGTTGAAGGGCGGTAAAATTTGCAAAAAAAAAAAAAAAAAGGGTTCGACGCAACAGCAATTTCTCTGACAGCAAAGTCGTGTAGGAATACCTTTTGGGGGGCGTCAGCAGCAGCAGGCCGCTCTCGTCGGGCTGTGAACGACAGACCCAGAGGCATGAGTGGACCAACCCAAGGGACACGTGTGGGTATTTGAGTGAGGCGGCATCCCACTCACCAAGCTTGACGGCCTGTTCAGACAGCTCATTGAGGAGGTAGTTGAGAAACTCCTGAGCATCCTGTTGCATGCTGCTGTTGTAGATTTCTACAGGTCCGAGGATCGTCAGGCTGGCATGCGGACAGCTGGCTAGAAGTCCCCGTGTTCCAAACAAGGTGTGGATTGAGCGTACCATTGCTTTGGCGTAGACAGGCATAAAACTGGCGTGGTTGAATGATGCCGTGTCGCTTGCGCGACGTTGCTATCTTGTGATACAGAGTGGCCAAGGCATCGAGCAGTGTGACGTCTCCCTCCCGTTGGGATCTGCCATGGTATCAATGTACAAGGAGTGGGGAAAGAGGAGGTAGCAGGTGAACAACATGTGCCAGTTGAGACAAGCGTGTTGGTGGCACAAGTGGTGCCAAGATGTACGGGAACCGACTTTGAGTGGATGAGGAGGGAGTCCCGAAAGGGCTGGCAATGATATAGCGCTTGCAGCACAGAGTTAAAGTAGCAGGTGTTGCCGAACTGGAAATAGCAGCACGGGAAAAGAAAGTGAGAACAATTCACTGCAGTGTCAACACGATTACGCCCGGCTGGGGCTCGGGTCGAGGTCATACGTTTTCAAGGCCGAAAAGGCGCTCGGAGCCCAGCTCAGCGCCGTCGACGATGGGTTTGCTGTTCCACTTGCCCATGACGCCCGAGCCCGAGCTGGAAGTGCCACAACGCGAGTATGCAGAGGTTGGTATGGATGCACGACAAAAGCTGGGGCCCGGCCCCGGAGGCACCGGCCCTCAAGGGCCAGAGGTTTGGGGAAAATACGTTTTGAGACCCGCTGCGGTTTGAGTTGATCAAAGAGCGCGACAGCAAAGCGTGAGATTTCACACCCAAGCAGCGAGGGGGGAGGAACCAGCCACGGTAACTGGCTTGGGTGCTATCTGGCGCGGTAGATCAACTTGGAGTGGATGCTCAGCAGAAGCACAGTGAGGGGCTGCAGGCATCGTACCGTTGGGGTTGGAAAGCCGGTGCTGTGTGGTGTCTGGGTCTAAAGCTGGACGTGTCAGCCTTGCTCGCGTTGGCGTTGGCGTCGACGTCTGAGCAAAAGGCCAGTGCATATCACGTCAACACCCCCGCTTGACTGAATCGAGTCGCGCAGTCTGCCGTCTGTCCAGAATAGAACGAGTTTGAAACCTGGACGTGGTCTTCTCTGCAACCTCTCGTCCCGACGGGAGCCGAGCACTCTCGTTGCCTTCACCGCCACTGCTCCGCCCTGTTTCACAATTTGGAGTCAAAAATGAAAAAATGGAAAAAAGAAAAAAGAAAAAAAAACCCAAAAAAAAAAAAAAAAAAAAAAAAAAAAACCCTTCCCCCCCCCCCCCCCAAAAAAAAAAAAAAATCAATGCTCTTGACACCCATAGTACATCCGGATGTAAGGGAAGGATTTGAGCTCCTGTTAACGTTTTGGTGTGATGGGGTGGGGGGTTGGATAAGTTGATCGATTGGGACGGGGGCATGGGGTGGGAACACCAGGCACGAGAGGAGACAGCGTTTAAAAGGTATGGACACTTGAAACACGCGGCCAAATGACAAGAACCCAAAACCTTCAGCCATGTTGAGTGGATTAGGCATGGGGTTTCGGGACTGGAGGACGCTGTCGTCAGTTTCAACGGGCGTGGTCGCTGGCCAAGTTGAGCGGCAGATTGTCATCCTCGCTGTTTGTATCGTCAGACTCGGTCAAGCCGCGCAGCAGCCGGAGCAAGCCCTCAGCCCGAACCGTGGCTTCTTGGTCCTCGGTGCGAACGAGGAGGCAGCCGGCAAGGGACATGGCATTGAGAGCAATGCCGTGGACGGCCTCGTGAGTGCGGGGCACGATCATCATCCAGCGACGGGTCAGCAGGACGTTGTGTGCCTTCAGATGAGGAGCATCGTGCAGACGCAAGCCCAAAGTATCAATCATTTGGGTGTAGAATTCCAGCAAAGAAGCTCCCGTCACGTGGTCCGCGTGAAAGGCCACAAAGGCGTGACGAAAGGGCAGACGCGGCTGTCGGGTGATTTGGTGCACTGGCAAGGAGGGGTCGAACAGCACCTCAATCGGCACATCGGCATGAAGACCTGTCTCAACGGGCAGCGGTACAAGTTGCAGATGCCGGTGTCGCTCAGAGGCACCGGCCTCTGGTCCACTATTGAAGAAGACGAGCCAGTTGTGTTCCTGCAGTGTCACAGCGGTGGCCTCAAGATCGGCAGCTGAAAAGGGCAATGACTGTTCGACAAAATCTTTGGTCACCAAGAGGGCATGATGATGGATGACGTTAAACTTGTTTAACAAAACCAAATGACTATCCGTGACCTCGCACACCTACAGCCGCCGCAAGTGACCAGGAGAAGCATCCGTACCACCAGAGGCAGAGGCAGAGACAGAGCAGAGACAGACAGTGACAGTGGGAGCGATAGAGACAGACAGAGGCAGAGAGGAAAAAAAAACGAAAATCGTAGGACAGCAGTCGAGTTGGTAAGATGCTGCCTTTGACTGAGGATGTCGGGCGAAAACGAACCGTAAGGTCAGGGTCTGGGGGTAGAAAAGGGTTAAAATCAGCCGGTCGAACTTTCTTGCTTTGGTCTTTCTTAGAAGCTCGGGCCATGATGCGGAGCGGGACGACCACGCCATCTGTCTCGACCTGTGTTGGGATCGATCGGAGCAATGGGGCGCAGAGGGTAGATGCAGCGCGCGTGTGAGCAATGTACTCTGCACAGGCGTACCCGATATACTTTGCAACTGACCTTTTGGACGGCCGTGGTGATGGGTACGAGGGCTCCACGTTCAAGGGCGCGAAGGCTGACCTCGCCCACCCACTGGAAAAGGCGACCCGGCTGGAGACGCCGAAAGCTGCTGTGGCCAGTGCTACTCATACTGCCACGTCGGTCAGCAGCTTTGAGGGTATACCACAGGCCTGGAGTTGCGGTCCACCACAGCAGAACCAAGAACAGTCGAAAAAGGCGCGACACGCGCGCCAGTTTGAGGTCAAAACAGGGTTTGCTTATTCATCCAAGCCTACGTGTCCGCGCTCCGCTGGTCCAGAACCCCTGGGAAACTGGAAAAGGAGAGCTAGGGTTGTGCTTGTCTCGGGACGGGACACAACGACCTCGCAGTGTTGGCTGCGTGCTGGGGGGAACAAAGCAGTCGAAGAAGCACAGTCAGCACATTCCAGGCTCGATGGCTCGCATTCTTCCCGCAACATGTCCTAGAGACAAGGGCATCCTGTGTCTTTCACTGGGGCGAATGCAAGGTGGTCGGCTTTTGCTCCAATCCGGTATATACCAGGTTGAGAACCCAAGAGGGGCAAGTTGCAACCACAGAGACACGAGAGCAGAGCAGCTGGCACAGGGGGTGGGGGTGTGGGGTGGGGGGGCAGAGACGGAGCTGCCACTGACCTGACTGGAACAATCCAACGGAGAAAAAAAAAAAAATGTAAGTGTGGCAGCTTGAAAGCCAACTTAATGGTGAAAACACAACTCAAGTGTGGTCATCACCAACGTTATCATCATCACAAAGAAATTCTGTGTGTGTGTGTGTGTGTGTGTGTGTGTGTGTGTGTGTGTGTGTGTGTGTGTGTGTGTGTGTGTGTGTGCGTGACGCAGCGGGAAGGTGAGAGGCGAGGAGGAAGGTGCCTGGGAGGGCAGTCGGTAGCAGGGCTGGCAAGAGCTGGGTTTCAGTGTCAATTGTAACTTTCGCGCTTTTAATGCTCAGCAGCAGTTGACTGATAGCAATATTATTATCGAAAGTGCGCCTCCTCAGGCCGAGTCATCCCCAAGCATCTCTGCCAGTCGACCAGAGCCCTTGGCCTCTGCCAGATCGGAGTAGCCACCAATCATGTTGCCTACAGACCAGTGTGCACAGGTGAAAATCACGGGCCAAAAGACATACAATAGGGGTTCTGGAGCCGAGCTGAGCTGACCTTTGATGAAGATGGCCGGTACAGTGCGGTGCTGGTAGTCTTCGGCAAGCACGGCACGAATGGCACTGGCGTCTGCTTCCAAGCCCTCGTAGACGGCTTACCCAAGGGGAAAAAGAAAAAAAAAAAAGAAAAGCAGCCATGCAACAAGGGGACAAGCGGTGAGTTGGCGTGCCTCTCGAGCGCTGCACTTTGACGGTATGTAGGAGGCGTGCGCATCTTACGGTTGCCCTTGTTCAGGGGAAAGAGAGCATAGGGGCGACCCAGTTGGTCAAAGAGGTTGACGGCGCGCACGCAAAAGGGGCACGTGGTGGTGATGAAAGCAGCCACCTCCTCCTTGGTCTTGACAGTGTCGAGCAACTGCCGAGCTGCAACCTTGCTATCCGCCTCAGCCCAGCGCCCAGCCGAGCGAGCCAAGCCACGGGTGCCCACAAGTGATCCGCATCCACGACCCAGAGCCCCCACCCCACGCTTCAACACTGCCGCCATGCTACCCGTCTGCTACTGCCACTGCTGTCCCCAAATGCGAGGAAGTGAGAGAGAAAAGAAGAAGAGAAGAGAGAGAAGAGAGAAGAGAGAGAGAAGAGAGAGAGGGAGAAAAAGAGAGAGAAGAGAGAAGAGAGAGAGAAGAGAGAGAGAAGAGAGAGAGAGAGAGAAAAAGGAGAGAGAAGAGCAAAGAGAGAGAGAAAAGAGAGAGAAGAGCAAAGAGAGAGAGAAAAGAGAGAAGAGAGTTTTGAGAGAGAGAGAGAGAGTTTCGTTTCAAGCAAAAGGGAAAAGAGAGCCAAAAACACCAAGAGGAAAAACAAAAACAAAAACATGGTGACAGCTGCGAATCTCTCTCTCTCTCTCTAAAACTCATTTTTTTTTTAAGAACCAAGGTTGGTCGTGTGCGGCATCCAGGGGCAGTGTGTGTGTGTGTGTGTGTGTGTGTGTGTGTGAGGGGGAAGGGTCAGGTCAGGGTGAGGGTTAGGGTCGTGTTGAGCTGGGTGATACTGTCGAGGGGTCTTTGGTTCGTGGCTCTTCATCCTTGGACCAGAAGAGGTGTGTCTCATGCCGTCCTATTGTCATCGCATTGGGTCCTTATAAGCATCATGATGCGGCTGGCGCTTGCGATCGTGGCGCTGTGCGCGCTGCAAAGCCGTGCTGCCGTACCAGCAGCAGGTCAAGGGGTCTGTCAATCCAATGTGGACTGTTCTGCAGCAGGTGTATGCCATGAAGGCACTTGCCAATGTGAAACGGGCTACACCGGAGAGGCCTGTCAACAGCTCAACAATCTCACCATCCCCGTAAACAGGTGTGTGTTGAGCAGGATGTCTTTTTTTTGAGCGATCCTGGGCGTGCTGGCCAGTCCCGCTCCTTGAATGGTCACAGCCTCTCCTCTTACCTCTTCTGCTCTTTGGCTTGGTCTCTGTGTTTTGGCCCCGTGGGACGCCCGTTTTTGATTCCTTCCCTGCCTGCTGTGCAGTGGGTTTCGCATGGACGACTATCACATCTGGGGTGCCCAGGTGGTCAAGGTGGGGATTGTGGCCATCGGCGCAGGCCCGCCATCTGTTTGCCCCGCCACAGCTAACCCATCGCGCACTTGGTGCCTGTTTGGCCGCAGGTCAACGAGACTTACCACATGTTTGCCTCGGCTTACAATGCCTCGCTCAACTTTTTCCAAAACTGGTTATATGATGCCATTATTGTTCGCGCGACAGCCACCCATCCGCTGGGACCCTTTACCTTCCAGAACGTCGTCCTTGATCAAATCCCCGGCCGCTGGGACAAGAACCCCATGAACCCCAAAATCGTTCGTGCAGCTGATGGCACCTTCCTGCTGTTTTACACAGGTATGCACACGTCTCATCAGCACTGGGCACACGAACGGCCCACCCACCACACTCATACCGGATACAACCCTTGGCATCAACACTGCCAACGTCATCAACAATGCTCAATGCCCTTGCCACCTGACGACAACACCCCTTCCCCCCCTCCTACAACTAGGCGACGCAGACGATCAAGGCTTGCAGCGTGTGGGCATGGCCTACAGTGCCACTGTTGACGGCAATTTTACCCGCGTGCCACACCCCGTTCTTGAGGTTGGTGCCTCTAGTCCCTGCCATATCATTGCCAGTAGCTTGTTCTCGCCGTCCCTCATGACCCCTTCTTTGGTCAACACCAAAGCCGGCCCCCCCAGGCGCCTGGGATAGCCGCATCACCACCAATTGCGCCGTCACCGTCCGTCCTGATGGTGGGCTGCTCATGGTCTACAAGGCTAGCTGCTGTGCAGAACCTGCCTCCCAAACCCAGGTACGGGCAGCTAACCATTGCCTCTTCCCAAAATCCATTAATCCTTTTTCTTCTGTCAGTTCTTTGCAAGTTGCTCATCGATCTTGCTCTGACAGGTGTGCTTGGGGGTTGCTGGCATCGATGATTGGAGGCAATTCAACTTTTCCCGCCTCAGTCCCGATCCCATCATTCCATGCCCGGCCAATTCATTCAACTTTGAAGACCCCAGCGTTTACTACGATCCAAATAGCGGTAAGCCCTGACCCGTTCTTCTTTGCCGCACTTTTTCTCACCGTGCTGTCTTTCTATTTTTTTTTTTTTCATCGCCGCGACCTTGGAATGTGTGCCGCCTGCCAGATTATTATCACTTGATTATCAAGGATGAATACGGCACGGTGACACACGATGGTTATTCTGGGGCTCATTTTATCAGCCCAGATGGGATTCACTACAATGTCACTACACCAGCCCTCAGCTATTGGACCAGTCATGTGTGGTCGGATGGCCGTACCCGCCGAATGGTAAGTCGAATGATGCTCGATGGCTGTTTTTTTTTTTTTTTTTTTTTTTATGGGGGCGGGGGCGGGAACAGAGGGCGGTTGGTTTCGGCGTGAGATATATCAACAGCACTGACTCTTTCACCCAATGAACCACCGATGTACAGAACAAGCAGGAGCGCCCTGAGGTATTACTGGACGAGCACGGTTCCCCCCTTGTGGCATACTTTGCCACGGACACGGAGTTGGACGGCAGTCAAAACAAGACCTGGAACATGGCCATCCCTCTCAATCCTTCGCTCTTGTGATTCAAAATGCAAGGACCAGCTATAGCGCAGCAGGCAAGGCATCAAACGCTGTGTTGGAGCGTGTAAAAACATGCCCTCAAGAACCTTAATACGGCGAGGACGAGAAGCTGTACAATTTTCTGTATTTCAATTTGATGGCATCTCGCCAGGCTCTCTGGGCATGATGCTCGAGTACCCCTCACCACCGCCGTAGGCAGTTGGGTGGGTAAAGACACATGTGGAATAGACAAAAGAAACAAGCCGGTTCACCCCTCAAAAGCCGTGCTGCATGATGACCGAGTCGGCGCCCGCGGAAAAGATGGATTGCGCATTCGGGGCCCAAGCCACACCGGCCACAGCCTTCTTGTGCTCTTCCAGCTTGACCAGTTCGCTCCACTTCTTGACCATGTACACCCTGAAGCAAACGGACAACATGGAAATCAAGCCAAGCAGGGCAATTAGGTGTAACATGAGGGCAAGCACACAATGGCCGAAAGAGTGAATGTGAAGTGGTTGCCGAGGATAGGCGGGGTGAGGCGCTGGGCACCATAGAAAAAAAACAAAAAAAACGAAAAAAAAAAAAAAAAAAAAAAAAAAAAAACGGGGTACGCACCGAACGTCAGAGCCACCAACAGCGCAATACTGGCCACTGTGGTCAAAGGCAACGCTGTTCACCTGTGACGGTTCCAGGTGGGGTAGTGTGAGCAAGTGCCGACAGCAAAAATGGGCCAGCCGGCAATCAGGTACCAATCAGAAGCACGTGGGGGCCAAGGAATTTGGGGCCACGCACCTCGTGCCCAGCATCAAACTCGAGCGTGTGGAAAGCATTGAGCTTGCGCAGATCCCAAAAGCGAACGGTACTGTCGATGCCACCCGTGGCCATGTGGTAACCGTTTTCCGAGAAGGCAAGGCTGGTCACGGCACCACCGTGGCCCTCGAAGCTGGCCTCACACTTGGCAGTACGAATATCCCAGATGCCGACGGTGCTGCTCTCGTTACCTGCGCCCAGGATGGCGCCGTCAGGATGGACGCGCAGCGCCTTGATGCTCTTGGCCTTGGCATCGTTGACCAGGGTGATGTTGCTCTGTGTGGCGATGTCGGACACGGCCCATGAGCCGTCGTCACTGCAGCTGACCACGAGTTGGCCCTCGGGGTGGATGTTGACGTTGTTCACGGCTTGGGAATGCATCTACAAGCGTGTTCAAACAGCACAGGGTGCGTTGTTCATGGGCATGAGGCGGTCCGAGCAGGTAGTGGTACAACTGGATAAGATCACCAGGACAGTACTGGCACACCGGGTGAAATGGACCAACCTCGAGTGTAGCGACATTCTCGCCGGTGGAGGCGGTCCAAATCTTGACGTGGTTATCGGCGCTACCGGTCACGGCAACGTCGGCAGTGGGATGAAGGCGGGCATCCAAGACCTTCTTGCCATGACCCTGGACATGGTGGATTCCGAGTATTCAAAACGAGCGGGTCCAAAACGTTGGGTTGTGTTGATCAGCAAGTGTGACGGTCAGCGAGGAATTTAAAAAAAAAAAAAAAAAAAAAAAAATGGAGGAGCGGCGGGGGAGCCAGCTTGCTATTGGTTGGAACGGATGAAGCAGCAATAGAAGGGTACCTTGTAGTGAGCGACGACCTCCTTCGACTCGAGGTTGTAAAGGGCCGCCGTCTTGTCGGAGGAGCTGGTGAGGAGCATGTTGTCAGAAGCACGGTAGGATAGGGAGTGGATGTTGCCTGAACGCGAGCTGTGTACACCCTTGATAACCTCCTGCTGCTTGTAAGTGCCAATCTGCTCGGGGGTAGCAAGTCCCTCGGGGTTCTTCTCGCGCTTGCGGCGAGCCTGGCTGAGCTGGGCAAAAGTCTGGTCGATGCGGGCCACCACCTCAGGGCTCAGACCAGATGCGGATTCATCGCTGCTGGCGTCCATGGCCTCAGACTGTGCGGCGGGAGCAGCGTTGTTGGCAGGAGCAACACCTGATGCCTGCAGGCTTTCGAGGGCCTGACGAGCCTGATCACGCTCCTTGATCAGGCGTGCAATCACGCGAGTCGCGGCATCGTGCTGGTACAGAGACTGTGTGAGCTCTATGGCACCAAGGGGGCAAGCGCACATGTCCGGGTGCGGGTGATGAATCAAGGGCGGGGCCATGAGCGAAAGCAAGGGATCAGTGGCGTATTGAAACGCAAGTGTGATCTTCGCACCTTGCGTGAGCTTGTGGTTTTCGCGCTTCAGCTCGAATGTCTCGAGCATGGCAGCATCCTGATGGCCAGCGGCGCAGCACACGACCAACGATTGAGGCATGCCGGGATGAGACCAAATGAGAGACACGTTGTCAGACACGAATGAGGGCGCTCGGGAAATCAGGTCAGGCGTGATGGCACCACTGACCCATTCATCCTGGAACGTCTTGAGGAGCGAGGGCAGGCTGGTTGCAGCAGGTGCACGCGGCACGTTGAATTCAGGAGCTAAGAAGAAACATTAAATCAAGTCAGCTGTGCCGGGACCAAGTCCAGTCATGTTGGTGGGGGTTGCCACCAAAGCGCCAGCTCGAGGCAAGGCGACGAGAGAGAGGTGCTCGGTTGCAGCGCCAACCTTGAATCTGAATCAGCTCGCTGACATCGAGGGGCTCATCATTGATGGGATCGGTGCCAGCAGAAGCAACGTGCTTCTCAATCACCGTCTTCTCAAACACTGGGTATGGCCATCATACGCGCGGCGGAGGAAAGGCATAAGCGGACGGCCAAAGGGTCGAAAGCCCACAAGTTGCGCTGGACGATTTCCGACGTTGAATGACGAACCTGCACCAGACTTGGGCGAGATGACCGCCACCTTGGGTACATCGCCGGTGACTGAGCAGCAGGGCGCAGCACGCACAAAGTGAGTCATTCACCATCCTGTCAGTCTCATCTCTGAGCAAAGGCGAGCACACAAGGCCCCAGAGGCGAAATGCTGCCGCTGCCATCCCGATAAGCGAGCCAACGGCAGGATTTGAATGCTATTCCTTTGTCTTTTTATCTTTCATGTGTGTGTGTGTGTGTGTGTGTGTGTGTGTGTGTGTGTTTCAGCTCAAAATCGCATCTCGGCTGCCGTGCCCATGTGTCGGAACCAAAAAGGGTGGCTCAAAGGCGACGTGGTGGGGCCAGAAAAGCACGTGGACAAGACAGGCACAACGGTTGGCGCGCATGATCACTGGCATTCCCATCAGCAGTGGGGGGGGGGGGGGGGGGAGCGCGCTGCCGTTTGATCCATCATCGACACTTACTCGCACAACGGAGCGCCATGATGTCGTTCCGTCACTGTGTGTGTGTGAGAGAGAGTGAAAGTGTGCTTTTGGCGGTTTATTTGGGGAGCAACCAAATGTAAGATGACAACCACATGTTAGTGTTTCCAACAGCTGGTAGCAAATCGTCGACAGGTGGTAACCGATCGTTGCTGTTTTCTGAATTGAGATGAACGGAAAATCTAGCGCTATTTTCATTCAGAGACTTGAGCGTGGAACTCAGCAGCGGTGAGTGTGGATCGCGTCACCAGGAGGGGCCCGAATAGGGGGCTACAGGTCACTGTAGGGGGCTGAAGGGGGTTTGGGGCCAAAAATGGCAGCGCGATGTTGTGGCCTCGGGAGGGCGAGGGCGGCGGTTTTGGTGGTGCTGGTGGTGCTGTTTGGAATGAAGTTGGCTTGACAAACTGTCGTTGAGGCTCGTGCTCACCCTGTGCCGGCCAAGAGTCATGTGTCCACTGAATCTTTGGGAGGGGGCTGCCATTGTCTGTTTCTTTTGTGCCGTTTTTGGGACGATGCCTACCAAAGGAGGAGTGGCAGCCTTTGAGGACGGTACTCTCTCTTTTTCTTGTCTCTCCCTCTCCCTCCCTCTCTCTCTTCTCTCTCTCTCTCTGGCGATGTGTTGTATGTGTGGCGATGGGCTGGTTCCTGCGTGATAGCGGGAACGGCAGTCGGGCGCCAGCGGTGATGGTTGTGTATCGTGTATCCTTATTCTTGTTATCCCTCTTTTGTATCCATCTGTTTGATCAGCTCTTTTGAGTTGTTCCCATACTTGACCTTTTTTTTTTGCTGGAACACTCATTATGTCCTGCTGTGCTTGGCTGCCCCCTATTCGCGCCCCCGCACCATCCCGGTCGGATGCATGCGCGCGGTTTTGTGATCAACGGCATCGCGCTGCTTTTCAATCACTGGTTGTGTCAACGACGCGCTCTGCTGCTGCTGCTTCCGGTGGTGGTGGTGGTGGTGTGCGGGCCGTTTTTCTTCAACCACAGGAGCTTACCTTCGACCAAAACCCATCAACACCGACATCATGGTTCACATTTTCATCTTGAAGCAGGACGGCGGCAAGTGGACTTCCAAGTGCACGACCGATGAGGACTTTGCCGTGGCCGAGGGTGCGACCGCCCTCGAGCTCGAGAAGACCTTGAAGGAGGTACGGGCAGCGTTGTCGTGATCGCACTTGCTTCTTCGTTTGCCATCTGTCATTCTTTTGGACAGCCTTTGTGGAGTGCGCGTTTGTATCTTTGGCGGGTCTCATTCCTTTCTTTTCTTGTTTCTTTTGGTTTTACTTTATCTTGTATCGTGCTATATCGATGGGCCGGGACGATTGGCGACTGTGTCAAGTAGAAGGTGCGCGAGGCCAACTCGTGGACTGGCCCCATGATGGTCAACAACAGCCCCGTGACCCCCAAGTCGGCTGTGCTGATCTGCCACCTGGGTGGCGGTTCGGCCGCTTCGGGAGCCGCCGCTGCTGAGGGAGCCGCCGGCGACGACAAGGCAGCCGCCGCTGCCAAGCAGGCCGAGCCCGAGTCTGAGTCTGAGGACGAGGCCATGGGTGGATTTGACCTCTTTGACTAAGCGTTGCTGAAGAGCCTCGTCTTGGTTCAGACTGCTTCCAAGAGCTTAGTAGAGCACACACCTGTTAGATATGGTGTGTGATCTCGTCTCAACCTCGAGCGCTTGCCTCCCCCTTTTTTTTGTGGGAGCAGCTGTTCGAGGTTGTCCCTGTTTTAGTCAGGGGCCGTGTTAGGCAGGGCCTTTGCGTATGAGCGGTCCTTTCCTTGTTGTCGATCGTTTTCAAGCCGTGCGCCTTTGTGGTCTGGAGCAAAGCGCTGGGCCAAGGGGTAGGGGGTTTCCTTTTTTTTTTTTCGGTTATCGGTTTGGGTTTGACCGCCCTTCTTGAGCACAACTCCTCCTCTCTCCCATTCGCTTTCTTCTCCTGCGAGCCACAATGTGGCACAAATCGACACCGAGCTCTGCGCTCTTCCCCTTTCCCTACAAGATATGCATAAGAAACCTCCTTCCAGTACCTTTCCCCTCGACCCCATCACCATCACACCCCAACGTCGCACTTACTTTCTTCCTAAAGAAGTCGGGTTGTGTTGAGCGAGAATTGTCAGCATTTTTCTGCCTGACTCGGGACGGAGATGCGGCAGTACATCGTCTCGGTGGGTAGCTTGCCAAGGGCGCCGCGCGGGCCAGTGGCGGCGCACACCGAGGCTACCCACCCGGCGGCAAGGCAAGCAGTGTATGTGCATTGTGGGGCCAAGCGCGCGGGGATCGATGTCGACGCTGACGTTGGTCTGGGTGGGCATCTGGATGGGGATGTTGATCTGGCGAGCGGCGGCGGGTGGCGACGAGAAGGCCAGGGGCCGCGGCGGCCGCATCTTCTTTATTATCAGGAGCGCCACCGGCACGGGTTGGCGTTTCGTGACTACGTACAGCAGCTGGACCGGCCACTGCGGCATGTTGTTGAACCGTGCTCAAATGTGGTGGTGGCGGCTCGCTTACACGAACCCGCCGTGGATGTGGTGATTGCCGTCTGTCATTGGTTGTGCCAGCAGCGCTGCCGTCTGTCATTGGTATTGGAGCATGATATGCATCACGATGCTGTGCCCTCTGGATTGCAAGGCTACCGAGTGGCCTGTTGTCTGGGCTTTGGCTTGGGGCTGGGTGTAGATATCCGGCTCACGCGCCGCATTACCGCAAGCCTCCTGCTCGATCTTCTGGGCACGCTAGCCACCCCTGCCTTTGTGCCTCGCTTTGGCATTGTGCTCTGGGCTCGTACGTTCCCACTCGCAGACAATTCAAAGGCGGCGGGCGCAAGCTCGAGTTTGTTGTTGAACCGCTAGATGCTCACGCCTGATGATCACGATGCGCACAGGTCAGAAAAAGCTCTCCTCCTCAACCATGCGGTTGAACCAGGAGCTTCGTGAGCATTGTTCGCGCCAACAGCATCAGGTCGGCATTCAATTTGAGTGCTTTGATCGCGTGGGCCTTGGGATACATGTATTTGGGGCCCGATAGTTGGCAGAGTACAGCTGCGTGTCTCATTGTAGAGTGTTTCGGCGGTAGATCCAGCATTGCGCACTCTTTGCTGGAAGCGCTGTGCACACGGCCGTGCACAAGCACTTGCGGGTGAGAGCATGGACGCGCCAACAAAACAGTGCCACGTCTTCAACGCCTTGCTTACCATTTGTTCTGCATGACTCGCTCTCTCAGCTGACCGCTGTGCCGGAGCGACTCGTGGCCGAGCAGGTCGACTGGTTGGATCAAGGTGCACTTGCCATTGTGATGCACACTCGGTGCGCACCTCTGCTGTCATTTGCACCATCGTACTTGTTGCCAAGTGTACCCGCCCCATTGTTGTCATATCTTATTTGGTTTTTTTGCGATCACATTTTGGGCCACGTTGTACGCTGGCCTGATAGGGCCCAGGAGTGGCTGGAGCAGCTGCAAGAGAACGTTACCCGTGCGCTGGCGTGCGGGGCTTTTGTTCAATGGTTGGGCCGAGAAACACCGAGTGTGGTGGCCGCTGCTGCGGAGCAAGCTCGGTGTGCGGCCCAGATTGCTCGTGCCCACGCTTAATTCTGACTCGGAGGCACGCCATGCATGCTGCGACTGCAATTCTGTATGGGTAATAAACAAAAAAAGGGCTTTATAATAATCGAATTCCATTCCGTTATGGTAGAGGCTGACCCAAACCAAAGGGTGCTAATCAGTTTCTGTCCCCTATCAACCCTCTTCGTCATCAAAGGGGTCCCTTGTCAGCAGCAGCTCCCAGACGTGGCTGGCAATATCCTCGCCGAGCGCCTCGGGAATCATGCCTGCCTTTTCCACGTCCACGGCACCTACAGAGCCATGAGCGAGCGAGTCACAGGCGAATTCAGGCCACGCAGAAGGCCAGGCAGACGAGAATGTCTCACGCTCACGCCTACAAGCACTATCGCGTTGCAAGCCAGAACTCACAAACTATGAGTTGATCCCCTTGCTGAATATATTCAATGGCAACAAAGCCGAGGTCCAGGCGACTGCACCATTGTAGCACGGGGCTCGCCAAGTCCTGAGCACAAGGCCAGGAGATTAAGGGACGCCTGCATGACAAAATGCCGCCCGAAAAAGGCGGTGCATAGGCTATGCTATGTGATACTCGGGTTAGTGTGCGAGTTTGTTAGTCGCGATCGAGCTTCATACCATGGCATTGAGGCGCTGGCAGAGCACGCTCGGAGGTTGTGTGCCGCCAAAGAGTGAATGACAACGCAGTGCACCTAGGGGGTGGATGGGTGCGCAGCAGTGAGCGTTGGGTCGGCTAAAAGCCGCTGTGGAACGCAGAAAAAATGCTCGTCCCTTACTCTCTATTGGGACGAGAGCGACGTCAAGGTCTGGCGCTCGACTCGTCGGAGCGGTCACTCGGTAAGCAGCACCAAATTGGCCTCGTACAAACAAGCAGCGCACAAGCCCGGTCCCGGAATGAAGTACTTGTGGACTAATCTGAGCCTGGAGCAAGGGCGCGCTCAGCCATGGGTGAGAGGAATACTCAGCGCGTTGGGCTGGCCACGGCCAAGTTCCACAGGTACGTACGCGCACGGCAAGGCGCTGTCCTGCATCGATGCGGCGCACAACGATGCGCTCCAGCTCTTCTGGGCTGGACGCCTGTCACCAGAGCGTTAAAAATGAAAGGACGCCGCAAAGCTGGGCCAGCCGTCCAGCCGCCCATGGTACACCCACCGCTTCGGAGACAGCTAGGTTCATGTCTGAATCCTCGTGAATGATGGCAGGCAGTGGGAGCAAATGGCCACGATGCTGTAAAAAAAACAACGGGCAAACCCAGTGCAAGAAGACAACAACAAACAAACTGCACGGTGAGTAGCGTGGTGTAGTGACAAAGAGCGGAAGCCAAGGCAAAGACGCAGACCTGAAAGACACGATAACTGGCGAGAGCGACGACGGGCAGTGTATCAATGTCCTGGGTCCACAGGGCCTTGGCCGTGTCGATGGCAGACTTGAGTTTGGCCAGAGCATCAATGTTGTTGATGATCTCCATTGTACCTTGTTGGCCGAGCAACATCTGGGCAGACCAATGAAGGCACGTTTGGTTGGCGTTTATCACGAGCCGAAGCGCAGGGTGGGCAAGGTAGTGGGGCAAATACCAGTTTGATGCCGGTCGCCAACTCGGCTGTTAGGGGCAGCAGGATGATGATGATGATGCGAGGCACAAGCCGCGGCAGCGTGCGCAAGGTTTCTTCGAGTCGATGGATGAGCTGCCAGTCGGGGCAGCGCACCAGGTGGACGGTCGCTCGATACTAATGTCAAGGACGAGGCGGACGATGAGCGGGGCGAGCAGAAGACCCTCGCGATGAGCGGTCGTCATTCGGGTCAAGGCCCGACAAACCCAGGTCTGGAGGACCCAGTGTGGCAACATGGAGTAGATGGCTCCGCCCACGGCCCGTGATATATGTGACCAGGGAGCGTAACGTACCGTGCTGAGACGATCGATCAGTGGGTAGACGGCGCGCTCCTACGGTGTGACAGTGAACAAGACGGCAGGCGGGTGAGATTCATCAGAGCAACAAGAGTGGGATAGCTTGATGAGTAGGGGAGATTGAGCTGACTTTGATGCAGAAGATGATGTGCGGTTCGTGACTTTGCTCCGGGATGGAGCAGCGTGGCGTAGCCAGGCCGGTCATGGTGTTCGGTCACGGGTGCGGATCAGATGACACCCAGCCTATGCGTGGTGGCGCCGCCGACCTCGCATACTGCTCTTGCAGACGGGCAGGACAATGCACTGCGTAGACAGTGTTCCTCAATCCCGCGAATCAACCAGTCAAGGAGCCAGGTAATCACGGGCGAGCTCGCAGTGATGGCAGCTGCTCCAGTCAGTCGAAGCACATTCAAAAACAGTAAAATCAACTCCTCCGTGTACATCCAGCCTCTAGAACCACAGCCCGAATCAGCTGACTGAGCAGCGAGTGGTGGTGCTGATCCGTTCCGCAGTTCCCCTCCCCCGCCTCCCTCGGCTCGGGTTCTCCTGTCCCTCCTACACACACACACACACACACACACACCGCCCGAATTTTTTTATTTTTTTTTCCGTAAAACGTAACGACATCAACAAAAATTTAATGACGATGATTGATGATTTAAAGTTGAATACATCCCTCGGACTTGCAGGAAAAAGGAGACATTATCCAAATTAGAGGTACGACATCTTACCTCTTTAAAGTAAAAAGAAGTTCTCTCTCTACATGTATCGCTCTCTCTCTCTAACCTCACACACGTGTCTCTCTCTTCTCTCTTCTCTCTCTCTTCTCTCTCTCTTCTCTCTCTCTCGCACACACACGCAGAGGGCGCGGTCTCGCATCATCATCGTCTTGAGCACGTCGCGGCGCATCTTTCGGTCGCAGCGGGACGGGGCGTGTGCTTAGGGGTGGAGAGGTGTAGCGTCGACCACAGTTTTTTCCCCCCGACCTTTTTTTTTTTTTTTTTTTTTTTTGGTACACGCTTCGTCGGGTCTGGAAGCCATGGCGGGTGGCAAGGCGACCAAGTCGGGACGAACGGCGGCTGTGGGTCGGCTGGATGCGGCGGCCCTGAAGCTGCTGCGTCGACTTGCCGAGCGCTATGCAGCTGGTATGTGGGTGTCTGTGCTTGGACATGGCATGTGTCGGTGGCGGTGATGGTGACTGGGCCTCATGGTCTCCGGTGGCTGAATGTAGAATTTGCCGTGACAGAGCAGAAAACACGCCAGATCCTGCGCGCGCTCCTTGACAAGTTGCCCGACACCAGCGCGCTCAAGCGCAAGATCCTGGCCAATGAGACGCAGGCCCTGCGCCACTTTGCCGGGTTGGTCTCTCGTTGGTCTCCAGCATTCCGCTTTGTCTTTGTTGGCCCTCTCAGCTCAGGCCGGAAGCGGGTGTGCAGACTCTCGCTTTGCTGCTCCTCACGACCGGTTGTCCTCGTCGGTGTTCAGCTTTTTGAAGGATTGTCGAAATCAAAATGCCCAGGTACCCCGCACACATGGTCCTTGCAGTGTCCTAGGACCCTGAGACCCGCGCTCACCTGGCTGTTTGGCTCTTGGTGGGCATGCAGAGTGAATTTCTGGCCAGTCCTCAGACGTGCGCACGCGCCTGCCACTCGCTTGCTGCTCAGGCCAGCAACTTGCCAGACTGTACGTGACTAAGGTTGCCCAGCACCCCGGGCGTAGACGACGGCTTGCTCACCCGTCCGTGCTCTAGGGGAGCGCGTCATGCTGGCTGCCGTGTTGAAGCGGGATGAATATCGCGCTATCGCGGATACCCTTACTCAAAAACTTGTAACGCGCAGCCCGCCGCCAACGGCGGCCGAGGCCGCGCGCTGGATGGCCCTCTGTCACAAGTGCATGGTCGTGGGTGCATCCATCAAGACCATCGAGGCAAACCTGCAGCTCTATCTCCGCGCCTTTGCCATGGCAGCGGACACAGCTTCAAAGCCAGAGGAGCTGACTGCTTGGCGGCAACTCGCCGATCACACCACGCGTTTCCACCTCGCGCTTTTACGCAGTGCCCACCTCACTCAAAGGTGTGTGTTATCCGCCAATAAAAGGGCAGATGAGGCCAGACAAACCGCAGATGGAAACGCTGCCAACGACTGGCTTGTTCCTCACTTGTTGCTCTCGGGTCCAATTTGCAGCTTAGGGGATGTGCTCGCGGCCATGTATGCACACCACTTGGATATGCAGTTGCGCATGCATGCCGAGGAGCCCGTCGATGTTTCGCGAGCCGTGGCCCAACTGACCGTGTTGTCCCGTACGTGGCGATGGTGTTTCCATCCTTTCTTTGCCCTTACTACTTTACCCTGCCTGCCGGCCATCGGCGCATTTCTTGCAGGCGTTGGATTTTTATTTGCCGGCTCTCGAGCATGGGCATGTCGACTCACGTTGGACGTCCTTCTAGGTGGTGATGTGCGCGTGGCGTTGGATGCAGCGCTACAGGTGACCGTGTACGAGCCAGCAGAGACACGACCAGTGTTGTTGGGTTTGTTGCAGGCAGTGCTGGATTTGGCACAGCGCAACCTTTTGCGACATGCGGATACGAGTGGCGCCCAAGCCTTGGCATACCGCGTGGTGCTTGTCTTGCGGCAACTGCGGGTGCTGGATGAAGCGGTCGCCTTGTCTCGGGTTCGCAGTCTAGCTCTCAAAACGCGGCACATGGCCGTGGCTTTTCTACAAGAGGCGCGCCCTGCCTTGGTTGCCGATCTGGAGGCCAACAGGTACGGTCATGTCGCCGTCGAGTAGATGGGCGGGGTTGTCCGGACACCAGCATCCTTCTCACCTTTCCGACCGACTTGTGGCATCTGCAGTCGTGACGTTGTGCTTTTCATCGTGCACAGCGAAGACGAGGAGTTTCAGCAGTTTGTTGACGTGCGTACATCCCCGCTATTTACGTTGGGAAGGCAGGGCATGAGCGCACGCGCTTGTTGGTTTGAGCTGAGTTAAAACTTACGCCTTGAGGCTTTTGTTCTGTGGCCGCGGTCTTTTCTCGTAGCTGGCATGCTCCCCGGTGGACGGTGACGAGAATGAGGACGAAGCTCAAGCCACAGGGGAAATGGACGCCCCTCTCTTCATTCTGGACACGGCTGGAACCACCGTGGTCACACGCAGCGGCTAAGCCGATGCACTACTCGCAGATTTTTTTTTTCCCTTGTGTATGCCCCCCTTTCCCGCTCTGAGTTCTGTGCGTTGGTTTCAACCGCCAATCGATAGCATGATTCATGCGAGTAAGATGACATGCGCCTATTTACATAATATTATTATGTTAACACGATACGGGCAAAGAACATCGTAAGTCAGGTGGCGATGGTCTTGGACAGAGATGTCCTCATTTATCCTTTTTTGGTATTCTTGAACCGAACTCAACAACAAGACATGGCCCCAGGTGTACGAGTACGCTTTCACCAAAGGCAGGTCATGGTACCAGAGGCTGAAGGGGCAAAGTGGTCCGTACGGGCAGTTGTTGTTGCCTGGGTCACCCATGTGGCCGCCTCGGTCGCCTTGTGGCAATTGCTGATCAAGGCGACAATCGGACACACCACATGTGCTCCTGCTACCGATCACACGCCATGCACAGAATCCCACACATTCACATTATAATTTATAGTAGAATGCTAAGAAAGAACCACACTTGAAGAAGAAAGGACCACACCCGAATTTGATGGGGTGACAGCTGGATCGTCAAGGAAAGGGGCGTAAATCTGACAAAAAAAGAGACAGCTTTTCAAAAACATGCAACATCAACTTCTTTGGCAAATATTATGAAATCTACGTCAACTATCAAAATATCTGCAAAAAGTCCTGTATTTAATGTTTGGCCATCGTGAGTGTGTGTGTGTGTGTGTGTGTGTGTGTGTGTGTGTGTCTCGCGCGCGCTCTCTCTATCGCTCCGACGGCAGCGGCGATGCCTCGATGGTATCGACGGTAGCATCGGCAGTGCCCGTGGTATCGTCCGGGAAGGGGTCTTGGAGAGATGCATGGCCACAATGACCATCTCCTTGCAGCCTTCCTGCTTGAAAGTTGCTGACAGCCATCATGTTCCCGTTATGCTTGCCCTAGGGCAACGGCATCCGGCTCGTTACATCATCAGCCAACAGGCGGTGCATGTAGCTCCTTGTATGTGTGTGGGTGTGTCTTAAGCAGCGCACCCTCTCAATCTACAGCCTCGGTCAAGAAGGGTGAGCATTGAGGAGCTGGTGCTGGCTTGGCGACATTTTTGGTTCCTCTTGTCTGATCAGCTCACGAGCTGGTTCCGCCCGCCTCAGTCAACCGTCGCCATGCGGCCCCAGACATGGCCTGCATGGGCGGTTCTAGCCATGCTGGTGGCTGCGTGTGTAGTGCCAGGCTTGGCTCAGGCCCCTGGTCCAGAACCGCGTCCATCAGATCCGCCGTGCAGCGATACTGTATTGAGCCAGGGGACTCCAATCTGCAAAGGGGGCAGCGGGACCTTGCTGCCAGCCTTTAACGCCTATGGTGAAGCAGACTGGCCCGAGGGTCTGAAAATCGTTCTCTACTTTGTTGGTCTCTTGTGGACCTTTGCTGGCGTAGGTTACACCCGTCCTGAACACCCTGAATACCAAACACCGTGCCCAGACTCTTGCGCCTTGGTTCTCACAATCAACACATGTCCGTGCTACCTACGACCTTCCCTGTGGGGGTGGCGGGGTCTAGGTGGGTATCATTACCGACGTTTTCATGGAGGCCATTGAGGTCATCACGTCGCGTGAGCGCCATGTCATGGTGGATGGCATCGAGACCACCGTCTTGGTAGGCCCATTGTTTTTTTTTTTTTTTTTTCGCTGCCCCCGATGATCCGATGATAGAATGCCGATACAAGCGACCTCAAGCACAGCAATCCTCCACGTCTTTGTGCTGATGCGCCTGCTCGTTTTTCCCGTCGCTGATAGATCTGGAACCCGACCATTGCCAATCTATCCCTCATGGCACTGGGTTCATCGGCGCCAGAAATCATCCTTTCGATCATTGAGATTGTGGCCGGCGAGTTCTTTGCCGGAGCGCTCGGCCCATCGACCATTGTGGGGTCAGCCGCCTTTAACCTTTTCGTGATCATCGCCGTCTGTCTCCTCGCTTTGCCGGCCATGGAAGTGCGTCGCATTGAAAGCATGGGCGTCTTCCTCGTCACGGCCATCTTTTCCATTTTTGCCTACATTTGGCTTCTCATCATTCTCATCGCCTCGAGCCCGGACGTGATTGAGATTTGGGAGGTCCGTTCTATTATGCCGCCAGCCCTCTGGCACGCGCTTGCCCTTGAAGTGCTCTCATCATGTGGCCTCACTCTTGGGCTGCTCTTTTGGTCAGGGTGTCGTGACGTTGTTGTTCTTTCCAATCCTGCTTGGCCTATCCCTCATGGCCGACCGCGGTTACTTTGACTTTTCTCGAGATCAAAAGCCGTTCGTACCTGCACCTGCCCTTGCCCTGGTGGCACATTGAGCATATTTGAGTTCAAAAAAAAAAAAAAGCCGTTGTCAAATACTCACATGGTCTTGATGTCGGTACTTGTTGAATGACTTGTCATAGGCATCCCAATGAAGAAGAGCTGCAGGTCATCAATATTCGCACGGAGGACGGACGCAACATTGCCTTTGATCCATACGACATGGCCGTGGTCCTCAAGGACGTGGAGACGGAAGCGCTGACCGAGGATGAGATTGCCAACATTGCTGCCGCGCGCAAGATTGATGTACGTGGCAGAAGTGGAGGTGTCCTTCGTTGCTCTTGCTCACGGATTTTAAAACCGCCCTCTTTGCCTGTGCAGGGTACCAAAGTGTCGCGAGCACGCTTTCGCATTGATGCCAATCGCCGCTTGCGAGGGGCTGCGCCCCTGCTTCCAGATTGGCAGCGGGCTCTGCTCGACACGCAAAAGTCGCGTGCCATTAAAGATTCGTACTATGCGCATCGCGCCACCGCGCTGCGCCAGGAGCAAACGTTCGGGTTCATGACCATTGAGTACCATGTCCGCGAAGATGCTGGGGCCGTGACTCTGACCATTGTGCGCACGGGCGACCTCTCCCAGTCAGCCTCGTACGTCGCCAGTCATCCGAGACTCGATGTCGGATGTCCTTCCTGTCGGATGTCCTTTCTGTCGGATGTCCTTCCTGTCGGATGTCCTTCCTGTCGGATGTCCTTCCTGTCGGATGTCCTGACTCATCTCGAAAGACCTCACAGACGTGTACCTGACCTGACCTGCACCACTGGGTCTTATTCGTACATGTAGGATTGGCATTGAGACCCAGGAGGGAACGGCCAAAGCCGGCTCGGTAAGATCGACACGGCTCAATGTGGCAGGGTGCAAGAACACAGTGAAGCCTTTGTCTGGTGTTGGATTGGGCCCTTCGTGCAAAGGCACCTGATCTCCAACTAACGTGGTCGATGGCTAGGATTACGTGGCATTGGACCGGCGCGTTGAGTTTGCGGCTGGTCAGGCTGAGGCTCGCGTCTCCATCGAGGTAGGCCTCGGCCAGGACGAGCTGCAAGGACAGGGTGAGGCACGTGGTGCGGGCTCACGTGTTGTGTGCGGCTGGTTTAGATTGTGGACGATGATGAGCCCGAAGACGACGAGTTTTTCCTGGCGCGGCTCAAGCAGCCACAGCCTGACAACTATCGTTTGATTCCGGCTCGCGAGTTGGCCAAGATTATCATTGTTGATGATGACAAGCCCGGGGAGATTGAGTTTGAGCAGACACGGATGGAGGTGGAGGAGGATTGCGGCTGCTGCGAGGTGGTGGTTCGCCGCCGCAACGGTACCAAGGGTGCCGTCGCATGTCGCTACTTTATGCGGAATGGTTCGGCCATTGATGGACACGATTATGAAGGTGTGTGTGTGTGTGTGTGTGTGTGTGTTGTTGTTGTTGTTGTTGTTGTTGTTGCGCACACGCAGCTGTTGTGGTCTTTGCAACATTGATGGTTGGTCACTCACGCACTGACTGCAAAATGGTGGACCGCAGGAAGTTCTGGGGAACTGCAATTTCAGGATGGCCAAGCCACCTCAATTATCCGCATTCCGATCATTAAGGACAATGTGTGCGAGCCGGACGAGTTCTTCACGGTTCACTTGGAAGAGGTACGCACACATGCGCTGGTGTCAGGCTGGTTGTGTTTTTGGGGCAGCTCGTGTCCAAGAAGTGAGGTATGCCTGCTGGACTTTGCTCACCAAGGTCGGGGACTGTTATGCTTCAGGTTTCAGGGTCCACTTTGGGCAAGGTGACTGTGTGCCGTGTGGTGATTCTGAACGATGACAAGGCGCAGCGCCTTTTGGAGAAGGTGGGTGTTGTGAAGCTCCCGTCGATCTCTGTGAAGACGAGGGTTTCCACCCTTGTGCCCTAGTGTCCACCCAGCGTTTGAACCGCTGGATTTGAATGGGAGATGGCTGCACGCGCTTTGTCCAGGTGTCACGTCGAATGAAGATTAACATGGATCGCTTTCGAGTGGGCTCGAGCGACTGGAAGCAGCAGTTTCGCGATGCTGTGGCGTGGCCCGAGCGGGAGGCGGGCGTTCTGGGCATTGTGATGCATCTGATCACCCTACCATGGAAGGTTTTGGCTGCGTGTATTCCGCCGACCGTGTACGTGCTTGCCGACATGGCATTGGCCTGAGCGCAGCGTCATGTGTTATGTGCTTGGCCAAAGGCAACCAAAAAAAAAAGTGGCTTCACGTGGCTCTCACACTGCTTCATGGCCGTGGTGGCGATATGGCTTTGCCTGTAGCTTTGTCCATGGATGGGTGGCCTTTGGTGTGGCCCTCTGCTTCATCGGCCTCGTGACGGCTTTGATCGGTGATTTGGCTTCGTTGTTCGGCTGCTCCTTGGGCTTGGCGGTATGTGGACCAAAGCCATCACTGTCCTTGACGAGACCGTTTTCACCGCACACACAGCTTCATCGTGAATTTTGCGTGGTTGGGGGTTTGCAGGATACCATTACGGCGATTACATTCGTAGCCTTGGGTACTTCGCTTCCCGACACCTTTGCCAGTCGTTCGGCGACCCTTGCTTCCAAAACGGCTGATGCTGCCGTGACCAACGTTACGGGCAGTAACTCTGTCAACGTGAGTGGGGGCTAGCTTTTTTTTTTTTGTTTTTGTTTTCCTTCGATGGCATGCGGCGCTTCTTCTTGAGCTGAAGGCAGGCGCTTCAACCTCATGACTTTCCAACGGGGGCCCATGCAGGTGTTTTTGGGTCTCGGTCTGTCCTGGTTCATTGCGGCCGTGTACTGGCCAGCCATGGGGGCAACGGATCAGTGGCGTGCACGGGTGCCAACCTGTCTGCAGCAAAAACACGACGGCGCGTTCTTCTACGTACCAGCCGGGGATCTGGCCTTTAGCGTGGTGATCTTCACGTGCTGTTGTCTTGTGTGTTTGGGCAGTCTACTGTTTCGGCGGTACAAGTTTGGTGCCGAGCTGGGTGGACCTTATAGTCGCCAGTTTGCCTTTTTCTTCATTGGGTTGTGGATCTTTTACGTGCTCATGTCGTCCCTCCAGGTTGAGGGCTACATTGCCAGCATTTGAGCTTGGCCACCCCGTCCCCCCCCCGCCCCCCCGTCGTTGACGTGACAGTTGGCGCTCCTCCTGCACCCTGATCTTCCTTAATATTCTTATGGAGACCAGGCGATCAGTTTTCGAGCCATCTGTGTTGTTTCTTGTGTTCCACATGTTATCTCCGGATCTTCGTTTTTTGTGCACAGAGTTTTTGAATTGAGTTTGACCTTGCCCAGTTGTCTTGCTACCTTGCGCGTCGTCAGAGCACACTGACGCCCTGACGCCGTAAGCGAGGTCGCCCATCCACCTTATCACCGCCCCCACCAAAGCACGTGGCTCGCGCGCGCCAATGTTAGCCCCGTCTATAAATAGCACCACCCGATTCAGCCGATTTGTCTAAATATAGATCAAACCACCCCAAAGGGAAAAGCAGAGGCAAAAAAGCAGAAGGAGAGAGGAGGCGTCAGAGAGAACGAGTACAAGTAGAGGTGAAGGGGGTGGGAGTGGCAGTTTCACAGGGTCTGCTCGACTTGGATAGACTGTGCAACCAGCGATGGAGCGGCTTTATGGCTCCCTGTGCCCTATGGGTGCAGTTTGGGCGGGCATGCCTTCGCAGGCAATGGCCGCCTTTCTTCGTTTCGAAAATTGGTACAAGCAAGAAAAAAGCAAGATAGACTTCTTCGATGCATAGCGATGCTCCTTCGATCGTCGCTGCTGGCATTGCTTGGCCGGGCCCATTTCGCGACCCCGGCTCCTGCCTTTGATGGCAGCCCCGTGTACCGTTAGCCCTTTGCCTTCGCCTTGAAATTTTGGTACTTCGACTCAGTGAAGGCTGCTGGGGTTGACGGTTCGGGTTGCTGGGGTTGGCTGGCGCTCTGGTCCAGGTGATGTTTTCTTGGCAGCGGCATCAAACCCCGTTCGGAGGCACCTGTCCCGTCTGTCCCCGCGGTCTTGGCCTGACCAAGCTTTGGGGATGGGGCAGGCAGGCGCCAGGCACCGCCCGTCACGGAGCCATCCTCTGTGACGCGGCGGGCGTTGTTTCTTGCCTCTCTTGATCATCGTTGAGCTCCGGGGATCATCCCAAGGTTTTTTTTGGTGTTTGGCTTTGGCGATCCCAAAGTCACGGTCTGGGGTCTGACGCTGTCCCCTTGCTGTTTCCGCTCACCGCCCCTTTCATGCCCCTCCCTCCGCTCCTTGCCTTTGTGCGTTTGCGTCCGGTGTGACACACATCGGGGCTACACCACGAACCAAGGCGGAGGCCGGGGGCGAAGGCGCGTGTGGGCCTGAGACGCGAGCGGACAGACCAGCCCCGTTGTTACCGCACCGCCTCGGCATGGCCGTTCTTTCGAGCAGACGCGGTCTGATGGCCCCCATTATAGCCACGATGTTTATCAAGGAGGTGTTAAGGAACCGTCCTGGTCCCATTCGCACCGAACATTTCCTTGCCCAGCTCATGTCTCCTGCCTGGCCGGGGCCGTGCTTTCCAGCTCAGATTGAGTGGACGCGGTTCTTGCATATCGGGCAGGTAGTTGTGAGCTGGGGAAGATCAACCGGTGATTCTCATCACCACCCAATCCTCCATCATCTTTTTTTTTTTTGGCAACTGGTTGTGAATCTGAAGGCACGAAGCAAAGCGTAGGGGAGTAACAACAGCGACAACAGCCAAAGAAGTAGAGGGAAAAAAAAGGTACATCATGAATTGGGAAATGGCAAGCATGGGACCGAGTCGTGTGTGAGCCCTAATCGCGTTGCTCCATCTTGTGCTTGGGCGGGCGAAAGTGGCTCTTGATCTTCTTTTCTTTCTTTTTCTTCTTCTTCTCGTCAGCCTTGTTGGCTTTCTCAAACTTGGCCCAAGCGTCCATGCGCGCATCACGTCCCGCCTGCACACGACGCATGTGAGATGTTAGACAAGCTTGTGCCGGGGCGACAAATCAACAACGATTACCGTCCAAGCCACGTACCGCCCATGCCTTTTCATACTCTGCCTTGGCCTTTCTGGCCTCTTTTAGTGCTTCCTTCTCCTCGGCCAATCGCCGCCTAGGCGCACAGCGGGTGCCCAACATTATTCAGCTCAATCTCAAGTCTTGGCGCATCACATCCTTGCTTCCACATACTTTTGCTCCTGGTCAAATTTTACTTGATCCTCCAGCTCTTTCTGCTTCTCCGCAAACATTTTCATGGTGTGCCGCCGAAAGGACTCGTTGTACTGCAGGATACCACATTCAAACAAATCAGAAGCACGTTTGGGACAAGAGTAGAGAAGCGCGCGGGGAGAGCAACGTGCGCTTTTGTCTGCAACTCTGCACCTGTTCCTGTGAGAGGTCTTCGGGCAGTTTTTCACCCTTTTTCTTGGCCTCCTTGCGTCGCTGCGTCAGCTGGTGGTGCCGGGTCAGGTCACAAGAGTGAGACTGATCGCACAGGCAAACATGCAAGAGCAGGGCAGATCAAGGGCTGACCAAGTATGGAAAGCTCTGTTGTGCCTCTTCCAGAATCATGTTGACCCAGCCCATCTTCTCTGGATCGTCCAGCATCTGCTTGGCCTTGTTGACCTCTGTTCATGCATGCGCATGCAGCAGACAAAGGCCGTGAGTCGTGGCCCATGAGCGAGCTAGCACTCGCATCAACTGGCGCGCTCACACTCACCCTCGAATGCCTCCTGCGCCTGCTCGGGGTTGCCTCGATTCTTGTCTGGATGAAGCAAGATGGAGAGCTGCAGTTGTCACCGAAATGGGCCATGAGCGGTGATGGACACGTTCCAGACACACCCCTCCCAGCTAGTCAAGGCCAGCAAGCACCGCGCCCTCAACAGACCTTGCGGTATTGCTTCTTAATCACGCTGTCCTCACAATCCCAGGGCACCTGCAGGACCTCATACGGGTTGAGATTGCGGTACTTCTTGCCCGGGCGCAGTAAGCGCTCAATCTGTCGCTCACTGGTCCACTGGCTGTCATCCGCTGCCACTTGATTCACCTGCGGAGAATTGTTGCGTTTCCGGACGTTCAACGTCGATGTAAGGTCAAAGACATCACCAAGACAAGAGGAAAAAAAAGAGCCAGAGCCAGTGCCAGTGCCAAAACCAACGCCCTACGCCTTACATGTGCCAGAAAGGCCTTGAGCTTCAGCCCATCATCCTCGCCCGGTGCTGCCATGATGCGCAAGAGGCACAGGGAACCGCGCACTTGTGTTGGAAAAATGGAAAAAAAAATCGATAAACACAAGAAATTCAAAGAAGCACAGTTTGTCTGACAAAATCAAAATGCGACCTTGAGTCATTAACGGCCCATTTGCGATCGAATGAGCTGAGCTCAGGGGAATACCCATGTCGGATGTGGACCGTGTGCCACCTCATGCTCCCGTGTACTCTGTGCGTGTGCACGAATTGGTGGACTTTGCTTGCTCGAAAGGACGAAACAAGAGTTTTAATTGTCAACAAACAGGGATGGTCTTTAGGGGACAGGCAGCCATGTCAAAAGCCCAGAGACTTGGCGGCCGATCCTACGTGACGGCAGCTTGGATAAGTAATTCATGCTCGACACAGTTTAGCCCGAGCGCACGGAGGACGTACCTGAGGGGCTTTGTTGAACAGCGTGATGCCTGCGGCGAAAAGGCGAGCGTTGCTCCTGCGTGGGCAAGTATGGCCCCATCATGAGACGACGAGCATGAGACGACGAGCGCGGCAAAAAGAGTAAACAGGCGAATTTCAGAGCCAATGATCAAGTGCAGAGCCGGAGCTGGCCCGTCAATACCTCGGCCAGTTCCACATCGCTATCTGCCTCCGAGTCGTCAGCAGCATGTGGCGCCTGGGAAATGCTTCGTTTGGCCGTACCAGCACCCCGAGGGGTCGGGGTGTCCTCATCCTCACTATCACTGAGCTGGATATGTACGCCAGGGGCAGCGGCGGGACCACGACCTTTGGTGTTGCGGGTCGAAGTGGACCGGGGGCGCGTTGGTGCCACCACGACCCGGAGAGGTGGCGCAGATCGGCCCGAGTTCAAGGCAATCTCGTCAGCTGGTTCCACCTCGTCGGGGTGCGCTGAGCGACGAGCTTTGGCTTGGGAAAAGCGCGCTCGCCGTGCCGGCGTGGTGGTCTTGCTACTGGCCGCACGACCTTTGCTTTTGCCAGCCGATCCAGGGTCAAAGTCGGCATCGTTGGGGTCGTCCCCATCGTCACCCTCATCGTCTTCAACCACCACTGTTGCGTCATCTTCAGCCTCGCTGTCCTCAGCTTGCACCGGCGCGCGGCTCGGACGAAGGGGTGCAGTCGAGCGACGGACTGGCGTCCGGCGTGTGCTGGACTGCGGCGTTGCTGATGTGTCGTCCTCTTGAGCATTACCATCCTCCTCCTCAATCTGCACATCATCTTCGGCATTTCCTTCAGCATAGTTGACGCGGGAGCGGCGGCGGCTGGAGCGGCGCTGGGAGCCCGAAAGGCTGTCTCCGTCCCCGTCCCCGTCCTCGTCCTCGTGTGCCTCCAGCTGAGAATCACCCTCGCTTTCTTGTGAAGCCGGCAGGCTCTCGGCGGTGCTTGCCGTGCCAACCAGTGTGCCCTGGGTACCATGTAACTCCTGCAGCTCAAGACCGCTCAGCTTTGGTGCACAAACCCGCACGGGTGAGACGATAGAACCCCGGTACGACGCGAGTGGGTACAGCTGAGAGGCAATGGGATATGCGTGGACAAACCGAATGTGGGTCGTCTTGCAGTTCGGGATCCAGGTGTATTTCTGGGAACAAGACCACGCAATCAAATTGATTGTTGCACTTGATCACTGCGCTCATTTGGAGAGACCGCGATTCAGGGTGGGATGAGGAAGGTAGCGGGGAAAAGGAGTGACGAAAGGCCGTGGCTGGCTACACATGAGGCCGGGCAGTGTGCGGGAAAAGCATGACTTGAAATAAAAGAGGGGCGTACGATTGTTGTGCTGTTCCAATGTTAGAATGTTGCGCTTGGGATAGGCCAGCACTCCCTCAAGCCGAACGTGCCCCTGGGGAAGTTGGTGTTCAGGGTGAGGCGGGGCACTGACAAACGCGCGCATTTGGCATTTTATTATTTTGTCTTTTTTTTTTTTTTGTGTTGTTGCGGGGTCAAACCTGAGCAGTGTGAAGACTCATGCTGGGCATGTTCGTGTCAAGATTGTAGACCTCCCCAAGCTTATCGTTGGCGAGATCAAGGGGTAGATAACCTGGTTGCAGCAGGTACATGATGAGGCACGGCTTGTTACGCCTGAGGAGGGAACAACACACTGGCTCGTCTTACCGGGAAAGGCAAAGAGAAAGCGCTGTTTGTTAGTACGAGGGCGCACCACGTCCACACCCGAGCAGGCGCTGAGGCCTGGCAGCAATGCGTGTGTGCAGGTGGAGGAGGCAGCGGGGCGTGAATGCCTGCCATATCATTTGAATCGTCGGCGTTTGCTTCGCTCAATCGGGTCAGAGAGCTACAAGGAAGACAAACCTCCGCTCGATCCCAGGGCCTCTTGGATGGCTGTATTGGTAGCCTCCACTTGACGTTTGCCAACCAACCCTACGCGAAGAGCTGCGCGCAGGCGTCTGGCAGCAAGGCCCACAAATGACTGGCTTGGAGAAGAAACACAGCCAAAGGCCTCAATGGAGGTGGCGTGCGAAGGGAAGTTCGTAAACGGCAAGACATACTCTTGGCGGCGTTCTTGGTCGAGATCCGGTTCGTCGTCCTCCACGGCTTGCTTCTTGGCGCGTTTGGGGGCGCGACGGCCCTTCTTGTCCGCCTGGGTCGCATGGCCGATACGCGAGAGTGAGAGCTTCGTTGTGGCGTGAGGTTGAATTGCGATGATGACTTACGCTCGACATGGCCACCCGATGCGTAGTCAAGCAAACGTGCAACCTGTGCAGCACTTGCGCTGAGAGACAATCCACGCGCGACTGTTGATCCGGCGGCCAAATGCCGACACACGCGCCGTCACCACCACCCGGGAGAAGGAGGCAAGGTTCAGAAGACCAGGCAACAAGAGACCAAGGTTCAGAAGACCAGGCAACAAGAGACCAAGGTTCAAAAGACCAGGCAGCAAGAGACCAAGGTTCAGAAGACCAGGCAGCAAGAGACCAAGGTTCAGAAGACCAGGCAGCAAGAGACCAGGGATCAAAGGACCAGGGATCAGAGGACCAGCGACGCGGAGGGCTTGAGACTGTGATTTGCAACGGCTAGTTTATCGGTTTACAATACAGAACACATCGATCCCCTCTATTCTTAAGCACATGTCAGACGAAACTCGCGTCGAGAGATGACAGCAACACACGTGTGTGTACTGCATAACTTCATCACACAAAAGCGGAGAGAGAAGGGGAATAAAAAGAACAAGCTTGAGAGATAGCCAGGTTTGTGAAAAGGATCAAGAGGGATGCTTTTCTGCGAAAACAAGGTAAAGTGATTTTAAAGCTGATACAGAGATTATTCTATTCCCTACACACAGCCAGAGAAACGAGGCTTTCATGTGCCAGTTTCAGAGAGAGAGGGACGCTGGCTGTTGCATTTTTACCGCGTGCACCCGTGTGTGACAGGCGGCGAGAAGTGTCGCGGTCGTGGGCGCAGCAGCGGGTCGGAACCAGCGCGGCGTTGGAGCAGCGACCGACTGAGTGTGACTGCCAGGCTTTGAAGGGTCGGCACTCACTGTGTTGGTGTTTGAGAAAAAAAAAAGCAGGACCACCCGCCACGCCATCATGGATGTGACCGGTGAACAGGGCATGGCTGGCAATGCCGTCGACGGCTTTGCGCTTGACGTCGAGCCTGAACCCGAGCAACAGCGCGTCAATACCATGTGCGTGGACCCAGCCCATCGCTCACCTCTTGTGTGCCTGGGTCTGCTTGCATCTGGGGCTCATCCGGTCACCCGTCTTGCCACGCCCGTCCGATGCGTAGCTTGTGTATTCAATGCGGCGTCGCCATCCCACCCAATCCAGCGGCGATGTGCGGCAACTGCATCCGCACCCAAGTTGACATCAGTGAAGGCATCCCCAAGAATGCCAGCATCTATTTCTGCCGTGGCTGCGAGCGCTACCTCAACCCGCCCACCACCTGGATTCACGCCGAGCTTGAATCTCGCGACCTCTTGGCGCTTTGCTTGAAGCGCTTGCGTGGCCTCAATAAGGTCTTGCCCTCCTCCTCAAGCCTGCATGTGCACCCCCCTCTCCTGTGCATCAACTTGTTCAGCCGATGCTCACGTCACTCCATTCCTGAAAATTCCATTTAGGTCCGACTGGTCGACGCTGCCTTTGTGTGGACCGAACCCCATTCCCGTCGTGTCAAGGTCAAGGTGACAATCCAAAAGGAGGTCGGTCATCTGGCCTTGCATCGCCGCCTTGACTTTCTTGTTTGATTCCGCCAAGTCTGAGCTCGTGAGCCGTGGGTTCCTCGACTCATTCTCCTACTTTGCCATCGGTCGGGTGTCGCTGCCAGGTTCTCTCGGGCGCCATCCTGGAACAAGGCTTTGTCGTTGAATACGTAGTGGAGCACCAGTTTTGCCCCGAATGTCATCGTCAAGAAGCCGCCGACACCTGGAACGCTTGCGTTCAAGTCCGCCAGAAGGTGCGGTCCCACAAGACTCCCTTTGCCCCTTCGTTGATCGCTGTGCTTGAGAGCAGCCACAAAGTCGTTGTTCTTTTCACGCCCTCCTCATCCCTGCACGCGTGCTCACGTGTCATCTGTCCGTTTACGTCAGGTCAAACACAAAAAGACATTTTTCCACCTTGAACAACTCATCATCAAGCACAATGCGCACGATCGAACGCTGCGCATCAAGAGCGTACCAGATGGCATTGACTTTTACTTCAACTCTCGCTCCGATGCCAAGCGCATGGTCGAGTTCCTCATGGCCGTTGTTCCCTGCCGCTACAAAACTTCTGAGCGGCTTATTTCCTCAGACATTCAGAACAACAACTTCAACTACAAGGTTCGACGCCCACCTTTTGCCCTCTGCCAACCTTTCGTTTTCTTTTCTCATTATAATCGTGCGTTCTTCAACGAGGCACTCACATGTATAACATTTGCACAAACCCATTCTTAGTACACATATTCCGTCGAGATTGTCCCCATCTGCAAGGAAGATGTTGTGACCTTGCCTCCAGCTCTGCGGCGTCAGTTTGGCGGCATGGCCCCCATCGGCATTTGCGACCGCGTGGGCACCTCCGTCCGCATTATGGACCCCTTCACCTTGCATTCTGCCGATGTGACCTCGACCGTGTTTTGGCGCCACCCGTTCCGAGCCATCTGCTCTCACGGTGGCTACACCGAATTTATGGTCCTTGACATTGAGCCCGTCTTTGGTCCTGACGGCCGCCCCGTTCAACATGGCAAAGTACGTTGGTCGTTTGTTGTCCCGTCTGTCACATTGCCAAACATGTCAGCGCTGTTTGCTTTGCTTACGCTATGTGACCACCTCTTCTTGACCTATGCCTTTGTAGCACGTGTTGGCCGAGGCCACCGTCGCACGCGAGCGCGATCTCGGCTCCAATGACCAACAATTCTTTGTGCGCACGCATCTCGGCAACATCTTGCAGCCTGGTGATCTTGTTTGGGGGTGCGTTCACCGTGCTCTTTGTCGCACGCGCTAGTCATGTTGATCCAAACCCCACCCCCTTTTGCGCGCATCGGCCCCGTGCACTCACCTTGCTTGATGAATTGGTTCTCCAGCTTTGATATGACAACGGCCGTGGTCAACGATGAGCATACCAACAAGCTCAATCAAGACCACCTGCCAGAGATTGTTTTGGTAAAGAAGAGCTATTCCGACCGTCGCAAAAAGTCTCGCAAGCGTCGCTTCAAGCTGCGCATGCTTCCCAAGGAAGACGGTGCGTGCTCAGACGCCCGTCCTGTTGCGATCAACGTGGGGGCAGTTACAGCCCGCGCCTCACCAACTCGCATGCCGGTTTGTTGTCATTTTTGTTCTGTGCAGAGGCTGTGCGACCGGACGAAGAGGATGCCGCCATGCGGGATTTGGATGCATTCATGGACGATATTGAAGAGGATCGTGAGTACCGCCAAAACTTCAACCTGTACAAGAACGCCGAGTACCACCCTTCTACGGAGAGCGAGGGCGAGGATGATTTGCATATTGGTGTGGACGAACTCTTGGATGAGTTTGAAAACATGGATCTGGATGATGGTCAGGCCGCGCCCGACATGTGAGGTTGAAGCCTCCTTATTGTACTTGAGAAGCTGCTGCGTCCTTGCGAGTAGAAATCCGCAGTGTGCATCTCGTCCTCAAGGTCGTTACGATTCTTTTTGTTTCGAGTTGATGTCATTGTTGTTTGTGTTTGGCCATGGCTTCTCATTGCCAAGTCGTCTTTCTTCAATGAGATGTGAAGCCGAGGCTGGGAACAAGGTTGTGTCCAATTGGATCATCAAGTCTATCAGCTCGATTCCTCGTATACACGCGCGAGTCAATCGTAAAAATTTTAAATGTCTTGTCATTTGCATGTTATGGCGATGAATCAAGAAACCAGAGGTCAAGTGCGACGAGTCGGTTATAGCGTGACGATGAAGTATCGCCAAAGCAGTGGATGGCCACAAGCTCATCAGAGTTGATTTCAGTCGGGCATCGGCGCGGGAAGGCCGAATGCGGCAGATACCCCACCTATAAGCGTATCAGAAGCTTGAGGTGCAGCTGATCGAAATTTGTCACTTTGCAAAGCAAGCTATGCACCCACGACAACTAGCGCCGCCTTTCCCAATACGTACGGTGATGTTGGCTTGAAGCCGCATGACAATTTCATGGCCCAACTTAGCCGAGCTCGGAATTACCCGAGCAAGGGCCAGCTGACGAGAGTCGACATAATTTAAATGCAACGCGGTGGGACTCAGGTCCTGGTTTTCTGAAGGTGTGAGCCAAATCCAATGATCTGGTATGGGCATGGCGTTATGCTTATGCTTTCGCAAAGGGGCTAGCTGCTGCCCTCCTGCTGCTTGAAACAGGAGCGCATTCACCGCCACCTAGTTTGCCCAGACAAACCAACTGTTGGTGCATGCTTCAGGTTTGACAAAGCAACCACGGGTTCCTGAACAGGCGACAGACCTGATCATCGTACTCGAACATGTCCATGTGATGTGCAATGACATCGAAGAGCTATGGAACAAAGCACGAGAAAGACTTGGGTGATTTCGGAGCTGGCCCACAACACAGAAAGCATAGCTTAGGCAAACCCGCACCTGAGCCACGGCTGGCGATGCACGAAAAAAAATCATCCCACCACAGAGCGTACTGCCCAGGGTCGCTTCACCCAAAGCTTGTGGGAATCTGAAAGAGAGCAGGCCAGACCAGATCAGGCCATCGAAGAATGTTGGGTCTCTGTGGCCCAAAATGAGCCAGCACGAGTATGGCGTTGAATGCTTTTGGGACGGATAACGTACGAGCCGCGTTGCCCGACGATATCAGGGCCTTGCTCATGCCCAATCTCAGGGGCATAGAGTCGACGAATTCCGGCCTAGCGAGAGGGGGGACGCTGGTGAATTGTCACGTTCACGGTGGCACTGCTGGCGATGCGTCTGTTAAAACGGCACGGACCAGATAGGCAAGCACGTCTTGATTCCAGACGGCATCTGCATCAAGGACAAAGACGTCAATGTTGCGAGCAAGAAGGCCAGCCACGACATGCATGCGAAGAGCCCACAGGCGAGATAGCTGCTCGGCACGCTTTTTATTCGAGTGAATGTTTGTATCGGTGGGCACAAACGGCTCATCGTCAAGAACAACAAGGGGACACGATATGTTGTATTGCTGTAACCAGCCGACAGTTTGCTCATCCAAGCACAAGAGGCTTGCCGGAGCCTTGGTAGATAGATACGAGGGAAAGCATGAAAAAGAACCGCCAGATGCAAGACACAGAATATGGCAAGCTCTGTGAGGACGGAACAAGATGCACTCGAGCAGCAGAGCCAGCTCAGGATGGCCTACGTTGAAGCGTTGTGTTGCACGTAAAGAGTTCAATCCGAGAAGGCGGAAACTGTACGACACTGCGATGACAACAAGAGTTGGACGCCCCCAGGCCTTGGGCACCTATTTCGTACACATGAACAATCACACCGAGACCGTGAGTAGACGTGAGCAAGCTGACGACGTGAGCGATCCATCATGACAAGATCAAGATTGCCTGGCTCAACCAACCCCAGCCAGTCTGGCCAGCTCATCCACGACGGGCCCCGTCGACGGCGAAGATGGCGTCAATCCATGAGCACAGAGAGCCAAGACGAGTGCGAGGCATGCTCCAAACCCAATTTGCAGTCGCATGATGTCTGTGTGATGAAGCAAGCAAATCAATGAAAAATAAGTCCAATGCACGTGACATGATAAATTAATTACATGTACATGACATTGTAATGAAGTGTGAGGATGAATTCGACACGTTCAACGTTCACACATAGAGCCAGCAGCCAGTCAATCTGCACAAAACGAACAAACTGCAGCATCTGGCGACAGTTCATAGGAACGGCTTGGCGAGTGGCAACAAGAACATGCGTGTGGGATACTCGAATCGAAGTTTCAGGTGGGGTCGGGATGCATGCTTTGATGCTTTTTCAATAATAATCATGAAGCGCAACTCTAAAACGCTGGCGAGCTTGTCTGAACATGGGAGCCAAAAGGATAACATGCTTTTTGACCGTTGCTGTTCCGTCGTTCAGGCTGGTGGAACGGCAAGAAACCAGAGGCCTAGTGCCACGAGCCTGTTGTATCGTTGAGTCTCATCATCGCCAAAGCAGTGAATGGCCATGAGCTCAGCAAGGTTGATTTTGGCCGGGCAACGCCGCGGGAAGGTTGAGTGTGGCAGGTACCCGACCTATGAGCGCAGCAGTGGAAACGTGAGGCACCTGCAGCAGAACCTTGCTCACTGTGCAACCAGACCGACCCGCCGGCGTTGCCTTTCATGATACGTACGGTGATGTTGGTTTGAAGCTGTATGAGATCCTGACCCACCATAACTGGGCCCGGTAATATCCGAGCAAGAGCCAGTTGACGAGAGTGGACATAAGCTAGGTGCGTTGTGGCGAGACCCGGGCCATGGAACTCCTGAGGCGTGAGCCAGAGCCAGCGCTCTGGCATGGGCATTGGTTGGCGCTGTCGCAAGGCGCCTAGCTTCTGACCGCCTGCTGCTTGAAAAAGGAGCGCGTTCACAGCCACCTGCTTGATCAACGTGAGTCGGCCGTTGGTAAACGCTTGAGGCTGGACACCGGATGCTGAGTGAACCACAAACCTGATCGTCATACTGAAACTCATCCATATGAATCGCAATAGCACGGAACAGCTATGGAGCCCAGACGAAGCGTGGAAAAGATTGAAGTGAGCGTAGAGAGCGCCGACGCACATGACCCTGCGGCGAGTTGAACGCCGTCGTTGAGGGCACAAGGCCTACCTGAATCGTGGCTGTCGATGCACGGACGAAAAGCATGCCACCACATAGCGTACTGCCCAGGGTCGCTTGGCCCAGAGCTAATGGAAAACTGAAAAAGGGTAGGAGCAGCCAGTCCAAGTGACCAGAAATGGGGGGGTTTCTTTTTGTTTTGTTTTTTTGTTTTTTTGCCGGGGGGGGGGGTATCGTGCAGCTTGCATCCGTCCAACACCGAGTGCGTTTGGGACGGGTCACGTACGAGCCACGTTGCCCAACAATGTCAGGCCCTTGCTCATGCCCAATCAAAGAGCCGTACAGTCGACGAAGCCGTGCCTAGAGTGAGGAATGCGGGTGAGCCCGTTGGCTACTTGGTGCTGCTGGCAAAGCTGTCAGGAGGATACGAACTAGATAGGCAAGCACGTCTTTATTCCAAACGGCGTCTGCATCAAGAATAAAGACATCGATATGGCGTGCCACGAGACCAGCCACGAGATGCATGCGAAGCGTCCAGAGACGAGCATGCTGTTGTGCGCGATTTTTGTCAGTAGCACGTTGGCCGGAATGGGTGGACATGGACGGCTCCGCCTGGAGAACCACCAGCGGGCAGGATATGTTATACTGAAGTAGCCAAGCAACTGCTGGCTCATCCAAGCAGAGGGGACTTGCAGGGGCCTTTGGGGAGATGTGAGAGAAAGCAGGCAATGATTGTCGACACGAAGAATGCACCAAGAGCCATGAGCTCGGTGCGCATCGTCTGCTCGATAGGCACGAGCGGCAGAAGCGGGTCAGCACGGATGGCTCACGTTGAAGCGTTGAACTGCTCGGAAAGAGTTCAAACCTAGGTGGCGGAAATTGTACGACACGGCAATGACAACAAGAGCTTGCCGCCCCCAGGCCGTGGGCACCTATATCACATCCCAAGGACAATGTTATTGTGAGCAGACGCGAGCCAACATGACGAGCATCAATCGCGAAGCGAACCTGGGCCTGGCTGGCAAGCTCATCCACGGCGCGCCGACATGCTGGCGAGGGTGGCGTCAATCCATGAGCACAGAGGGCTGTGACTAGTACAAGGCATGTCCAAAGGCAGAAGCGCATCCCCTTCAGTGCTAATGCGCGATACAGCAGGCTGCCCTACGGCCGCACGGCATGCGCCCAATAGCAGAAGATGGAGGCCCTGCTGTGTCGCGTGTCGAGCTACGATGACGGCCAATGCAAGCAAGCAAGCAAACATCAAAGGCACCAGCGCTTTCTTTGCGATTTTGTCAATAAGCAGAGGAGTCAAGTATTGCATCCCAAGCATTGAAAAATAAGCAAGCCAATGACGCACAACCAGCGCGCTTTTTCCTTTGTGTGTGTGTGTGTGTGTGGCGAGTTCTATCAGTAACTTACACAGTACATGTAGAAAACAAAAACACTTACACAATATCGCACAGAGAAACCAAGAGACTTATTTACGCAAAATATGGAGAAGTTGTTGCTGCTGATGTCGAGTTGGAGTTTTGTTTTGTTTTGTTCCACCTCAGCACACACACACACACACACACACACACACACACACACACACACACACACACACACACACACACACACACACACACATACACACACACACACACACACACACACACACACACACACACACACACACACACACACACACACACACACACACACACACACACACACACCGCACACGATTCATTTTTCTCGTCTGGTGAGCTTTTTGCTGGATATGGCAGTGGCAGACTGACACGGGCTCGGTGTTGGGTGGGGCCGCAGTGGGAGGACAGAGGGGAGAGGGGGGATGGGATGGGGTGTGCTGGGTAGGATTGGGTTGGCCTATCTTGGCTGTGTAATGTTGTGCGCACGTGGCTCTGGTCTTCTCTGTGTGGCGGGGGCGGGGCGGGACAGCTTGTGTTGTAGCTTACGGTAACCTGCTTCTCGTACCCTGTCTCTAGAAGTCCTGTGCGCATTCTTCTTGCCCCAAATAACCTGCATCATGCCCCCCAAGGAGGAGAAGCCCCCGCTCACGGAGGAGGAGATCCGCGAGAAGTTTGATGTGCGTTCGTTCCCTCTGTCCTACCCTACCCTACCCTACCTGCTGTGCCTTGTCCCCAGCGCCTGCTTCTCACCAATGCTGGTATAAACTTGGCCCTGTTTTGCACGGGGACTTTAGGAGGTGACGGCGACTTCCATCGATGCGCAGGCCAAGACTTTTCTTCGCGCCTTTGTCTCCGAGTTCTCGGGCAAGTTTGAGGAGGTTCTGGACCTTGCTGAAGAGTTTAAGAAATATGCCCCCGAGTATGTTTGTCATCGCTCCCCCACTTCGTGCTTTGCTCCTATCACAGGAACACATGAGATGCTCATTGATGTCTGATCCGTTGTTGATAGTACTGGCGTGGTTCGCGAGCTGGAAGAGGACAAGGCGCACCTCTTCCTCGAACGCCGCGGCGAAACGCTCACCGTCAAGGAGCTTCGTGACGGTTCGTGATATGACTTGGCAGCATACAGTCGCACAATCTCTCGCAGCAGCTCCGACTTCAAACTGACTTGCCGTTTTGTCTTGCGCAGCTCTGAAGGAGATTGATCTCGACAGCAACAACCGTGTCAGCTTTATCGAGTACTGCATGTACAAGTATGAGAAGAAGCTGCCCGAGCTGTTTGAGGAGAAGGACCATCAGATTGAGCACCTTTTGCGTGCCCTCGAGGCTGCCATTGATGCTTACCAGCAAGCCCTTGCCGAGAAGCAGGCCCGCGAAGAAAAGATCAAGCAATTGGAGGCCCAAGCCGAGCAGGGTGGTGTCAAGGGCATGCGTGCCAAGGCTGAGCTCGAGGCCATGCGCAACGAGGATCAGCTCGAGCGCAACAAGCGTGAAATTCAAGCCGGTGCTAAGCAACGGGCAGCCCAAAAGGCCGTCGACAATGGCGACCCCTATGCTGAGGAACAGAAGCGCCTGGCTGCCGAGAAGAAGAAGCGCGAGGAAGAAGAGAAGAAGCAGCGCGCTGAAGCCCGGGCACGTCTTGCTGAGAAAGCAAAGCTCTGGAACTGAGTTCACCCACTGCATCTTTGCATGTCAACATTTGCACGCGATATAATTTTTTTTTTCTTGGGACGGGTGGGGGGGAAACCACCCACACTCATCCGCATTCTTCTTGGTTTTAAGCCTGCCTGTGTCTCGCTCTCCCTTTTTTGCCGACGCATCATGTTTGTGACGCTCTCGCCCCACGCCTGCAATGCAGCCGGTTTTCTTTGAAAAAGACCATTGGGGAGGCAGGCAACCTTGTTCAATCTATAAACAATAAACGGATGCTTAGCAGTCAATTTTTCCTTCCATGGCTCAAAACAACCCGTGCGGCTCAGCCGCTGAACCGTGCCGTCTTCATACGATCTCAGGCGTGCTGGGTGACACTTCGGCATGATTTCCTGGCTCCATGCCAGCAGGTGCGGTGGTGCCTGTCATCGCCGGTGCCGGCGGTCGTTGTTGTCCAAATCGTGCAAAGGCCTGCACCACACGATCATCCGCCGCCGAGCCTGGGGTCGAGAGCAACAAAGAGTGGGAGAAAGTAAGGTCAATCTTTTGTCAACGTACGTCGCACTCAAATGACAGCGAGAAAATGAGACAAATCATAAGTCATACACACCCGTTGTCAAAACTCGTAAAGCGTGATCCAAACGTTCATAGTGCATGGCGGGTTGGGGCAGAGCGGCCGCACGGTCCTGATTGGTCATCAAAGTGCCTGGTGAGTTTGGCAAATTGGCTGTGCTCGGCCACACCGTGTGTCAAGCAAGGGCCCACCTTCAAAACGAGAAAGCACAAGCGTTCTACTGCAGGCGCTTGTGGGATAGGAACGGCCGTGTTTCCGCTTGCACACCCGCACAGTGTCGGGGGCGCGCTGGCTTGCGCCAACGTTTCCACATGCCGTGCTATGCGTGTGGTGCACCACAGATATGATATTAGCAAGCTCGCCTGTATCGTTGTCGCACGAACAAACTCTCTCCCTTCTCTGCTCCACTCAAGCCAAGGACACAAGAGCACGCACCGAGTGGCAAAGCTGTTTGGGACTTGGCCAACATGTCTTGCAATTCGCGCCGGTCGCTCACACTCAAATTGGCCACCTCCCGCGAGACCTAAAGGCCGAAGCAGACTGCCATCAGTGTCACAGAATGGCCGCGCCAACCTGTTCGAGCCAAGCTAGAGATGCTGCGAAAAACAGCTCAAGCAAAAGCATGGCTCTGCTGAGTCCCTTTTGAGCGGTACCTTGCGATCGGCCAGTTTGATGCGGTACAGCTGCCAAAGACATTCTTTTTGAAGCAACCCATGATAAAACGTCATCTAAGCAGTAACAAAGCGACCTCTTGTGAATACGAGAGACAGTGAATGATAGCAAAACTAAAAAACATACCATTGTCGTCGCGGCTTCCGCTTGGGTGACCAGCGTGGGAGGGGTGGTCAGGTTGAGCTCGCGTGCCAGGGTCAGTTGCACGTGTTGCACAGCGGCATGAATGTCCACATATGTATTGAACATGCGACGAAGCGTGCTAATCACCACGGCCGTCGCGGGAGCATCATGCTCCAAACGCGCTAGCGCACTAAAGAGCGGAACCATGGTCACGTGTGTCTCGTCCACGGCACGGCGAAACACCTGCATCAACGTGCGCATGGCCTCGGGTATAACACCAGTCCCGGCTCCGTTCTGTGCAGCTGTCGTCAGGACAGCGCGAGCTGCTTGCGCCCGTGCTGCAGTTGCAGCCTCTTGACCGGTCTCGGCGGACGTACCAACGGAGCTTGACCCCGAATGCTCAATCGCCTTGATCAGTTGCCGCGCTGCCCCGTCGGCCCACGCCTTGTAACGTAGCGAAATCCAGCGTAGCGTTTGACAGGCCAGGAGCAGGAGGGGGCCCGCAAGTGCGTGGGGGGCCTCCGGTAAAAGCATGTGCTGAAAGGGACCCACAAGCAAGTACAAGCGGAGCCAAGCCTTGCCAGCTTCGCAGGGGTGGCCGCCCACCAGTTCGGCAAATAACTTGGCTCGCTGCAACAGAGCCTCTGCAAAGTGCTTGTCAAAGCCTCTTCGCCGGCGATGAGAGTCGGAGAGCCCCAAGCAGGTGGGGCAAGCCGCCGAGTAAAAGTAAGGGCGCAAGCACATTTTGTCGAGGATGCGAAGCACGTATGCATCTCCAGGCAGCTGAAGCTGGCCCAGAACCCGAAAAAGAGCAGGTAGAAAAACGGTCATCAGCTCCTCCCGAGCATATTCGCCTACAGCACGGGGTGGCTGCCAGAAAATCTTGTTGACGGCCCAATTGAAGAAGCTCTCGTGACGCTGGCGATAGAGGACAGCACCGGCTTCCACCAGCACAGTGGCCACGGCCTCCACATAAAAGCGGGCATGGAGTCGCTGTACGTTGGCGCTTTGGTGTGCTCCTGCGGCGCCCGAGGCAGGAACATTGGGGATGCGGCTCAACAGTTCGGCCAGCTATGTAGAGACCAAGGCAACAACCAGGCCAAGGTGAGTGGAGGTGGCATAGCCACGACAAAGGTAGGAAGGTCGACAACGAAGAGGCGGATGCAAACAACGACGATTTGCAATAGTTTGTCCATTTGGCACCGCCTCGTGAAATCGGGCCCAATGCCTACCCGCGTGCGCGCCGCTTCGTCGATGGTTTGAACGTGAAACGCCACGGGACGGTTGGCATTGACGACAACATCGTCGACCAGCCGAACACTGGGATCACGCACAACACGTCGGGTCAAACGCTGCAAGAGCTCAAGGCGTCGCCGTTGCTGTTGCTCAAAAGTTCTGGTACGCTGCGGTCCAGCTTTGAGCGCTGAGGCTATGAGGGCCAAGCGTGTTGCCCATGGCAGGTCAGCGACCTGCCATTGCGCCAACGTTGATGCCCATTCCAAGTCGTCCTGCAGCGTCACGGCCGTCAATGTTGCGTCTTGATCCAAGCCCTAGCAGAGCGGCGATTTCATGCAGAATGCGGGACGGGAGATGAGCGGAACTACACTTTGACGCAAGGTTTTGCAGCTTTTGAGGTCACGAGCACCGTGGAACGTTCTTTGTTTTTTCCTTGTGCTAGGCAGTTGTGAACACGTACTTGCTGCCGGTGATCAGACCAGAGCATGAGTGCCACGGAGGCTGCACAGAGCTCGAGGTGGCAGTCGCGTAAGAACAGAGCAGCCAAGGCCCAGGATTGGGCGGTGGGAGTAGACACGTGTCCGGCCCACCAGGCCAGAATTTGTAGACGCAGCAAGCGCGGATGATCAGGCTCAGGTGCAGATGCACCAGCATCGTTTTGCTGCATCAAGAGCAAGAGAAGGACCCAGAGACGATCCAGCCGAGGGCCGACACTAGCGTCCAGTTTGTCTTGAGTGAGGAGCAGCTGAAGTTGGGGCAGGAGTCGCTTGAGACACCAAAGCCGGACCATGGCTGACAGGCCGGTTGGAGTTTGCAGCCCAGTCTCGAGGAGAGAAATGACCACGCTGACGGGCAGCGCTCGCGTTGCGCGCAGGTACTCGGCATTCCAAATCGCAAGGAGCTCGGCTGTGCCTTGAGGCATGAAGAGCTGGAGTAGCGGGGCCGCAGCTTCGTACTCCCCGAGCACCGCGCGCTGTGCAGCGGCCTTCCAAACAACCTCAAGACAAGGTAAGACACGCGGATCCATACGCTGAAGGCTCTCCAACCCACAAAGATCGCGCAAGAGCTGCCCCGTAGGCTGAAGATCGATACCGTACATGAGCTGAGTATGCGCCAATTTGCACACCAACGCCAACCAAGTGCTGCGAGCCGTGCGCGCCGCGCCTTCAGGTGTCCACAGCGACTGGTGAAAGATACTGCTTACACGCTGTGCCAAGCGCTGGACTTTGCCCCGGAAGCTGCCCAGCTCCTCGCCAGCGTGCAGCTGAAAATGCCACAGTGCACTGAGACAGGCAAGTAACACGTGGCCCAGATTGCAGATCCCACACAAGGAGTGATTCAAGCTCTCGTCGAGGCAATAAAGTTGACGAGCAGGATGTGGTTGCGTTGGGAAGCGAGCCATGTTCCGATTGATGAAGCGGATGGCCAGCTGGACATCTTGTTGCGCGAGGTCACGCAGCAAGACAGCGAAATGAGCTACTGGGCCTTGCACTGCTGCTGAGGGGGCTTGCAAAAAGGGATCCAGAAGGGGCGCTTGTCGATGCCAGTAGCAGGGGCGAGAAAGCTCGTTCCACAGCGCTTGCACAAGGCCAAATTCGGCTAGAGGTTGGTAAGCGCGGTAGATGAGCGAGGAAGAAAGTGAAATGAATAGTGGCATATGAACGCCCGCGTTCAGTTCCGTTGGCATGACAAGACGAACGTGCTATGACAGAGGACAAGTGACGTAGGGATGGCATAATGCGGTCCAAAAGTGGCTCCTAAACGACGAATCGTGCTGAATTGAGAAGAAAAGCTTCGAGGGCTCCATCAAGACATGGGAAGCGCACCGTATGCTGTTGGCTCAGTGCTGCGAGAGCAGCAGCTAGAGGCCCCAATTCTACGCGAGAAGCACTGGCCGATTGCTCGCCCTAACAGCACAAGTCGATAGGCCACAGATGAGGCTGCGCAAGATGATGCAGCGTGGTCTTGCGACGTGTTGCAGGACCTGCGCAAGACACGTCGAGTGTGCAAGATCCTACCTTGAACTTTGCCAACCGTGCAAGAAAATATAAATCGTCCTCCACCTGCGAGGCTATCAGCACAGTCGTTCTGTGGCCAAGACCAGCAAAAAAAAGCCGTGCAACACTTTGAGTGACAAAGACAAGCTCGCAATAACCTAGCTCTCTGATTCCCCTGTCTCCCTTCAACCATCCCTTTCAACATCCCATCTGGACTTCAGCTCATGTTCACAGGGTAGGACGCACTCAGGGCCGCTCAGCGGCAGGCTTTGTAACTTGTGCATAATCTTGGTCAAGAGTACTGAAAACGTTTGCGAGGGGAGGATGCGGGATAGTAGTTTGACGGCATGATACAGTGGGCCTTCGGAATCATTCATTTCGGGGGTGCCTTCTTGAGCAAGCTGTTCTTCTGGTGGCACATTGCAATCATGATGGCGCCAGAGCCACGGCCGACGACGATGAACGTGCAATAACCCATCTAGGATTGCCAGAAGCAAATGTGGACCGTCTCTGGCTTCAGCAAGGGGCACGAGCGTAGCCAGCACCAAGCAGCAGTCGATGAACGCAATGGGCCAACGCTGAGCCCTCTCACTCTCGGGGCTGGAAGTGGCAACATCATCATGGGCATTGACCAAGGCGGCCAGGCCAGCTGCAATGGCACGAGCAAGCTCGATGCGAAAGGTACGATGGGTGGTGGCATCCAATAGCTCGGGCGCCAGGTAGCGCGCGTGAATGGCAATGTCATGCAGTAGGTTGAGAGCAGGTCGCAAGCGAGCAGCAAGGTTGGCCTCGTCCGCGTTTTGTCCTTTGAGCGGTGGTATGCAACGCAAGGTGGCCTGGAGTCCAGCAGTGACGGCAAGCATGTGCTCATGGGTGCGGGCGACCAAGTGGGTCTCTGGCAAAGGAGGTGGCAGGCGCAAAAGACTGAGCGAAACAGACGGGAATGAGGCCCAAGTAGCCACGGGTGGGCCAGGTTTGAGCGCTGTCTCTATCGCCGATAGCCAGGATTCGGCCCTGAAGTCCTTGAGCAGTATTGTGCCTGTGAGATCAGTGCCTCGGCTGTCAAACTCTAGCCCCGCCCAGCCAAAAGGTATTGAGATGCACGCCTCGGGACTGACAGCTGCTTTTGAGCAGTCGCTGAGCCGAGCCAGGTGAGTGCTTTCAAGTTGAGACACGAGATCCGTCAGATGCCGACAAAGGCCTGATGGGTCGATTGGCTTTGGGGGAGCTCTCGGGGGGTGCGCAGAGGATGCTGGACCATGGGCTTCAGGAGAGCGCGCGGGCGCCGAGTCTTGTTCTTCAGGAGAGTGCGCATGCGATGGGCCCTGCCCTTCTGGAGAGGGTCCCGGCACCGATTCTTGTCGCTTGGCACGCTTACGAGCTCGGCGTCCTCCACCGCCAAAGCTTGGCGAGCCGGGTGGCTGAGTCGCAGAGGCCGGCGGGGAGTTGGGCGGGGTCGACGCCATCGATACCGGGCTGACCTGAAACGACCCTCAACGCCACGCCCGCACGCACGCACGACCACCCGGCGGCGGATAGAGACACCACCGCTTCTTCTTGTATCAAGGCAGCCTCGTGCCTCAACCCGCAGCCATGATGGATGCTACCAGCTCACTGCTGCCATGTCCCGCGCCGACGTCACAGCTCACCTCGCTGCCACTCTTTCCGTAACGGTCACAAACAGAGAGAGAGATGAGAGAGATGAGAAGATGAAGAGAAAAGGGAAGAAGATGTAGTAGATGATCAAGAAGATGAAGCAAAATCGAGGTTTAATGAAGTTGTTCTAGCATGTTACAATGGAAATCAGACCGAGTAAATGAAGATAAAATTTGATATGAAGACGATACTGCTCTACTAGATAAACACCATACTAACGTTGTTGAAAATCGTGGAAATGATGACATCTGACATCTTCACTGTTTTTTTTTTTTTTTTTTTTTCAATTTTTCATTTTTTTTCTGGTGAGTGAGATCAGTGGCATTGCGAGACCTGTGTGCCCGTCTGCCCGTCTGCCCGTCTACCTGTGTGACCGTTTGACCATTTGCGGAATGCATTCTATGCTGATTGCATGTGTGGTGTGAAATGCCTGTGTTTGAGTGGTCAAATGCATTGCATTGAGGCTGGGAGAGAGGCGGCATCGGCCAACAACGGAGGGCCAGGAGGTGGCACGAGACTCACGCTGAGACCTTGGCATCGCTGCAGATCAAACCTTTGCCATGGCGGAAGTAACCTCCCTGCCCCCGGGCTGTTTCCCGACCATGATCACGCCCATGGCTGAGGATGGCGCCATTGACTTCAAGCGCGTGCGCACCCTGACCGAGTGGTACATCGAGGTACACACCGCGTTCTCCGCTCAGCTAGAGATCGAGACAAGAGCAAAATCGCTGTCAGCTCAGGGCGTGTACCCCCTCTGCCTAGGCCGGCTGCACGGGCCTCTTTGCCAACTGCCTCAGCAGCGAGATGTTCAACTTGACCGATGAGGAGCAACTCGAGCTCACAAAGGTCCGTTCACCCAGCACCAATCATACATAGAGAGAACGTCGTCCTTAACCACGTCTGCGCCTGTTTGTTCAACGCAGGTCGTATACGAACAGACAAACAAGCGCGCTGTGGTGGTATCCACGGGCACAGGTACGTTTGCTTGCCGTGACCTTCACTTTGATGAACGTCTTTCGTGCTCCTCATGCTCGCATGAATCCAGGTCTGAACAAGTCAATTGAGGAGCAGGCCGAGCACATCAAGCGAATTGCCGGTGTCTCAGATGCTGTGGTGGTGCGTGTCAAGCATGGTAGAGCACCACCTGATAGTTTAAGTGTTCTGTTTGTGCCAGCTGCCGTCACCAGCGCCATGTCTTCATCTCCTCAACTTGACGATCTGACGCTCCGTTTTGGGCACGCTTGTCTAGGTTGTAGTCAACCAGCTCGCCAAGGCCGATGAGTCGGATGAGGTTTGGAAAGCTAATGTACAGGTGCGCTCATTGGCCTCCAAGCAAGCAGTGGCGTGAAAGTTTTGCTCAGCGCCCCAGCACGTCATCTGTACCGCTTTCGTCTGACCGCATCCACCCAAATCACCCGAGTAGAAGCTTCTTGACTTGACCCCGGGCATTCCCCTGGGCCTCTACGAGTGCCCCAAGCCCTACCATCGCTTGCTGGCCCCTGCAACCCTGGCTTGGGCAGCTGCCACGGGCCGTTTCTTCTTCCACAAGGACACGTGCTGCAAATCTCAGGTCTGTCCAATTTACCCTGCTCCTGCCCAAGCCACTGGCCACCCAAGGAGAACACGCGATCGTTGACGTGGTCGCCTTGCTGCTTTGGCGCGTCATCACGCATACCCATTTGGCTCCGATTGTTCCAGCCGATTCGGGAAAAGCTGCAAGCCTTGGCTCTTCTAGACAAAGCTGTGCCTTTTCGCTTCTACAACGCCAACGTGGCCACGCTGCGCATGTCCATTCAAGAGGGTGGCCAGTGAGTGAAGAGCGATCCAAGCATGACGACCCCGCGGGCTCGCCCTTGCCCGGTAAAGTCTTCTTCATGAAATGGCTCATGTCTGGATGTGGTGTTTCTGTCTTGCAGTGGCTTCAGTGGCATCAGCGCCAACTTTTACCCACACCTGCTGGTTTGGCTTTGTGCCAACGCGGGAGACGCAAGGGCAGCCGAGGTTCAAGCACATTTGTCCGTCTTTGAAAACGTCGTTGCCGACACGGTACGTGCTCACCCGTCACGCAGCCAGAACCGTCCGGGATGGTGGCGAGTGCGCATGGCCCATACATCCTCTTTGGATTGCCTTGTGTTGCCCATCTTTAGTATCCCCGCTCGGCCAAGCGTTACCAGCAAATCTTTGCACCTTTGCAAGGGCCCGAGGGCACCCGCGTCGGTGCGTTGACTACCTCGTGCCACACGGTGGCTGATGTATTGCCACTGCAATGTCTCGCTCGGCACAGCCGGCACCAGAACCCTTGACACGGCCGTTGTGCTCCTTTGCTTTCAATTTTACTTTGTTGTCGACATGGCATAGGTGGTGCGACTCTTAACGAGGAGCAAGACATCAAGCTACGCGACCTACACGCTTGCATGGAGGCCCTTTGCGCTCGCCTCAGCATCCCCGTGGTTGTCCCCAAGGCCCTCTAGTTGCGCTTCGGGTCTCCTTGTCACTTGCAATTTAGGCGCCTTTCTGCAAGTCCAACACGTAGCAACACACAAATGACACAGCAAAAGATCTCCATCACACCCCGCTGCACCCATGGAGCCAACATGCGCGCCCTCAAACCAGTCATTAGAAGAGCAAGCGCACACGCACATATCCAACATCTATATGTAGCTGATGAAACATACACATCCGTGAAAACAAACGACTCGCTCTCTCTCTCTCTTTCTTTACCTTTCTCTCTCTCTCTCTCACACACACACACACACTCTCTCTCTCTCTCTCTCTCTCTCTTACCGACCAAACCAATTCACTCTCTCTCTCTCTCTCTCTCTCTCTCTCTCTCTCTCTCTCTCTCTCTCTCTCTCTTTCCACACACACACTCTCTCTCTTGCAAGGATTTTGATTGAGGCGGGAGGGGGTCAAGAGACGGGATGTCCAGGGCAAGGGTGTGGAGGCTTGGGCACTGACAGCTAACCCATGCTGGAAGAGGCGATCTGCCTTTGACACGCGCATTACTGGTCACTGACAATTGCTGGTTGGCAGCCAGGGCTGGCTTCTTGCCAACGCAACGGGTCGACATGAGCCATTCACTGCCAGGCTTGGAGCAGCCGCGCCAGGCATCGAGTCGAGCGCCCAGCGCAGCCAGCCATCTAGATGATCTGAGCAATCTGAGCTGTGCTCTTGAAGGTAGCGTTGGCAGGCTGCTAGCAATGAAGTGGTGGCAAGGGCCCGCGTACCCGCGCGGCTCGATATCGCACGTCCCCTCATTCAAACGGCGTGCCGCACATGACGACCCTGCCTTCTTTCCACAGATTCATCGACCAATCACAGTCTTCAAAGTGAAACCACGAGCGAGACGGAGACAAGCCTTCGGCCTAGGTTGGTGTTCAGCTTGTACCAATGTTGCAGCTCCGCTCATGTCCCCTTTTCCACGCCGCTCAGCCAATGCTCAACTGCCATCCCCTGTGCTAGTGTGGAATGCGCTCTCAATGCCGAAACCATTCCCACCAAGTCTGGCAGCCAGCTCGTCAATGTCACCTACATGGCGCAAAGTAGGTTTGCTAGGTCAACCGACCGTTATGCGATTTGGTGTGCTTACCCGCCTGGCCCCGCTCTCTCATCTGCGCTTGCACCCTCGTCGTAGCTCAACCCTACGCGCTGCAGTTGTCCAGCAGCACATCGCAGCAACTCACGGTCCGTTGCCAGACCAGCCCGGTTTCCGCTACCCATTCCAATCGCTGTGTTTTGCTCCGTGTAACTACTCTTGAAGCATCGCATCTCATGGCCTCTTGTTCAATGAACAGTCCCGCTTGACGCTGCGCATCATGGACATTGTCAAGGCCGCCCAGGCCCAGACAGCTATCGAGGATTGGCACAAATCACACCCGGACCAAACCATGCTCGAATACGGTCAGCCCTCGCCTCGCGCTCATCTCTTTGAAGCACCCTCGCCGTTTAGACCCTACCAAACGATCGGTCCAGCTCTCATTGATCCGTGTGTTTGTTTCTTTTGTTACAGTGCAACACATGTCCCAGTCTGTGGACCACATTCAGATTGGCCACGAGGCGGATCAGCACCTGGGTTGTATCTCCTTTGACTGGGAAGGGCGCCAGCGGGCCAGCTTTGGCTTTCAGGTGACTTGTTTCTGACCTCCCCATCCGCTTGGACAGCACATCGCACCTCTGCTTGGCTGACCTCCATACACACCCTTCAACTAGATCAACTGTCTTAGTACTACCTTTGTATCTGGGCGAGGCGGACAGGCTGGTGTGACGCTGGCATTGCGCGTTGACACGGCTCTCAAGGCCTCCGGCGTTCCCGTACACTCTTGTTTTTGTGCCATCAAGGTCTTTGCTGGCAAGGGCATCATCCGCAAGCGTTTACAGTCAGATCTGGCCAAGCTCACAAAGGCAGGTCTGGACATTGCCAAGTATGACGAGGTCGTAGTCTTCTCCGAAACTTCTGTACCGTCGATACTGCCCGAACCCATCACGCTACGCCCTCTAGCCCCGTCCGCGGTTCCTCCACAAACACTGGCAGCCACCTCCAGCCTAAATACTGCCGCGCCCGTGAATCCAAGCCTATACCTACCGAGCAGCAACTCGACACAGGCCCACCCACGGCCACACGACGCAGCACAAGGTAGATTATTATTACCACCCTTTCTTTGCTTAAAAGTTCCTTGGGGCCGGCCGCTTTTCCTTTCGCCCGTGCTCTGGACTCATGGCTCTGCTGACGTATCCCTTGAATATTTACTGGCCGCCCAGCTCTACCTACCGAAGTCGCCGGCGCTTCTGTTCCCGATCAGCACTCAACCCCATCGCTAGCGATACCCTCCGGGAACTGGACCTTAAACTCGCCATCACCACAGCCTCACATGATACCCGAGCGCCTTTTCGTCGGGGCAAACAATATCGCTGTCTCACCAAACCAGCAGTCATCTTTACCTTCCAATTCGACCGCGTTAGCAGCATCAAACCATTCGGCGCAAGCGCGCGATCAAGGTGGCGAGCCCATCCCGGGTGCTGGAAACCACATGATGCCTACAGCAGCACCCCTGGATCAAAACTTGCAGGCCTTGAGCATTGATCAGGCCTCCCACTTATTTCAGGACCTGGCAGATAACGATCTTCTTGATCGGCTTTCGCTGGATTCGCTCCGCTCGGGCCACACGTCTAGCCGTTCCGTGGGGCCGGCACCCGCACATTCACCGTCCAATATGCAGTTGCCCCCTACCTCCAGCGTATCCCTGATGGCAGACGTGGCGGCAGCATTGCCGCCGCCGCAGGATCGCACCCACCGAGCACAGTCGTCACCCATGCGTCCCAGTGACCCTGTGACGCTCACAGCACAGAGCACAACCGACGATGTACAGCGGTGGCTTTTTCACAATCACTTTCATCACTTTTTACATGACCTTGAACATTATGATGGTACGTCGGCTTGGACAGGCTGGCTTTGCTTCTGCCGTTGTGCCTTCAAGGACAACTCTGCCTTCTGATTTGGCTCGAAACGAGGACTCGTTTGATTTTGATGAACAACAAAATGTGCTCGCCCATGTGCCCAGGATCTGTTTTAATGGGTTTGGATCAAAAAGAGTTGATCACAATTTGTGGTACGGCCGAAGGCATTCGAATGCATTTTCTGCTGCACAAGAAGAATTCGACACGGTAAGCTGCTTGTGATCCTTGAAAGGCAGGTTCTTGGAAACGAAACCCGAAGAAGTCCCAAGCAGACTCAAAGCATCGTTTGTGTTACCCGCATTCTGTGTTCAACTTTGCTCAAACTTAGTGCCTCGACGAGCGAGGCGGAGTCTCCTCATGAAACACTCAAAATGACACAATGGACACAGACCAGCAATGAAGATGCAGATGAGTAAGTGTGCGCAAGTGTGCGGGTTGAACACCAAGCGGCTCCGCCTGCATTTTTATCATCCCTCATTCTTTCGCCTTGCAATATTTATGGTAGCTTTGCGGATCCACACGCGGCCAAGCGGGAAAAGCCCAACGAGGAGCTGGAGAATGCCAGCCGGAATTGATGATAGTGTGTCGAAGCTGGAACATTTGAAATTCTAAATGCTAATTATGTTTCACGATTTGCTTCATCAATTGCCCCAGTTTGGCAAAGGCTCGAGTTACAAGCCCGTCATTGCCAATGGGGGTCCTTTGTCCTCTGGGTCTGCTTGTAATGACCGCTCCTCTACATCCAAAGCTTGATCTTTCCATCCCAGCCACAGGTGGCCACAGTCGACTTGTGGTACGGATTCCATTCCACACCAATGCAAACCTTGTCGTGCGCCTTGAACTTGCTACATTTGACAAAAAAAGGGGCAGTCGATCGCAAAAAAAAAGACGCAGAGGAAGGGGTATCAGACGAGGATGAGTGGATGTACCCCTCTTCAGCCATGCAGTCATGTGCGACGTGAGAACTGTAAGTAAAAAGATAAACAATGCTACGCACTTGTACATGCGCTTGGATTTCCAGTCCCAGATGCAGCAGTAACCATGCGCGTCACCGCTCATCACGTAAGCACCATCGGGCGAGAAGTTGACCTGACAGGCATAGCCTGCAGTCAGATGACCTATCCCGTGGTAAAGATGCGAGCCCCAAGATGAGTTGGCGCATGGCCTGTTGACGAAAGAACACAACGATGGCGATTCCGAAACATACCTTTGAAGGCCTTGCGATGGTTGGGCCGGAAGCGATCTTGCGCACTAAAAATGACCACTTGATTGTCCATGGACTGACAAGCCAGCCACTTGCCTGTGAGGCGTGTGTTGCCATCAAACATGCGAATCAAGCATTAGAAAGGTGAGGGTATAGAGCACACGGAAGCAAAGTGCAATAATGACTTGATAACGCTCAGAATTTATGAGAATAAAAGGTTTCAGCACAGTGCTTCAGATTGAAGACTGAAAAAAAAGGTATTCATCAGGGCGAGACTAATTTCGGGTCAAGATCACAGATGAAAAATGTGCATACCGTCTGGGCGAAGTGCCACCGAAGGCATGGAGTGCATGTTGGGATCGGCAATGTATTTGATATCAACAGGAATATCCCACTCCCAGACGCGCAGGGACTTGTCATCGGAAGTTGTGACCATACGCTTGCCGTTCTCAACAAAAGTAACGGTGTTCACAGCCCCCAGATGACTGCATACGAAGAAGGGGGTCATCAGTCCAAATGTACCGGGCATGGATGGACGACGAGGCAAAACGAAAAACTAACCGATCGTACTCCTGGACAATCTCCTGCGTGTTGGTGTCCCAAGTCAGGATTTTGCGATCCTGCGTGCCGACGACGAACAAGTTCTACGTGCGCAGAGACAAAAAGTGGGGTGTCATGCTGCGAAAGTCCTTCTGGCTGCACCTCTGTCCACTGAACAACGCGAATATACCTGCTTGTCCTCATCAGGATGAAACTTGACGCAGTAAGGAGTCTTGTGGTTGGTGAAGCGACCCAGGCACTGGCCCGTTTCTGTGTCCCACAGTCGTGCATAACGGTCGTAGCTGCGCCACGTACACACGAAAAGGCAAACCATAATTCCAATGAGCAGAAATGAAGGAGCAAGGGAAAGCATAAATACTTGGGTCACACAGAAGCAAAGGCAAGCTATCTGCCTGCGCCTTGATTTCAATATGAAGCACGAGCAACAGAACCGTCGTACCCGCAGCTGACGAAGCGAGTGCCGTCACGATTGAAGCAAATGTCTCGCACGCCCTGGGTGTGCCCCAGGTAGGTGCGAACCACTTGACGATCATCGTACACCTTCAATTGACCACGTGAATGAAAGCGAAAAAATTGAGTTGGCAAAAAGGTTGAAAAAAAAAAAAGAAGAAGAAGAAGAAGGGTTGCGTGCTTGCGTGTCCAAGAAGCACACAATCGTACCTTCCAGAGCTTGACCTTGCCGTCGAGGCCGGCGGAGAGGAGGAGATGACCGGTACGAGGAAAGAACCGCACGGCATTGACGCCCTTGGTGTGGCCCTCGTAGGTGTGGACTTGCGTCTTGGGCAGATAGCACTTTTCAGGTGCCTCACCAAACTGAAAAATAAAAAAAACAAAAAAAAACAACGGTGCAGGCCACAGTCGCGATTAGAAAGAAGGATGTCGCACTGGGAAAATCATAGTCAACATGAAAGGATGACCAGGAAAGACGGACCGACACATCTTCGACCGGGCCCGGCTCCATCCATGATCGACCTTGGTAATCGTACTCCTCTTTGACTGCGAGCATGATCGCAGGATAGTGTTGACAAAGTGAAGGTGGGTAAAGGGTGTGCTCCAAGCAAGAAGTTAATAAGAAGGATGAAGCGCGCGTGCTCAAAGCGTGTCCACAGACAACTAAACGCACGATGGAGAATCGAGGACTCGTCGCCCTCGTCCTTGGCATGCTTGGCATCTTCATCCTCATCATCGCGGGACTTCTTCTTGTTCTTGCTGTTGTTTTTGCGATACTCAGCGTACTCATCCAGGATCTTTTGCTCTTCTTCGCTGGGCTTGGCAATGCGCTGCTCGGTTTTGGGTGCAGCCCACGGACCAAGATATGCATCCAAATCTGCTGGATCACCTCGCGATTCGCGCTGGCCTTTGTGCTTCTTCTTGCTGCCCTTTGTGCGTTTGGTGTGCACGAGCGACTCACTGTCATGCGCCGCAGCTGCACCCTTGTCACCAATGACCCTGCGAACGATTGTTGCCGACGGTGTGTGAAACGCTGGGATCGGCTGCGTAGCCACGCACGGCAAACGTCCGCTGTTGGTCGTCAAAATGGAACGAATCAATATCGCCCTGCTCCACATGACCTGTTTATTTAGCCCAGAGGAAAAGAGGGGGGGGGGGGGGGGACTGAGCGATTGAGTTCAAAGACGGCACATGACCGGGCGACCGAGAGCGGGGCAGCCGAACATGCAAAAAATTGTCAACCAAGGAACACGCACCCGTGTAGGTGTTGAAGTGGATGTGCTTGGTAGGATTTTCAAAACGGGGGCGCGGCCCCACCTACAAAGTCATAGAGGTGGACGCATGAGGATCAACGTACAACAGCGGCAGCAGGAGGGAAGCATGCAACACCTACCACTGGTGCAAACAGTTCTTCCGCCTTGGGATTGTATGAGATTTCACGCTGTGCCGGACTGATGTGGTACAGGCCAGACTCGGTCGGCTGAGACAATGAAGCAACACAAAACCATCCATCACAATGAGGAGGGACCCGGGCATCAGATCAAGTGCCCAAGAAAAGAAAAAAACACCTTCAACAATTCCAAAACCCATGCTCACAAACTTACCCTAGCCGGAACAGACGGTGCCGTATTGACTGCGATGCCTGTGGTGGTGCATAGACACAGCGCACCAAGCGCGTGAGATGAACGGACCCAAAGGGTGCACGAACAGTGACCGACAGATTGATTCTTGTCCAAAAAAACACATACTTGTAGCCGGGGCCGTCTTTGCGCTCGTCTTCACATGCCCCTTGACATTCTGAGGCGCCTCATCCTCTTCATCTGAGGAGGCGCTGCCATACGCGGCTGCCAAGTTGCCCAACGCCGCCATCGCCGTCGGTCAACGTTCACCCTGAAACACAAAAAAAAAAAACGAAAAAAGTGAACCAGCAGAAGGAGAGAAGGATATCTTGGCCACAACAATCGTTCACCACATGTTTTTCCCGCGTACGTCAAAGCACCACATGTTTGTCAGAATGTCAGACATTTTATGCTGCTGTCGGACGAGCTCAGTTGTCAGCACCGATGCACAGGACGGACTGGGCCCTGGACTGAGCTGAGCTGAGCTGAGCTGAGCTGAGCTGAGCATCTGCGCAGGTGCTGGCAGATCTGACGTGGAGGGCAGCAGGTCTTTTGATGGAAGTGGCGGAGGGGCACATTGGTGCTATATCAATGGGTTGAGGCCTCGCTTCGTGTTGTTCCAAATTCTGTAGCGTGCCACGATGGCGCTCTTCCCCGATGCACGCTGCGTGCTACCCGCTCGATATAGCGAGCCGGTTCCATTTGGTGAGCCTGCATGCGCTGCAGTCTTGGCACGTCCTGCATGTGAAGGCACAAAGAGCTCATGGAAATGTTTGCGCCGCCGTTTTTCCTCGCGGCATGTGTAGTTGAAGCCATAGCCATCACCGTGGAAAACCCCAAGCAGTCCTCGCTCCTTCTCAAGTTTGTGATGCTGCCTTGGTCATTTGCTGCTCGTGCTTTGTATCATAGTCTCATGCCGTGTGTCTGGCCCATAGAGCACTGCAGCGGTGTGTCCCGCTTGAACAGCACGGCTTGCAACACTGCCGTCGAATCCGTAAAGCTGAAGGTCAGCGCCGTGTTGGGCACATGCGCATTAGACTTGGGCAATGCCTCAAAATTCGTTTTTTCCTTTAGGTTTGCAGCTGCTCGTCGGGCCACACACGCTACTTGCCCCTGATGCACAGTTAACCACAGGTTGAGCTTCTTTGCACTGGCTGGCACTCTGTTCATCTTTCCATAAAAAGGAAACGGATTTCAGCTCAATGTAGTATACCGTCTGCCTCAACAGGTCCCTCCGTATGGGAGACCATCGTGGGCTCTGCGCCGCCTGCAGACACATTGGGCGCCGTGTCCAAAGTCTCGGTACCGGCCCGAGCACCAGAAACCCGTGCACAATATGAAGCCTGTCGAGACAGCTGGTGAGTGCGATGCCCTTGCCAATGTCGTGTCGGGGGCCCCAGTTATCAGCTTTGTGTTTCCGAATCCCTCGCGCAAGCTAACCCGGCCGTTTCTTGTCTCCTTCCAGGCCTTGCACGTTCCGCGAAAACAAGAGGTGAGCTTTTTCAAACCCGTCGCAGCAGTACAATTGCTCGCTTGGCGTGGCACGCGCGCATTGTCACCTTCGCGTTTTGCTTTTTAGCATTGGCCGTGCCCTCGATCTACCCAACGTCCTCACCCCCAGCACACGGCAGGTAAAGCCTGCTCCAGCAGACAGGCATGCCCCAGCACGCCACACGCCTGATCTGTTCTTGTTGCATGTTCTTGGCGACCAGTTTCTCCAGACTGTCTTGGCGTCCCTGGGCCATGAAAACAAACCCGAAGGCGCCCTTCTCTGCAGCCCAGCTGCGGCAGCCATACGCTGGGACTCACACCGCGTCGTTGCCACGGCGCTCCCAAACGCAAGCCATCCTTTACAGCATGCCGGTATGCATAGCGTGTGGTTCAGTCGAGTTCACCGCGCTTGAGAAGCGCCGAAGAAACCCTGCCGCGCACCACGCCCTCTTCTACTTCTCATCAACCACCTGCCCTCCACCGTGCCAGTTATGGTCTTGATTGGTCAGGTGGCCGCCCAGCAGCAAGAGCAGCAGCAAAATCAACACACAGCTGACTCCCGGCAGCAATTATCAGGGCCACCCACACTCCATGGTACGAAAAGACTTTTTGGGCCCAGAGAGACCGGCTGCGCTCGCTGTCTGTCTTACTCACCATCGGTTTCCATCGTCGAGCTAGGGCGTGACAGCGATTATCTTCTCAATGGCTTGACCGTGGTGCTGCCGACTGAACCCTGCCCAATGTATGCTGCCTTCCCGTGGATGCCACTCTCAACCGCCTCCCAATCCTTTGTCACATCTCAGCAAACGGCGTTGTGATGCAGGTGTGCTATGGCGCTGGTGCACTCGCGAGTGCAGCGCGCCGTCTTCCAATGGCCCAACGCTACCGGTAGCTTTGCTAGCCACTTTATGGTGAGATTGTGCCCGTGCGCTGGATCTTGCTTTTCAGATCTCATGCCACAATGCCTCCTTATAGATGCACGCCCACCCAGGTCTTAATCACCGCTTTGATGTCTACGAACTTGGCACCTGCGCATAAATCGTCGTGGCTTTTGCCATCGCGTGTGAGGACAGCTTGAACACCTATGCATGCTTCCAAGCCTTTGTGGACAGCTCCACCCAAGGCTCGATGTAAGGGCTATCACCTTGTACAATTTGCACACAGGTATAGCGGGATCGCGATTAGAGAATAAACTTAACATCACAATTAGAGCTCGATTATGAAGTTTGGTAGTTCAGACAATTATTTCTTCTCAGAAAAAAAAAAATGCGGGCGCTCAGCGCCTGACATGCCACGTCAAAACAGGCAAGAAAAAAAAAAGTAACAGTCGGGTGTAGCACAACGGCCCCGTCACACCCAGTCCTTGGGGTTATTGCTGTTGAGTTGCTGCAAGATGCTCTTGAGCTCGGCCGTGCGGGCACGAGACGACGCTGCGCGCAGCTCTAGCCGAGACATTGTTGGGGCAGACAGCGACATTTCACTTGCATTTATGCTTGCTGTGCGTTTGGCCTGTCCTGGATCAACTTGCTGCAGCCGACTGATCAAGTGGTCCTTGTAGCTCAGGGGACGCGGCACCAGCGATTGAGCAACTGAGGATCTGCCTGCGACCGATGACGTTGCATCGTCAAGACCTGCTGTGCCGCCGACCTGAGTACGCCCCGCGGAAGAGGCCAAGGGAGCAACACTGGCTGGAGCCGAAGTTGACCATGCCGAGGATTGTGTTGGCACAGTACGCGCCTCCTCAGCAACATCTTCAGAAGCTGCTTGTGCGTAAGTCAAGCGCAGCTGCGCCATGGCTGTGGCCACGGCAGACGTCGTGGGTGCAGGCACTTTGCGTTGCTGTTGCGACTCTCGCAGCGCTGCTTTGACCAGACGGTGCTGTGCGCGGTCCCGGAGGCGGGGGGGATGCTGCAAGGCATGCTCCAGAGCCTTGGCGGCCATGCGGGGGTTGGCCGGCAATCGCGCCTCGGAAACACCGGCCCCATTGGTCTCAGCAGCGTCGTCCTCCACGTCGTCCTCATCGTCGGAGGACAAGAGCAGTTGCTCAAATCCGCGATACTTGGCGACCTCGAGGGCGGCAACGACCTATAGTCGACAACGTTCACCAAAGCACACACATGATGAGAGATGGCACGACGGGAGGAGTTTTGATGAGGTAGATGAAACATCAGTCGGGCCGTCAAATAGGCCAAAGCAAGAACACGCTCTATCGTGATCCAGGAAGAAAAACACCAATCGCACCTGCTCTGGGTCGCTGGCAATTGCAGTCGAATGAGCGGCGTCCACCGCGGGCATTGTGCCAATGAGACTGAGTAGCTCTTGGGCGTCGGGTTCCGCGGGAGCCGGTTTCTTCTCCTTCAGAAGACCCAAAAGTCGTAGAGCTTCCTCTCTGTTCCGTGAGCCATGGGTAACAGTGGGCCCGCGCGAAGCCCGTCGCTGCAAGCTATTGGGCGGCTTTGACGCCGGCGCCGGCCGCGGCGCACAATAAGGGTTGGCCGGCATGCGCACTGCATCGGGCTGTAAGCGCTGGGGGCGATTACCAGCATGCATGGCTGCGCGTGCTCTGGCCAAAGCCGAGGGATCAGCGAGCTCTTCTGGAGACGGCGCAGGATTTGGGGCCAGACTCGGGGGAGCACCAAGTGATTGGGCAGGTTCAACAAGGTTGCTCACTAGGTCTGAAGCGGCATCGGATCGCAGATCATCAACGTTGACACCAAGGCCAAAAGGAGTCGACGCTGTCTGCATGGTTGTTGGAGGTGGCGCCTCGGTAAACGAGGGTTGCTCGTCTGCGTCCAGCATGGCGGTAAGAAAGGTGGTGCCAACGGAGTCCATCCCTGACTCGAAATCCTGGACGGCAATGGCGGGCCCAGCGATAGGTGGTAGCGCGAGCCGTTCCGAATCCAGGGGCCGAGGCTCCGCAGGCATAGCCGAGGGAGGCGGGGGTAGAGCGGGCAAGGTAGGCACGGACGCATCAACGCTGCGCAAGGCCCGACGATCGACCATGGGCGCGGGGCGCTGGGGCTGGGGCTCCTCAGTCACAATCTCAATGCCGTTGCGATGGGTGAGGGCTTCCACCAGCTCAGCGGGCAGCCCGCGCTTTTGATACACAAGCGGATTCTCCCAAACATGTATGGCTTGCAGACAAGGCCAAGTAGCCACGGCAATGATATCAGCGGCCTCGTGGAGGCGATTGTGCGCCAGGCCAAGCTGCTCTAGAGCTTCAAAGGCCTGGCCATAGCTGCCGTCCGCCGCCTGCAGGAAGGGGACAAAGCGAATGCGATTGCGTTCCAGGGTCACATGACGAAGGTTGGGCAGTGGAGCAAGGGCTTGAAACACAGAGGGTCCGTGTAATTGGTTGTCGTCGAGCCAGAGACGTCGTAGCTGCAGAAACAGGAGTCGCCCCCCATTGTCCTCACCCAGATTAATGGGCAGGGCGCGCAGCTCATTGTGAGTCAGATCTAGCTCGCGAAGCGCGGGCATGGTACCCAGCGCACGAAGGCCAGTCTTTGAGAGCTTGTTGTGACTCAAATCAAGTCGAGTCACCCAGCGCAGCTGGGCAACGCCGCTGGCCCGAAGATTGGTAATGTGATTGAGCGGAAGCTCCAAAGAGCGAAGGGCTGGAAAGACCGAAAAGTCCTCCAGTTTAAGACGATTGTGGCCGGCACGGATTTCAACGAGGTTGAAAAAGTCTTCCAAGCCCTCGAATTCCACACTAGAAAGTTCCAAACCCTCGATCCGGGCAATGGCCACATCCTCTGCCTGTTCGGTCTGGTTCACTTCGAGCAACAATGTGGGGCTGAGTGCAAGGCCAGATGCGGCGTCGGCACCATCGCTGGCACCTGTGGAAGCAGTGACGTTTGGTGCAGGGTCTGGTTTTTCCTGTCGTGCAGCAATTTTGTTTTTCATATCACGCTGTTGACGGCGCTGCTCGCGCTGAGACACATTGAGAGACTTTTCCAACCCCTTGAGACGCTGAGGCATGGGGAACGGCGAATGAGCAAAAAGCCACGAGGGGAAGCTCTGGTCAAAGTCGGTGCCAAAAACAAGCACGACGCATGTGACCCCTCAGACCTGTTTTTGGTGCCGATAGTAGGCCGTCTTCCAGCCGCCGCCACGAGGCGGGGGTTTATCATTGGGTAGATCATCGAGCCTAGCTCGAGCAGAAGACGCAGAAGAGCGCCGAGCAGCATGAGCAAAGAAGACCATACCAAGGGCACCGGCATGATCAAAGCCGCCCTCTGCACGCAAACGTGCTTGCATTAGCATCGTACTTTGGCTTTGGATAGTCGCCAAAAGGGCGATGCCGCGCCTTGAGCGCGTTGGTCGCCATCGCGCTCGCGCCCCGACGACTCGCACAAAAAAGCAAGAAAAAAACAGTTGGCAAGGCAAATCCATATGAATCATTCTGAGCTACATAATTTCCATTTCGATCATACAAATTTTCGCTTCGACCGGAAAACTAGCCGTTGAATTGTCAGATAAAATACACAGCTTGAAGCAGTTTTTTTTTTTTTTTCTTTTTTTTTTTTTTTTTTTGACGGTAATGGCAGCGACGGCGGATCAGAGGGCTCAACACGAGTGCTTGGGAAGTGGAAAGAGGAGGGTTGGAATTGTGCATGCAGGAGTCAGGAGAATGCAGTTGTTGGATGGAGAGTGCTAGATGGTATTTGATGGACACGATCTGATTGTTCTAGAGGCAACGCTCAAACCAGCACCATGGCGGAAGCTCTCATGTCCTTGCCAGAGCCCAGCGAGGTGGACGGCACCATGACACCGGTTCGGCCTGGCTGCTTGCCCCTTGAAACCTGTTTTTTGCGCTTGATGAATTGACGGCCGTAGCTTACCGTGCTACGTTCCGGGGTGGCCTGTTACAGGATCTGGCCCAGCGCGCGTCGGCCACCTATGAGGTACGGGTGAGGGCAGCTTTAGTGCTTCGAGCAAAACGAGTGTAACCCAAGGCGACACCTTTGTCTCTCAGCCGCTTTCCCTCTGTATTTTTAATCTCGGGTCTTCCGCGTTTGTTTTTGGCCAATGTGTTTGTCCGTCTCAATGTGCGCGCATTGTCCTTCTCAGTCCCACGCAGATCGTTTCCGCTTGCCGGCGCATCGCAATTATGACAAACAGTATTCAAACCTGTACTTTTCACGCTACATGACGCTCCGCAAGAGCGTGATCGCGCGTGCCAAGAGCAAATGGCAGCTTGATCAACCCGGTATGCATCACAGCACCATAGTGCACCGACCGACGCAGCGTCCAGACCGTGCAGAAACCAACAAAAGGCGGCTAATCTCCCATGGCCTGTGCCACCCTGATGCGTGTAGGCGCGCCTCCCCTGGCGGACAACATCCTGGGGCTGGCTGCCATGCGAGGCAAGCCCTGTGTTGTTGTGGGCACGGTTTACAAAGACATGAAGCTCAAGCCCAACATTCTGGACGAGTTCAACGCCCGCGAAAACTATGAAGCACCTCCTCCAGAGCGCTCAAAGTATTTTGCTGACGACGACGTTATCATCCTCGAAGACCAAACTGGTCGCACCGTACTCAGTGGCGCCGGCCTGCCCGTCGGTGCGTCCTCGCTACCCACCCACCTGGTCGCATGATCTGGTTTGCAAGCCTTCAACACTCCTCTTGAATCGGTTTGTGCCTCATCCCATGTGAATCGTGGGTGCAGGCGAGCTCGTGTCGGGCGTAGTCATGGCCGCCAAGGGCGTTGAGAACGACAAAGGTGCGAGCGCATATGCACCTGAACCGGTGACAAGGCCCGACCCAGTGACTCTGAGTGTGTCTGTGTAGGCGAATTTGAGGTGAACGAGTGTTGTTTCTGCGATATGGGGCCTCAGGCCGCCCGACAGGTGCCGACACAGCAACGCTATCTGTGCCTTGCCTCGGGCTTCAACATTGACGCACAGGCCAAGGTTCGTCGCCCGGGATCTATTGGTCTAGTTCATCGTGCGGGCTTGTGAATGTCACCGTGAATTTGGCGGCTTGGATTGGAGTGCAGAATCTTTTTGCACTGGAGCTGTTTGTCGACTTGATTACAGGGCAACTGGGTAGCCCTGAACAGCAACAGCAAATGGCACGCGTCGCACGCGTCCTCTTGGCTGGCAATCTCGTACGTGTGCTGGGCTTTCAAGCCTGCATCCGCTTTGCAACACAACGCCGGGCTGTCGTCACAACTTATTCAGCCCATGCGCTCAGATTCGAGCGACCACCGGCGAGCAAGATGAAGTGGCACAATACAAGCGGCGCAACATGGAGCCAGAGACCGTGGTGCACGTCAAGGTATGTGGCATTGCGGAATTCCGCAGGGTATCAGAAAAGACGGAGTCACGTGAGTGAGGGCATGCATCTCGTCTCATTGACTGGCGCTGGCTATGCAGGAACTCGACTTTATCTTGACCCAGTTGTGTAGCACGGTACCTGTGGACATGATGCCTGGGGATCACGACCCGGCCAACAAGATTGTGCCGCAGCAGCCCTTGCACAAGTGCATGTTTCCAACAGCCACCAAATATGGCAGCTTGCGAGGCGTGACCAATCCCACTGATTTCGTGTTGGACGGTGTACACATCCTCGGCACGTCCGGCCAAAACATTGACGACGTATATCGCTTCACAGAGAGCGAGGACCGGTGGGTGCCGCGTCCCATCAGACCTGGAAGTGCTGATTACATGGGCCACTGGTGACTCATGTCTGGTTCTCTTTGTTCCCTGGACAGGCTTGAGCTTTTGGAGCGGATCTTGCGTTGGGGACACCTCTTTCCAACCGCCCCTGATACGTTGTGTACGCTTTGGCTTTGGCTTGTACCCAATCTCTTTGTCGTGTGCTTTTGTTCTTTTTTTTTTTTTTTTTTTTTTTGAAAGCTTGACGCTCATCTTGTCTGGTGTCTTGGTGGCCCAAACTGCGGGATATCACAATGCTTGCTGATAGGTGTGTATCCGTATACAACCGAACACAAAGATCCTTTTGCGATTGGCGACTGTCCACACGTGTTTTTCGCAGGCAACCAACCCGAGTTTGCGACCAAGGAGTGCTCAGGTGCGTTGGCGCCATCACTGCATCATCCAAGTAACAATCTGCTGTGAATGGATTCCTGGCCTGTGTGACTCGAGACCTGTCATGTGTCGTGCACAGGCCCGGACGGTCAAAAGGTGCGACTGGTATGCGTACCCGACTTCAGCAAAACGGCGACCGCCGTGCTGTTGGATCTGCACACGCTCGAGGCAACCCCGCTATGCTTTTCCAACATGGTGGCCGAGACGGCGCCCCAAGCCATGGACCAGGCCGCAGAGTAGACAAGAGTGTTCAGCCTTTTTTTTTTCTTTTTCTTTCTTTTTTGGTTTTGAACGATGTTACGATTGCGCAATATATTTCTCTCTCTCTCTCTCTCTCTCTCTCTCTCTCTCACACACACACACACACACACGGAGGAGGATGGCAGAGGCAGAGGCAGAGGCAGCATGGCTCGTGTTGGCAGTGGATGTGGGAACGACCAGTGTGCGGACGGCGCTGGTTGATCCAACAGGTATGCTTGGGACAGGCATGGATGGGCCTTGGTTCGCTGAAGGATGATCTCACAGACAGGACGGGTTGGGCCGTGGCGGGCAGGTCATATCCTTGATCGTGCCGTGCAAGAGGTTCAAGTGCATCAGCCGGGGCCGGAGCTTGCGATGCAGAGTAGTGCGGAAATCTGGCGAGCATGCTGCAGCACCACCCAAGCTTTGCTACAGCGCACTGGTACGTGTCCTTGATTGAACAGAGCACATGTGAACAACGCCGTATCCGTGACACTGAATAATTGCATCATATAGCCACAAGCCCGGACCAGGTGCGGGCCATCGCCTTTGATGCCACCTGCTCCATGGTGGTCGAAGCAGGAGATGTCACGCAAGGGCCGCGCCTGAGCGTGGACCCGACAAACACCTTTGCGGCCGCAGAAATCGGAGATGTGCCGGATGTCCTCATGTGGATGGATCATCGCGCCAGTGAGGAAGCACAAGCCATCAACTCGACCAAGCACAAAGTTCTGCGCTTTGTAGGGGGTGGTGTGAGTCTGGAGATGCAAATGCCCAAACTTTGCTGGCTGCAAACGCACCTACCTGACGTCTATTCGCAAGCCACCGGATTCTTCGACCTGCCAGACTGGTTGTCGTTCCGCGCAACTGACAATGGTGCCCGCTCGCGCTGCTCCGTCATTTGCAAATGGAACTACGTGGATGGATGCCCCGGCCACGACGGCTGGCACACCGGCTACCTTAACGACATTGGTCTGAAAGACCTAGCTCAGTCACAGCAACGCATTGGAACGGACGTTCGGGAGCCCGGATCGGCTGTCGGGACCTTAACTGCACGCGCAGCTCGGGAGCTGGGCTTGACGACAAATTGCGTTGTAGCGAGTTCTTTGATTGACGCTCACGCAGGAATGATGGGTTGTCTAGCAGCCTCGCTCCTTCCCAATCAGCCCATCACCGAGCGTCTTTGTTTGATCGCTGGCACCTCGGCCTGCCACCTGGCGCTGCACCCCGACCTGGCTTTTGTTCCCGGTGTTTGGGGTCCCTATCACGGCGTTGTCCTTCCCGATTACTGGCTGGTCGAAGGCGGTCAGAGCGCAGCTGGCGCTGCGCTGGACCGCGTACTCGCGCTCCACGCTGGTAAGCACCATGGCTGATATTGTGATGACTCAGAGCCACTCGGGTAGCGCTGAATTGGACCTACTGGGCTGTTTAGGCGCCGACCATTGGCACAAGCAAGCTGCGCGAGAAGGTCGTCACGTGACCGAAATTATGAACGAAGCCCTACAACGACTGCAGCAAAGTGAGTCCTTCTTGCCCACGGTGCAATACCAATCCTGACATCACCGGACCACTTTTGTTGTTGCACACTCATCTCCACTTGATGGCAGGCGAGAAGGCCTCCCATCTCTACGAACTTATCGCCGATATCCATGTGGTACCGGACTTTCATGGCAACCGCTCACCTCTGGCTGACCCCAAGTTGAAGGTAGGCCCACGCGTCAGGATAATATCAAGTTGATTGGGCAACGTCTTGCCATTAACGTGGCTAATGCATGCCCATCAAATCGTATAGGGCGTGATTGTGGGCCTGAGCTTGACCTCTGAATTGGCGACCGAATGTCTCTTGCTCTACTTGGCCACGCTGACGGGCTTGGCGCTCGGCACGCGGCAAATTCTTGAGGCCATGCGTGATGTGCGTTGCTTGCCAAACGCTGCACTTGCCCGGGCATTTGGACCACTTTGTTTGTTTTGAGTGTTATTCCGCATGTTGAAGGGTTTTGTTTTTTCGTATCCTTGCCACTCGATTGCGGATTTGATCTAACCCCGTACCTGTACAACGGTTTCACTGGTACACAGAATGGGTACATCATCCGGGAGATATGCGTGTGCGGCGGTCTTTCACAAAACAAGTAGGCACACTTTCCGAGCTGAGTGTGCCGAGGCATGGACTCAATACCCGCGCATTTTGGTTCATTGCACATTCAGGTTGTATTTGCAGCTGCACGCCGATGCCACGGGTTGTCGAGTTCGCCTGCCCCGAGAAGCAGACGCGGTCAGTCAGACGCGAGCCCAATGTTTGCTCGTGACAATCATCAGTTTGCCCAGACTCATCTTCGCGGACCACAGGTATTGGTTGGCACCGCGGTCATGGGCGCTGTGGCTGCAGGGGGGTATTCGACCGTCCTCGAAGCCATGGTCAGTCTCGCTGCGGTGTCGCGCTCGAGCGCTGAGGACCTTGGCGCCCTTTTAATTGTTCATTATGCCCTTGCAGACGGCCATGAATGCGTCGGGTGCAGTATTCGAGCCAGACACTACAACTGCGACCAAGTACCTTGAACGCAAGTTCCAGACCTACTTGGCCCTGCAGCAGATTCAAGCTCAGGCTCGTTGACAAGAGTCGCCAAAATAGCCATGGCCTCGGTGCGATGCCAAATCGTGATGCCGGTGAATGGTCGATCGCTGCAGAGTTTGATTGATGGTGAACATTGTCAACGGCATTCAATTTCGTTACGGCAATCAGTAGTCAGGCGCCCACCAAGCGCGCGCGCTGCAGCACGGCAAAGCAGGCCTTAGGCCTTGACAATCTTATCCAAAAACGAATTCACCTTGTCCAAAGGCTACTCAGCATGACAGGGACCGAACAGTGAGCAAAGTGCCAGACACACCCTTTTGCCTTCCGGGCACCGCACGCCCCCAGGTATCAGAACACGCACCTGAGCACCGATAAACTGATCCACAATCTCGCCTTCCTTGACGGCAAAGACCTGGGGCACCGAGGCCACCTGGAAGCGGGCCGAGAGTTCCTGCTGCTCGTCCACGTCAATTTTGGCCAAGACCACGTCTCCGTTGCGCGCATCCACAGCCTAACAGGACGATACACAGCACTTGACTTTACACGGTGCGGCGGAAAGATACTCTCGGGGCCAGAATTGCAGGTCATTGATCGACGCGCGTCACACACGCCGTGAGGCAGAAGAACAGACCTTCTCAAGAATGGGTTTGAGCATACGGCAAGGACCGCACCAACTGGCCGTGAAGTAGACGAGGACAGGCTTGGTGGCCTCGGCAATGGTCTCATCAAAGTTGTCGTTGTTGACCTGAATAGAGTGCGAGCTCAGACGAAGCTGACGCAGAGCGCTTGTCGCAGGAGACATGCGCGTCAGAGGAAGCGCGCGGCGCAGCAAAGAAGCCATGGCTGGGGATGTAGTCGTGTGTCGTCTGCAACCAGATGTAAACGCTGGCATGTGAGCTGCAAGTCATCATGTTGCGCGAAGCGTCGCTGCACAGCAGATTGCCCACGGTCCAAGAACCACACTGCATCACCCTCCCCCGTCGCCTGAACGTATCTTTCATGCGTCAATCCCCAACCCGTGCCCGCCACCTGAATGCATCTTTCATGTGTCAATCCCAAACCCGCGCCCGCCGCCTGAATGCATCTTTCATGTGTCAATCCCAAACCCGCGCCCGCCGCTGCCAGTGGACACGGGACGCGGCACACACACCTCAAAAAGGTCTTGAGAAAAATGAGAGACACAGAGAGAGAGAGAGACCGGTGCAGAGTTGAAGTCAGAGATCACCTCTCATGGCGATCAACTTTGACCACGCCACGCATCAACTTCGCACAAAAGTCAGAGGGTCGGATCAAACCAGCACATCAGTTCAGAGATGGCCTAAGGTCCTCTCGCCGTAGAAAACGTCTGACAATAGATTCAGTTATGCTCACTGCGTTCATGTGAATGATGTTTTCTTTCGTTCGAGAGAGAGAGAGAGAGAGAGAGAGAGAGAGATGAAGATGATGATCTCGTCGTGCTCGGGGCGACCTCCTCTGGTCCTGATCGCCCTGTTGCTGGTGGCGCTGGCGGCGTTGCGGGTGGGGGCGGGGCTTGTGGATCAGGAGCAGCAGGTAGATCCGACATGGATCTGGCGCGAGGCTGGTTCTGGTCCGGCAGCTACACCCGTGAATGTGTTTACGTACTTTCGTACCACCTTTGCCACTCCTGCCGCAGGTGCTGGTGCGTAGGCCGCTCTTCGGTCACTCCCTTGATCGGGGGCCATGCTCGAGACTTGACGCTGATGATCCGCTCACCTCTCAACTGTGTTGCATTACCCGAAGAGGGCCTCGAGCTCTGGGTGGCGGCAGATAGTCAAGCCGCTGTTTTGATCAACGGTGCCGTCGTCGCTCGCAAAGTGACTCGCTACCAGGAAACCAGCATTACTTGGGACCGGTATCCAGTTCCCTCGGCAGCGCTCAACGCGACCCCCGGTGCCACGAACGCCCTTGTTGTGCGCCATCATAACTGGGGAGACATCACCTGCTTCCAGCGCACCGGCCAGGTGCAAGCCGGTCTCATTGTTAACTCTAATTTTGGCGTGGTCTCAGACACGACCCACTGGCGCTGGCTGGCGGTATGCTCACGTATCCCAGACTTGCTCGGAACGCCAGAACCGCCTTCTAATCTGCTTCCGGCCCAATCACCAGGCGCCCGAGTTTCTTGTGCATGATACCCAAGTTGTGGGTATCGCCGGAGGCGCCCATCGCATCCGCTTTCCGCAGGTTGGTGACCCAACCTCTTGCCGCCTCGGGCCAGATTGATCCCATTTTCAAGCCAAGTCTTTGCTCGCTGCTCAGTCCAGCGACTTCCTTGATGAACGACTGGTATCTGGATGCGTTTAGGTGACCAACATGAGTGCTGCTGATCCCGCCATCTTCATGCCCGCCTACGACGATGCAGCCTGGGCCAGTCCAATGGCTATAACCTCCAGCGCACCGTGGCCTGCCTTGTCCCAGCTCAATGTATCTGGTAGGTTGTATCTCCTTCCACCCGATAATTGATTGGCTAGTACCTGGCCCGCCTGTGCCCTGACTCTGGCCCGTACATCTTCTTCAACTTCACGCCAATTGCCGGCTTGCCCGTGCAGAGACCACGGCGGCCGGACAGTTGCAGTCTGGTGTTGTGACTGCACCACAGTCCCTGCTGGCAGCGGGCCGGCTCAACTTTGTGCCCGTGAATGCCTCCGCCGCTTCCATTCAGTCCGATATGATGACGCGTGACTACCAGAAGAATAACACGCAGACTGCCACGTGAGACTCGAGCGCGACCGTGGCAGCTGAACCACTACCACGGCAGCTTCTCAAGGCGAGCCATGCTCATCATCAATGGCTTCTGCAACACTGCCGTGTCAATTTGCTTGCAGACTGAGCAGTGCTTTGGCTGCGGGACAGCCCTTTGTGATCGAATCGACCACCGGTGGCGAGGATTTTTACCTGACCTTTGACTTTGCATGGCCCATGCACGGCTATCCGCAAATTATGTTTGCAGACGGGACGACCGCAGGCGTCGTGATTGTAAGCGTCTCTTCCCACGCCCGTGTTCTCTTTTTTTTTTGCCATGCCCATGACTGACGCTCTGACATGCACACCGTAGGACCTGGGGTACTGCGAAAAGGCACTCGATCTCTACTCGGGATCGGCCTACGTCAATGCTTCGGGGGCCATCAACCCACAAGGCACTGTGGGGTATTACTATGCCGACCGCGTTGTCACAGCGGCCTCAGGTCGGCACCGCGCTTCCGCCCTCGAACAACTGCTCTCCCAACTCGCAGCGCTGGCTGCAGCTGAATGGTGCCCGTTTGCGATCGCGCAGGAGAGCAACTGTACGAAGTCCCCGACGAACGTACCCTGCGCTGGTTGACACTTCATGTCCGCTTCCCGCCTCAACAACCGGGCAAAGTGGTCATGCACAGCGTGCGAGTGCAATCCTGGATCTTTCTGGGCGGGCTAACAACCGCCTATTTCACATCCAGCAACCCGGTTCTCAACGCTGTCGTCAACCTGAGCATGGCCTTTATCCAGATGGGCATGTCTGATACGTTTGTCGACACACCCGGCCGTGAGGATGGCCAATGGATTGAGGTGTGCTTGTGGGCCATGGCGTTGCGAGTCTTATTCGGTGGCATCTTCTATCCCAGTGCGGGATAGCCTCACTTTACTTTCTTAATACTGCGTCATGACATAGGATGCTCGACCGCGGGGTCTGATTGCCGCCACTTGGTTCAACGACTCATCGTTGCGCCAGGTACTCATTCGACACCAGGCCGAAGCCCAGCGTCCTGACGGAAGCATGCACCCGTTCCCACCGTCCAACTTTCCAGCATCCGCCTCGGCGGACTGGTCCGTGCAGTGGGTCGCGGCCATGTACGATGACTACGTGTGGACTCGTGATACAGGCCGCATCCGCCGGTTCTGGCCGCAGCTTGTGACGTATTGGGACAACATTCTCGCGAGCTTGCGCTCGGATGGTGTGTGGACCGGCAGCTGCATGAATGATATTCGCGTCACGCCTGGCTGTCCAAGCAAGGCGGCCGCCTGTGCCAGCGGGATCGTCACGCCATGGATCATTGAGCGTCTCCGCTTCAGTGCCGTTATGGCGAGCGCCGTGCAACAAACAACAGTTGCCGCCCAGTGGACCGCAGCAGCGGATCGCATGCAGACTGCATTTTTGCAGCACTTTGTCACCCATGACAACGCCACTGGCCAAGCATGGATTGGCGCCATGGCATGGCTGGACGGGATCACCCAGCAGTGGACGCCCTTTGGTCGCCTTCAAGCAGCTCATACGGTCGCCATCTTTACCGATCTCTTACCACCCAGTACACAGGCAGCCATGATGGCCTATGTTTTTCCCAGTCCGGATGGAACGCCGCCCGCGGAGGTGCAGCGCTGGAACAACCCGACGTTTCTGCGGCGCAGCCTAAAAGCCCTTAGCCACGTCAACAGGACGGCCACCGCTCTCCAGCATCTCATTGAGCGTTTTTCGCAGTACCTGCCCGGAAATGACGCCAACCCCGTGCCTTCAGATTTGCAAGGCCCGCATGGCGGCCCACTTCCGGAGTACTGGCTAAGCCGTGTGGACAGCCACACGGCACCGGGAGCCACGGATGGTGCACAACCTGTGGACGGAACTGGGTCGCATGGCTGGACGGGCGTTGCGTTGGAGTGGATCCATGCTTATGTTCTTGGTGTGCGCGAACGCTGGTTCAAGGACGTTGTGGTCAATCCCGAGGATGGCGGCGAGCTGTCCTCCTTTGCGGGGCGAACGTTTACCTCGTGGGGTGCAGTCGAGCTGACCTGGGCCGTCAACAACACGATAGGCGCGCTGACGGTCGAACTGCCCGCCGGTCCCAATGTAACCGTAAGCTTACCCTCAAGTTGCCCAACGCGCAACGTGCGAGTGGTGCAGCAGCCCGCGCAGGGCACGGTGTTTGAGCCATTCGTGAACGGCTCGGGGGCTGTACTGACGGGTGCCGGGACTTGGATGTTTGTCTGCAGCTAGGCTGCTCATGCGTGTAGGGGGGGTCATGCGTGACATTTGACAGCCACAATCAAAACGCTGAAGTCTAGCTGTTGATGTTGCCGTTGCTGTTGTGTGTTCGCGCGCGCTCTTTTCGCTTCATTGTTATCCATCTTTGTTTCTCTTCCCCTGCCCCGCTCTCTTTGGTTCCTTGCTTCCTGTGCGCTGCCGGGTCATCGTCGCTTGAAGTAGGAGCAGCAATATCTTCTTCATTAATTTTTCCTTATTCACAGAGTCCATTAAGCGCTAATCCACAAGCAAGAATACACCATCCCTTTGATAGCATGCATTGGCAAAGGTGGTGGGGCTGCCAGGTGACGGCAGACCTACAGATATACCACGACGGCGGTGGCGAGGGCAAAGGTTGGGATCAGAGCCCAGGCCAGAGTTGCAGCCGGAACTGCAGAGCTGGGTGCCTGGCAGGCACAGGTAATGCGCACGCCGTGCGTTGCAGGCACCCAGCCCGTGCACACATTGACGGGTACCCGCAAGGCAGCCAGCAGCTGCGTGCATGCCTCGTCCGCGTAATCGATGCGTGTCACGAGCGTTCGTGCCGTACAAAAGCGCTCGTCCAGATGTACGCGAAAGAAGGTGGCCGTCTCATTATCAAACACGCACGCAGGCGCAGCCGCGTTCCACGTGGACGTGTGCAGCGCCTGCGCATGACAAGTGTGGTCTGGACCGGCAAATGTTTCAATCTGCACCAGGGGCTCGCGGTTCAAACAAGCGGAGGCGGAGTCGGTGTGAACCTCGCCAATGTTCGCGTTCCCTGAAGGAAGCAGAAACAGTATAAGGAGCCCAGTCCAACAGGCCAGATGATGCCGCTGTGAGTGCTGACGCTGGCTGGCCCGGTCAACCAGGAGAGCCACACGCTCCCGTCGACCTCGCACCAAAAGGGAGGCCATGATGGTGCTTCGTCTGCTCGCGGCTACAAAGCGACAAAATGAAAATGGCGACGTGGGCACAAGCGCTGTCAACTCATGTCATGTGGTGCCCAAGCATGTATGACATGACACGACCATGTATTCACATGCTGGCGCCTGGCTTGGCGTTTTCAAAACGCGCCCAGTCACCTTAGCCCGTCCAAGCCAACTGCATTTCATCACGACTTTCTAAGAACCCATAAACCCATATCAACGATCTCCCATTTTGATGGAAAAAGTCGTACGCAAACTATGGGTTATGCTTCAGCATGAGAAGGACTCGAGGCAAAATCCTATGTGTTCGATGCCTACTGTGGTGTGTGTGTGTGTGTGTGCGTACCACGTGAGTGAGTGTGCATCAAGAGCCCCATCGCGTACTCCTACTTGCGTGCTGGTGTTTGGGGATGTGGTACTTGGCGCTCGAGGCGGGTGGAAGATGTACCATAGGCACCTCCAACCTCATTGGTTGACAGACGAAACTTCATCGGGGACTCGAATCATTGGCTCTAGATGGCCGGGCCTGACACACACAAGGCAGTGGGCGCGAAGGGATCTGGCAGCCAGCAGTTCTCAGACTGAGCCCGCACGTGTCTGATCACGGGGCGTCGAGCAAGCCTGCACAGCGTGTTCGTGTGTGTTCGTGTGTGTGTGTGTGTGTGTGTGTGTGTGTGTGTGTGGATTTTTGTTTGTGTATTTTTTTTTTAAATTTTCGGCGGATTTAGCGAGTTCAATGTGTGTATTTGGGCGCTAACTCAGGGCTAGAGAAGCAAATGGGCCTGAAACCCGGCTCAAAAGATGCAGCGATGAATGCTTTATCGAATGGCATGCCCATTTATGCACCATCAAAAAGGCATCGTCAAAGCGTTGACGTGTAAACAACGAGATCAGGTTGTTTCTTACATGTTAATAGAAACGCTATGGGAAAAAAGTTTTTTTATACGCACGCTGACGTAACATGTAAAGACGGAATGTAGCTGCTAATAAGCAAGCAGCCAGCAACGGGAACCAGAAATTGACATGTGAATCCCGAATGCCCTCGTAAACATGGATATTATCCGAATGCAGCTTGGGCAGTGATGTGACGGCTCACCGTGACTTGACACGTCTCATCACGGGGCTCCTCATGACATGACCGCCTGCGCCTTCATTTGAACAGCTCGAATGGAAAGGGGTGTTTGAACGAGACCATGGCGAAGAGAAGTTTTTTTGGACATTCAATTGGTAGCTGCGGGATGCAGGATGCGGACGGCACGCATTCACAGAAACAGACCGGGTGCACCGATAAAACTGTTGTGAGTCGCTCAATCCCAAGGGTAGGGAAAGTTCAATTTCTGCCCAAACGCAGGTGCCACAACAAAAGATGAGACGACGGCAGTCACAAGCTAATCACACAAAGCAGCCGGCATAGCACAGTAGACGAGGCACGTGGGGGTTTCTCATGTGCATCCAAATCAGGGCCAGACGACCCTTCTATGATGTAGATGCATGTGAGCCAGTGAGTGACTTCTATGGGGGTTTCTAGTGAGGAAACCCATTGGTGGACAATGCTGCGTGTGCGCAAAGGCAGCAGAGCCAACGGTTTTGACGCAAACATCGAACATCAAACTTGTATCACGAGTAGTACAAAACGCGCAGACGCTGTCAAGATTTCAAGCTTCAGTCAAGTTTGAAGCGAGTTTTCCAGTCCCACTGGCCGTTGTTGGGGTACCAAGCAATCTTGTCGTCGTTGCCACTCGCGCTGAGAATGTCGAGATCACCGTCGCCGTCCAGATCTGCCGCATACACCGAAAGGGGACTATCGGCAGCGGCGGGGATGATGATCTCGGAGGAAAAGACGCCGTCGCCGTTGTTGCGGTACCATGCAATCTTATCGTCGGCGTGGCTGGCGCTGAGAACGTCGAGATCACCGTCGCCGTCCAGATCTGCAGCATACACAGAGCGGGCATTATCAGCGGCGGTGGAGATGACGATCTGGGCGGAAAAGGTGCCGTCGCCATTGTTGCGGTACCACGCAATCTTGTCGTCGTTGCCACTAGCGCTGAGCCCTATGGCTTTCGAGCACGACCTATCAAGCCATGATGTCTCAAGAGCCGGCTTTATCTTGCGATGATCTATGACACTGTCTGCCATCTAGAGTCACAGAGCACGCCGAATTAACAGCCGTTGAGCACCACCACCCAAGTTGCATTGTCCGGAAGCGCGAAATGAAGGCACCCCTCAACAGATTGACCTGAACAGCGCATGTCACACTATCTGCCGGATGAGCGTCATGCATACTGATGTGCCTGAAGAGGTACCAGATTCGCATTCAAATGCCGAGAAAGTCCGCCGCCCAACACATACTCATTTCTGTACGAGAGAACCGCCAATCAAGGCAACGACGGGGCCACCACATCGACCCGTCGCTGTCAAGTTCTTTGCCTGCCTGCTCGCATCCGCACTTCGATTGGGTAATCCGTCAAATAACTTTTTTTCTGACATTATTGAAGTCACGCGATTTCTTTCTCTCGCTCTCTATCTCTCTCTCTTTTTACACACGAGCACGAGGTGAAAACGAAAAAGAAAGAGCGAAATGGCAGCGCTGTGGTGCTGGTGCTGGTGCTGGTGCTGGTGCTGGTGCTGGTGCTGGTGCTGGTGCTGGGGTTGGGGTTGGGGTTGGTAAACGGTTGGATACTTACTCGTGAACGCGGGGTTGTGTGCAGGTTGATTCCAGTTAAGCGAGCATCATGGCGTTGGACTTGTCAAACTACGACGAGGAGCAGGTGCGTGCCTTGTTCGCGCTGCTGCTTGTGCGTGCGTGCGCGCGCGTCTGGTTCATCAGCTGATGGGCGGTGATGGGGGCGTGCACAGGTCAAGTTGATGGCCGAGGAGTGCATTGTCATTGATGAGAATGACAAGGTCACAGGTCACGACTCGAAGAAAAACTGTTGGTCCCCTCGTGCTCTCCCTTTTCGTCATGATGCCATCAATGGCTTGAGCTTTGCGTTGCCGCACCCGGGCTTCATCGGTCGCCTCACTCGGGCATCATCGACTCTCTTTGCTTCTTCTTCCTTTTTTTTTTTTTCTATTTTTTCTAGGCCATCTCATGGAGAACATCAACAAAGACCTTTTGCACCGTGCCTTCAGGTTGGAATCTCGGCCCCACACTTCTTGCCTATCGTGCCAGCTGGCTCTCAACGATGCTTTCTACTCCCTCTTCCCTTCCTCTACGACAGCGTTTTCCTCTTTAGCAGCGAGGGCAAGCTTCTGCTTCAACAGCGCGCTGACGAGAAGGTATTCCTGATCATCGTCCATCAGCCGTCGAGTCTTGGGCATGCTTTTCATTGTTCATTCTTCACGGGACGCAGATCACGTTTCCTGGCTACTGGACCAACACTTGCTGCAGCCATCCCCTCTATCGTCCTGAGGAGCTTGAAGAGGAAGGCCAGCAAGGCGTGCGCTTTGCGGCCCGCCGAAAGCTCGAGCATGAGCTGGGCATCAACCCCGAACAAGTACGGCCAGACCCTACCTGTGGCGGTTTGACGATTTTGATCCGTTTAGACGTCGGCTGACATGCTCCCCATCTGCTTCTTGTTCGGGTGTCTGGAATGGGCACTGGGTTGCACAGATTAGCTTGGATGAGTTTACCTACCTGACTCGCATTCACTACAAGGCCCCCTCTGACGGCACCTGGGGCGAGCATGAGAGTAAGCTGCCACTTTTTGTCAAGCTCCACCGCTTTTCCCATGTGTTTGCTTTCTGCCTTTGCTTGCTTGCTCTTACTCTAAACTCGTTGGTGCAGTTGATTACATCCTCTTCCTGCAGAAGGACGTTAGCTTTGAGCCCGTTCCCAACGAGGTGCAGGCCACGCGCTGGGTCACCCAGGATGAGCTCCGTGAGCTCATGGCCACTGCTGGTAGGCGCTTGTCTCCACCACTCTTTCACCCCGACCCACCTCGCCAGTTGCCTTGCCGTCATCATCTTTCTCCTTTTTTTCTCGCCCTCCTTTTAGATGCCCAGGGCCTCAAGATTACCCCCTGGTTCAAACTGATTGTGGAGAAGTAAGCCTCAAAGCTTCTTTGTCTTGCTCATCCCCGCACTCCACCCGCTTCTCTCACATCATCGCTCTTGCTCTTGCCATTCCAGCTTCATCTACCCCTGGTGGGACAAGCTGGATAACCTCGACACCAGCCAACAGGACAAGATTCATCACATGTAAACGGCCTCTCAGCTTTGTCCGTGCCTTTCCGTGTGCATGCCCCAGGGCTCTCTTACTCCTTAGTCGCCTCCTGAATTCTCATCGACACATACGTCCCCTCACTCCTCCGCCTACAATTGATGCCTCCACTGAATGACTGCATCTGATGCCGCCTTTGATTTTGTGGTCGAAGGAACAAGGAAAAGAAGAAAGTCGTCGGAATTGTCAGGCATCGCATCCCTAAATCACTACTCGCCCACGTCAGCATCTCGGTCGCCCATGCGCCACAGCTGTACAGAAGAGCAGCGGGTTCGTGCAAATATGGCATTTAATGCGTGCCAGCAAAACCGTGAGGCCATTACAACACCTCCAGTCCCTCGACTTCCGGACCCCTGCCCACTGTACAGGACGCGGCCAATGCAAACGTACGACTGTAAAGCACAACACGAGGCAAAGCGTGCCCAGGAAATCACCCAGTGCCGTCATCAAGGGAATTGCCACCTGCAACCAAGCACGTTCAATGCATCAGCGCCTCACTGTCCGCAAGGTCTTGAACCAAAACTCCTGCCCAGCGGCAAAAGAAATCGTCCCCCTTTCCTTCTTTTTGCCAACCGGCACACGTGCGCACACCTGACCTGATCTGGATCCATATTTTTATGCCAGATAAACTTGACCAAGCGTCCCACAATAAGCAGTAGAATGCACACCTACGTTAAAGACACACCCACAATAGAACCTGATGAGGATTGTGGTTGTGTTCAACAGTAAGCGCCGAGCAGTTGAGGGTCAGCTGCCTGACCTGTGTAAGGGCAGCAAAGCTATATCCTGTCATAAACAGGGGTGTAATTGATGTGTGGCCCAGGTGGGTCACCTCTATCAGACCCAAGAAGACATAGGATACAGGCAGGACCATGGCAAAGAGAAGGAGGCCCGCCCGGTTGTGGCTATCACTGTGGCATGCACCCGGCAGCGATGACGGTGGTAGAAAGAATGAGCCTTGCATGGCAGACCCATGACAGAAGAGGACAGGTGGGTTGTGGCGAAACGAACTGAATTTGGGAATGTAGGGCGGTGGATATCCGACTTGCTTGTACTGCGGCTAGATTACCACCCACGCCGTTGATGACGGGCGACAGAACGGCAATGCCCTCATAGCGGGTGACAAAACGCTCAAGTATGAGCCCAGAGAGGGAACTAATCACCATGGCCGAGATGATGGCCAACCAACCCGCGCGGTCTCCGAGGATGCGAAGCTCCTCGGGTCTCTTCCGCACCGCCGTCAAAGCGTACGGAAAGAGACCCCCGACAAAGACAATGCAGAAAATCAGAGCCACGACCACCTGCACCAAGGCGTTGCATCGTGGAAGCATGGACGTGAGAAGCACGCGAGGCGGGGATGCATACAGACGGGTCACAAAGCGCATTGACCAACAGGGGGGTTGCAGACCGACCGTGTAAGAGCCAAGGGAGAGGAGAAAGGTGCCGATGCCTGCAAGAATGGCCAGGGTGACCAAGTCTCCCAGGGCGGCTGCCAACGGCGTGGCTACGTTGTCGGGATCAATGGAAAGCTGCCGGCTAAGTACGACAATGACTGCCATCAAGGACCTGCAGCAGGTGTGATCACGCAGGGATGAGAGACTCATCAGGCGACCATGGTTGAAAAAATGCCTCGAATGGTACAAACCCAAGGAGAAGGCTGGCCAGGGAAGCAGTCACGATGGCGCTGGTGAGAATGACGGCGCTGTCGTGCACACTAAACTCGGCATGGACAACGACGCCCATGACAATGCTTAGCATGGCAGCAGCAATGGCCACCACAATAGCTTGACACTGGATCAGCATCAGGTTGGCCTTGATCATGGCGTAGCGAAGTTGTGGGTCCTCAAGCCGGCCCATATGTGCCGCCGTGGACAGGCTGCAACAAGGAGCCTAGATGAGTTGTGCTTGGCCTTTGGGGCGGCAAGGGGAGGGAGAGCAGGCATGTGAGAGTGGAACTGACCGGGAGGCAAAGGTCATTTCCAAGTTGCCCTTGAGTCCCAGCAGAGCCGGGCAGAGGATGAACATTTCCGTGATATTCTCAAAGAGGTCCCAGTGCTACGATTATGCACGAGGGTAGCGACGGAGGAAGGATTGCCGGCGATTAGCGCATCAAGAGGACACGTCAAAGTGTGTCGTTCCTCGGCTGCACCGGATCCCAACTCTGGGGAAGGTCTATGACATGGGAATCACGGCGTGAAATTGTCTTGAGCCCACCTGAACTTCATCAAGCAGGGCTCCTGCGCCCAGTGTTCCAAGGCCAGCCAGGAGGAGTGAAGGAAGGACTTGCAAAGCAAATGTTGTGAGGCGCGCTCGCTCAGGTGTTTGGTGTTCAATGACGCCTTCTTGGACCTCAAAGGGTAGCAAATGGGACCCAATGGCGCCCGTTCTGTGTGGTGAGGCGGGCGCGGACGCATCTGTTTCCCACGTGCTGGCCTCGGCATCGGCGGTGGCCTGGACCAGCTCGTCCAAGGGGGTCTCGTGGACCGGCGCCTCGTCAGTGGGGAGCGGCTCGTAGCGACTCATGATCACTCGCGCGGGCGAACACGGTCACCCAGGCAATGTCACGCACCTAGCGCACAGGCGCTAGTGGATGCTGGCTCATGCAGCATGCGGCATCGTGGTTTACCGGGCGCGTTGTTGCTCAACTCGAGAACGATCAAGCTCACCCGCTCGCACGAAGGTGGGGGGGCGTGTTGGGTGATTCCAGTGAAGCCACAGCCTCAAGCACCTCACATGGGTGAGCCTTCCCAAAGCCTCGTTCTGTCTCCCCACCGCACCCTCACTCAGGTCCAAGACACGGAGACAAGTGCACGTAGAACCGCACCGTTGCACCTCGCTCACCAAACTCGTCGATCGTGCTTGATGCTGACGGCTGAGCTGTTAGAGTTGAGAGAGAGAGAAGTTTGAGAGAGAGAGAGAGAGAGAGAGAGAGAGAGAGAGAGAGAGAGAGAGAGAGAGAGAGAGAGAGTTAGAGAGAGTTAGAGAGAGAGAGAGAGAGAGAGAGAGAGAGAGAGAGAGAGAGAGAGAGAGAGAGAGAGAGAGAGAGAGAGAGAGAGAGAGAGAGAGAAAAAAAAACAAAAAGTGCTGTCGTGGCGATTTCGGATCAGTCAGAAGATCATGATGGCCTTGTGAAGTTGAAAACTTTGGTTGAAATCGGGCAGTGGCAGTCAATTGGAACGTGTGTGAGATCGTGTGGCGTTGATGAGAGGAGGTGTGCGACGAAGGAGGCAACGAGAAGGCAACAAAGGCCGTTTTTCGTCTCAACACACAACAATCAAGAGACTATGGACAATAGAACGGGAGAAACGCGCGCGCGCGTCCATTCTCCCAAAAACCGCCTGTGGCAGATAAAAATAGCAACATCAGTGGCACGGCAACACATGCCATGAAGCAGTCTTCAAACAGTCACAACAAAACAACCTATCGCGGCCCAACATGAACACGATAAAGAGTGGGCGCGAAACAAAACCAGTGCTCAGCACTGATAAGCTATGACCAGACGGTCAGAACAAAACGGTGACAACAACAGCAACAAGGACAACAAAAGGCACACAGTGCTTGTTGCAAGTAATCAGCAAAGCGAGGTGTCAAGTGGCGCGGCGTGGCGTACGCCGCGCCCAGATTCAGAAAACAAACAAAATAAAAACGAAAACAAATCATGATAGGATGTGAGAAAATAAAAAAAAAACCATGAAGAGCATGTGTCTTGACACACGAATACAGAAACCGAGACAGACATGGGCAGGTGGCTACACACCACCAGTCTGAGGTTTGACCAACAAAGCACCACGTCTCAGCTCCTTCACTCTAGCATGGCAGCATGGCTGCGTCATCGGTATCGGGGTGCAAAGTCTGGGCTCGGTCAGCTAGCTTGTAGGTCTCTTGTTCCAAGTCCAGGTGCAACGTGTCTCGTTCCTCACTGGGCAGAAAGACGGTGCGAGTCCGGGCGTTGCATTGAAAGACGCAATAAATGGCCAGAACCAGGAAGACAATGCAGCCAAAGATGATGGCAAGGAGGAGAGAAATGGAGATACCGGCCACGGTGGTGGCTCGCATACTTGCGGCGAGGGCGTCAGTGGTGGAGGCCATGGCAGTCACCGCGGGCGTCGTGCTCGTGGACGTGCTGAGTGGCGTAGCAGTCGGGACACGAGCAACATACTCGCTTGGAGAGACCAGGGCCGTGAAGGTAGTGCAAAAGATTTGCTTGACTCGGGTGGCAAATTTCAGATAGCCGAGGCCACATACCACTTGAGGCCCAAGTCGGTACTCCCAGTGCATGCTGCTGTTTTCTTCCAGCTCGAGAATGCCATCGTTTGTGATGAGATAGTAGACACGGGTCCCGTTGGTATCATCGGCCGTGTCGTTGTTGAACAGAAGAGAGCTGGATGTCGTCGGCGTGGGCAAGGTGGTTGCCCCGGCCACACGTGGAGCATCAGGCGAGTTGGCAGGGGTAAGAAGCGCACCCATGGCGTTGCTGTAGATCAACGAGTCCCCGGTATACGGTGTTGGGTCGAGCATGATTTGCATGCGAAGCACGCCCTGGGTGATGTTGGTGGCCGGGATGATGGGTTGGCTCAGATCAAGATCCAGGACTATTTGATAATGTGGGGGTCTTAGGGTTAGGATGGAGACGCTGAGACGAACGTGCAGATTTCGCACGATGGCAAAGGAATCCATGCGCACACTTTGAACGTTGTCGCGCAAGCCGGGTATCAAAATATATAGGAGCTCCAGGGCGTTGATGCCCACATTGAGCTGATATGGGCGAAGGACGTTGTCGGTGACGATGAGGGTACCAATGGCAAAGGCCCGTTTTTCATCGGTCGAGGCATAGACAACGTTCCAGACGCCACTTCGGGATCGGGTGGGAGCAATGTGAAAGCCGATGTCACCGCCCCAAGTTGAGTTGTAAACGTCCTCGGGCACGGTAAGATTGTAGCGAGAACGGTACCCGTCGCGCGCCAGTTGAATGGAGATGTTGCGGCTGTAATAGGAGGCGTAAATCACATCCCCATTGCCCCAGGCCAGCAGGCTGGATTTGATAAGCAGAAGGACGCTGTTGTCGCCACCAATGATGAGTTCGTAGAGGGTACCCTTGAAAAAGTTGAGCACACTGAGCCGATCTCGCAGGAGGACGGTGGGGCTGGGTTCATCGTAGAAGAAGACGAGCGGCACGCGTACGGCGTACGGATTCGAGTCGGCAATTTGCAGCGCGTCCAGGAGGGGCCCAATGGTCCCATAATACTTGAGCTGAGGATCGGGGTGTGAGGCCCAGAGCGAATTGAGGACACTGGGGTCGTTCTCATTGACATAGATCATGCACCCGTGCACATCCGTGCCCGGGCAAATCAAAATTTGGTTGGTGTACGGGTTCATGTTCACAATCCAATCAACGCCGCCACCAAACGTGATGGCGGGGTAGTCAAAGGAGTGAGTCGCCTTGCGAAGCGGACTGGTTTCAACTCTGCCCGATACGGTGATGCCTGTTGAAGTTCCACCAAAGAGGCGCACAGAGAGACGGGGGGGGGCGGGTAGCACGAGTACGGCAGATGGGAAAAAAGAGGAACAGTCAAGACATGCCATTGACAAAGGAAACCGTGGAACAGAACAGATACATGGGATGGTCCGATCCAATGGGCATTGACTGCCCTTGGCCGTCGCAAGAGGAGGAGAAGAAGGAGAAGAAGCAGCAGCAGGGGATAGAAAACGTACTCGAGGCATTGGAGATGTTGAGTTGGTTCAGGTCAATGGTCTGAAAGGGCGGGGCCGTGGTGCTGGTGGGCTGAACCAAGAGGGCCTGAACAGGGTTGGTTGGGGTGTGCATGACCAGCATCATCCACCAAGCACAGGCAAGCGCGAGGCGACTGCCCAACGCCCAGGAGGGCCGGGTCCCTCTTCTTGCAGCCACATCCATGGTTCTGAAAGTAAAGCAACAAGTGCAATGCGCTAGACGGCGTTTCGATTCCGACTGCACGTCGTGCGCCGCCGCCGTCCTGTCCTAACGCGTCTAGATATCTGTGTGTGTGTGTGTGTGTGTGTGTGTGTGTGTGTGTGTGTGTACGTATGACTCCTGGCACTGAAGACGCCGTCAATCAAGGGAGGGTGAGCGCAGGAGGAACAAGAACAAAAGTGTTCGAGGCAGCGCAAGGGGGGGGGAGGGGGCACGAGTCCGCCGCCGCGACAGAGAGAGAGAAAGAGGGCCGGCGCCAGCGCGCGAGAGCCGGGGAGGGAACGATGGCGGTGGCGCAGAGACGGGGGTGAAACTACGATTCCCAAATCAATGATATACGTTGAGTTTTGGTGAAGAATCAGAGAGAGGAGTGGTTCCGGGTGGTGTGGGTAGAGACACGAAGCGAGCGTGTGCAAGGCGAGAGACAAAGAAAATGGAGTCGTGGGCGCGCGTGCGAGATTGGGACAAGCTCGCTGTTTCTGATCGGGTCGGCCCCAACCTCCACCTCTGGGTTTGTTCACGTCTCGTGGTGCTTCTCTGATTTTGGTTTGGATTTGCCTTCAGGCGGTGTATGGATGGTTGAGACGTCTCTGAGAAATAGCTCGTGGCAACTCTGTTCTCTACTCGGGTTGCGCATCTCTTTGTCCACTTTGGCTGACAACACATTCAAGTGTGGTCGGTTAACACAGGTTCACCCTTACGAGCCGTCTCACTTGTGTGGTGACATGTCAACAAAGTCCCATAGCTGTTGCAGTCGGCGCGGATCTCGCCGCTCTTCCATAACAACAGAACATCAGCAAGAGAGAGAAGTGGCAGCGCCTTCGGAATCGGCGCGCGGCTTGAGGTCCGTTTGCACACGTCGCTGTTCGTCCCATCTTGAAGGCTGCTCATGCCCTCTGTCTGTCTGCCTGTCTTTCGTTGACAGTCGCACGGACGTTTGGTGCGGGTTTTGATAATGACGCTGGCGACGATCGCTCCCGGAAAGCTGCAACACCACTTTGGTCGTTCGCGTAGCATTCGTTGGGGTGTGGCCGAGTGCGCATCAAGGTTCTCTCCTTCAGCTGGCCATCAAGCGCGCGGCCAGCACCACCAGCAGCCCAGCTTTCCCAGGCACCAACCACGCCCCGCCTGACATTTCCGTACACCCACGCACACACACACACACACACACACACACACACACACACACACACACACACACACACACACACACACACACACACACACACACACACACACACACACACACGTTAGAACGTATGGACGATGATCGCGTACAACGTCATCCCCCGTCCAACGCCACCCCCTGCGCAATCTACACACGCCACACGTTCTTTCTGGTGGGTTTTGCCCCGAGGCTCTGCTCTGTGTGCGCTGTGGGCTCAGTGTGCGTTTCGCTTTTCGTCCTGCGTGTTGGAATCGTCGGTTGCTAAATTCCCAAACACATGTCCAAAAAGTGCACCAAGATTACCTTTACCCTTGACTCTTCCTCGGATCCGTGGGGACAGTTGAACACCTTCCTTGGCCAGGAGCGCCCGCTGCAACCACACCACACAGCCGCACCAACCCGCCACTCTATGCCCCTCCGCCCCGCCTTCGGCAACATCCGCATGCTCGTGCTACGGCCCCCTTGCAGCCCTCCCAAATAGGGTAAAGGGCTCCAGTGTGCTGTTGCTGATACGGCTGCCGTTGTTGCGCGTCAGGCGGCCAGTGCAGAAGTCAGTATGGGTGACGTTTGTCGTTTGGGGTTTTTGGTGCGCAAAATTCGGACACGAGAGCCAAAGCTGACGGGTCGCTTTGGGGGGTCTTCTGCAAGTGAGACAGCCGACTGCCCTTTGGGCTCCCCTTTGGACCTTCACTGTTTTTTCTTAATGTGCGATGATGCAAGGCCCTTCTGATCTGCTCTGCTCTGCCACACAGACAGCGCAACCAAAGCAGCTCGTGGCCCGTCATGTCATAGGGCTACGGTCAGCACGGCCCATGAGCAGTCGGACATTGCACGCTTATCATTGGAATTTGAACAGCGCGCGTGACAAGGCCACTTGCGAGACGGGGCAGGGGAGTATTTCTTGGACAGATTTCATGAGACGGCGGTGTCGCCTCTAACGAGGCAGGATGCGCAACATCTCAATTCGAGAAAAGGCCTTCGTATCATCATGCGAGAGATGGGAGAGAGGGCGAGAGATGGGACTAGCTCGTTGCGAGCCAAGGCCTGAAATTGCCTAGGCCTCGCTAGGTTCTTCATCAAAACCAGCTGGCACCAATGGCCGATCCATGTAATCAGAACCTTACTTGGTGTCTGGCTGCCTGGGTTGGAGCGTTTCAGCTGTTTGTACATGATTAGAAGGGCAATACTCAATGTGGCGCACACGCCAATCAGTGCAATCATGGCAATCATCTCCGGGCTGAAGCGATTGGCTCGGTCCTTCTTCTCCTGCCCAGCTTGAGTATTGGGGTTGCCAGTCGTTGTTGCAGATTCTGGCATGGGGGCGCGTGCCTGTAGTGCGCAGCCGCCCATTTCTGGGTTGCAGGCGTAGTTGGGGCCCATTGTTGGCATTGCTGATTGTCATAGGTAACATTGCATCCGTCCTCCGTGCATCGTCCACAACGCCCGCACACGCCACATGACATGCAGCCATCACACCCAATGCAGCGCACATTGTCCGTGGGCGCCCCAAAAGCATCGAAACTCTCCACAGTGCGCAGGTCTGCGGACCGGTGCATGGTGCTGTGCGCGCACAACAAGGCGCCGGGTCTGCTCGAGCCCATGTTGGTGTCTACCAAGCCGATGGATGAGCTCGACTCCACCAAGGTGGAAGTCAGGTCAACGTGCGCCTGGTCGTAGACATACACAGCTGGAGCAGTGTTTTGATTGAGACGACTTTGGACGTCGGACCAGGTGCTGTCCTGCCCGACCACGGCCACTGCACCACCATACTTTGTGGCCATGTTTCGTTCAAAGGTAACCCGGTTTGACGTCTCCAACGTCGCACCAAACAATACAACAATGGCGCCACCTCGCTCACTTGCGTAGTTCCCGGTCAAACTGCTGCTAGATAGGACAAGCTTGGCCTTGCGGCCTGCTTGCAAACCAGCATCTGTAAGTAGGGCCGCCACAGCACCACCGTCTTGCTGCGCCGAATGCTCATTCAGCGTGCTATCTGACAGAGTCATCATGCTATCCTCGACATAGAGAGCGCCACAAGAAAAAAGCATAAGAGAAGGAAATGGCAGCGCTGGCATTTAGCAACAGTTGGCTTCGACGGGAGCAAGCTTCCCAGGATGCCAGCCCGTGGCCAAAGAGATCAATCGGACCGCCTTCGCACAGAGTCGAAAAAAAAATGAATCTACACGACCACCACCACCTCGACCACGACTACTACTACACGCGCCCCGACCACCACCACCTCGACCACCACTACACGCGCTCCGACCACCACTTCCTTGCCACCGGCCACGACCAGAAGCGCCTGTCCCACAGAATGTAATTGCAAACCGGGTGCGCTTGCGCACCCCTACTATGATGAAGTTCGGCAATGCCATACGTGTACGTGCGTCGCACAAACCGCCCTGTGACCACCACCGCCATGGAAACATCAAAAAAATTACCACATGTAGTTCGAAATAAAGTTTAATTTTGCAAGAGCATTTCAAGATGAACGCTGCACCTCCAACGGACGTCCAGGATCTCTCGTGAAAAACGGTTTCAAGCGGTGTGTGTCTTCTTCACCTTGACCGGCTCATGGTCGCAATGGCAGGAGAGTATGAACGGCAGCTGCGGGCCCACCTTGACCTGGTGATCGAACGGCCGTGGCAGACCTCAGGCCTGGAGGATGAGGGTTGAGGCGACCGCCTCCTTGATTCGGCGGAGCAACTCGAGCGCCTTGCGCGGGACAACCGCACTGCACGTTCCCGAGCTCGCGTTTGCCCTACATCGATGCGTCATGCGCGACCTGGGTGGTGACGATGCGGGGCGCATTCGCAACGTGGAGGTGCGACCAAGTGGGTCGCCCATGGTCTATGCACTGTCTAGGACTGTGTCGGCGCGACTCGAGTGTCTTTTTCGCGTCGTGCGTGAGGCATTGGCGCTTGACGTCCCCGATGCCGAGCGAGGTCCAAGGGCTGTGCGAATCGGGGCATTTTTCTTTCGTTCCTTTCTTCTCATCCACCCCTTTTGCAATGGCAATGGGCGCGTTGCGCGCCTGCTCCTCTCCATTCTACTGCGGCCCCATTGCACTGTGCCCATTTCATTGTTTTTGAATGACCGCGATGAGTATATTCGCATGCTGGAGCGGTGCCCACCCATGACGCCACCATGGGCCTGCATCGCCTACATTGTTCGCTGTGCCGAGCGGCAGGCGAGCAACGTGGCGTTCCTTCTGAGTTAGAGGAGGCGAATGCAAGTTTGTAGTGTGTGAAGGAGGGGGGGGTCCCCGGTTGGAGGGGTGGGGGTCCGGGAGGGCCCCAGTTCCCTACCACGGTACCTCGCCGAACATCTCGCTGCGAAGATTTCCCTACCACGGTGTGAACGGTGTGTGCGGTGTGTGTGTGTGTGTGTGTGTGTGTGTGTGTGTGTGTGTGTGTGAATGAATGAATCAGACGATGTCAGACTTTTCAGAGGCAAAGAAAAAAACTTCCTAAAATTAGACATCATGTGTAAAATAAAAATAGATCCTCTTCGAGACAAACTGCTTGCAACGTTGACGTCTTCTCTCTCTCTCTCTCTCTTTATTTTTTCTCTCTCAGTCTCTCTCTCTCGCGCGCGCTGAACTCTCTCTGTGTCTCTGATCGGCAGCGAGGCGGGTTGAGGTTCGAGGCTGGCTAGCAGGTACTGCTGTCATTGATGCCACCGTTTACAGTCTGCAGTGTTTGTATATCTGCCTGATTTTCAAAGGTCGTTGCTTTTCGTCAAGGAATCTTGGGCTTGGTGCCACTCTCGGCTGCGGACGCCCGACTCTGATCGCGTCGCATCCTCTTTGGGATCATTGCACCAGTAGACCCTGCTGCTCCGCACGACTTGCCAAGGACGCGGCGCCAAGAAACCATCTCCACACGGACACATCGTTGGGTGGAGAGGTGTGCATGTGCGTGCCGCCTGCGAGGCCATGGCCCTTGGTGCTCAGCCCACATTGTCAAGAGCAGCAACAGCCCCACCCATGACCACCGAAGCACCGCCCCTCTGTGTATGATCCAACGCACGTCAGCTTTCACTTTCCAACGATGGGGGATGCTGCTGCTGCCCTGCCGGTCCAAGCGCCCGGGTATGAACATCTCAGTACCGAGGCAGAGGGCTACTCGTCGCTGCCCCGCGATGAATCTGGTGCCCCGGCTCCCAAGCGCGCGGCCCAGCGCATCGACCTGGCAGTCTTGCCTGGCTACACACTGATCAGCGTCAAACACCAGCATGACCTGCAACAGGTGGTGCGCCACGACCTTCCTGCAGAGGGCCTTGACGTGGCCTTGTTCAAACTCGACGCGCTTTGCACACCCAGCCCCGAGGAGCCAGTGCCCAATCTGCTCCGCTGTGCTCGCGCGTTAAAGGTGCAGCTCTGGCAGCTGGCCTCTTCGCGCTCAGCCCAGACAGTCGAGGGCAATGCCCGGGCCGAGCCACATCTGCTCATTGTGGAAGCCGTCCGCTGCATGGGCATGACTATCGATCTTCCCAGTCTCGTCCCTGAGACAGCGATCCCGCTTCCCCACCATGCCCTGCTCATGGCCACACGCTTGGCACTCCAGCGCTTTGAAACTGCGGTTGCCCCTGCTTCCTCTCGCGACAATGCCAGCAAATACATGCCCCACGTTGGATTGAGCAATGTATTTCCCATCTCATCGAGCGTGTTTGACCAACTCCGCACGACACCGGGCGCCACTGCGTCTCCGTCTGCTGACTGGCCTCGAGCGCTGTTTTGCACACGTGAACACCCCTACGAGCTTCCAACGCCCGTTCTCGCCCACGTCGTACGTCTTTGTTTTGCGCTTGCCTCTTGCACGTTGCAGCAGTCTTGTTCATTCATGCAACATGCAACGCGTGCGGTCATAGCTTGGTGCCATGATTGTCGGCGAGGATTTGGATCGCCAGCGCGCCTGTGCCTTCCTGCAACAATTCGGCGGTGCATCATTCCAGCACCGTCTTTTGGATCTTGAACTGGTGTGTCTATTTGCGAGTGCTTTGGAGGCTTCTTGAACTTTGCGGACACCGCTTGCTTTCAAAGGCTTTTTGCACAGGGGCAAGGTCTCACCATGTCTTGGATGTGTTTTTTTTTTTTTTTTCTAACCCTTTTGAAACCTTCCCTCTCGTTGTCATTCCTGTTGTCAGGATAATCAAGAAACGTTGCGACAGCGCATTGCATGTGCTGGCTTGACCGAACTTTTGCGGGAGGCCTTGGGTCAGCGTGGCCCATTGCTGTTCGCCAGCAAGGACTCTGAAAGCGGTTCAAAGGATTTGGCGCCTCCCGTGGTAGTGGGAGGGGCCGAGTTACCAGCTGCCGAAAGCCTTCTTGCCATGGCCATTCCCGTGACCGAGGCCTCACAAACCATGCATGTATCACGTCTGGAGCATGATGGTGCCGATGAACCCATTAGTGCTTCGGATGTAGCAGCCGCGGCGGCGGCCATGGAAGCCCCACCCCCCAGTTTTCGAGATCCCGGATTTGACAATGACCGTACGCATCACGGCCTAACCCTTGCACCTGGTGCAACTGCACCCACTTCAGTTATGGCCTCGGCGACGGCGTCTGATACAGCACCAGGAGGCGATGATGATGCGGGGACTCGTGATTCGAATTTGGTTGCATACTCTCCATCCAGCCACCGCCACGACCCCACCCAAGCCCAACCGCGGACTGATATGCCGGCGCATTTGGCCACACGTCTGGGAGGGCAAAGCTGGGCAGATGCACGACTCGTCGGCGATGAGAATATCTCCTGGCTGGCCCAAGTGGCCGAATACTTCAGCCTGCAGATGAGCATGACCAAATCCACGGGTCACATTTCAAACATTAAATATCCCATCTGGGATCCTGCCACCCGCCGCATTGATGGCTACACTCGGCGTCGCATTAAACGAGAGGTACACCTTGTCCCCGCGGGCCCGAAGCGAACCAACCTTGAGCGCATTGCGCAGAAGCTTGAGCGCTTGAGTTGCATGCCACGGTGTCAATTACCGACGGGAGATTGGCTTGACTTTGGTTTTCGAGCTTCAAAGGATTGCAAAAGCTTTGACAGTCGCACCCAGTGCGAGCAGGCGTCGCGAAACGATACCAAGGACAAGTTGGCCAAGATTGCCGATTTTGCCTTTGATGATATTCTCATCAACGGCCGTCCCACACAGGTGAGCTTGTGTCGTGCCTTATGCCTGAGACAAAATTCCTGATGCGCTAACCCCAGGCTTTTGGCTCTTAACCATGGTGCAGCCTCCACTGGCTAAGGTGCGAGCACGTTGCCAGCGACTGGTGGATGACTATTTGGCGACGCCCTGGATCGAAGCCTGTGATCGTGCACAGGATGGCAGTACGTGTGCTTGTTGTGACTCTGCTCCTCATGCGTGACGCTGGAACTGAGCTGACCGTGGCTTTTTTTTTTGAAAATGCTTGTTGTGCGTGGCAGAAATGCTGTTGACGCTACTGAGACCGCTGCTGCACGGCCACAACAACCAGCACATCAAGCAGCGTGGGCCGACGGTGCTGCGTATGGATGCCGCGCGCAAACGCATGCTCTCAATCAACAGCCGCCTGACTTGGATGCAGCTGCGCCTCAACGGCACTTCACTGAGTCAGTGTGGTCAAGTCTTTTTTTTTTAACAATGCGAGTGTAGAAGTGCGAGCCTCTGCCATCATTCATCAGCTCACATTGGATTCTCATGCTTGGACCCGCAGGCATGGTGTCCAAAACCGAGCCGAATGGGCTCTAACAGTTGGCAGCAACCTCACTTTTTGAGAAGAAGAAGAAGAAGAAGAAAAAAACCATAAGGAACAGAAAACAGCCGAGGGCGTTGTCTGTTCCGATGAGTCTGCTTATGAATCAAGTCAGAGCGTGATCCGAATTGTGTCTGATGGCCGCGCGAGTCAGCCGGGACTTGCGGCTCATGCAAGCGCTTGATCAGTCAATATCATATTATTTAAACAAATCAGAACTTAGTGGGGCTTCACTTTGCTTGGGGTGGATGAGCCCAGGGCTTGAGGAAGCAGGGAAACGCAGGTGATGAAGGAGGCTAGGGCCATGAGACCAATAACGATGGCGATGGTCTGAGCGTTGGACTTTTGCAGGGCCAGGTAGGCTCGCCAGGTGAACACACCCGTATACACAGCCGTCAAAACAGCCGCTACACTCACGGCAAAGGAGCTCTGCCAAAGACGAAGGCAGTTGTGGGGTACACGAGCAGCAGGCATCATGATGAGCAGATCGGGTGCATTCGCTCTTGGCAGGCAAGAAAGTTTGCGCACCTTATTGGCCGTGGCAAAGGAAAGGAGGAGCAGGAGGGCAGCCGAACCGCCACCGGCAATAACAGCGCTTTTGGCCTATGGAAGAGTCATCGTGAGTACCCCACCATGTCAGCGGCAGGACTCTGCTCGGTCCGTCCCGTTGGAGGGGCATTGGGCAGGCGCACCGTCGCGGCAAAGTTGTAGAGGCCCCATCCCATGAGACCGGCCGCCAGCAGAGCGCAGGCCAAAACGCGCAGCTTGGTCGTCACCAATGCATAGTCTTCCCTATATCAGCCAGCCCCAAACACCTTGTGAGCCCTCGTAAACAGTCGCGCACCCTCTCCAGCCAGAGAGACGATCACTGCCACTGCCACTGACATCTTTTCAGTTCAGTGTGTGAAGTGACGGATTTTTTTTTTCTTCATGTGTGTGTGTGTGTGTGTGTGTGTGTGTGTGTGTGTGTGTGATTTGTTGATCTGAATGATATAGCAAGGGGATTGGGGATTGAGAGAGCGGGATGGATGCGTTTGGTGAAAAAAAAGAAGAAGAAGAGAGGTGCTGGGTGAAGAGAGATAGGGCTTTAATCCGTCAACTGAGAGGAAGCGACACGATGACCAAGCAGCACTCGAGCTTGTTCGTTGCGCTGCAGTACTGAAACAATGACAAGATTAAAGAAGAGACGGACGGGCAACGCGCGTTCTCTTCGGGAAAAGCACAGAAAGATCATGCAGACTGGCTAAGGATGCGGTTATGGAAGAACAGAAAAACAAGAACAAAGGAGGAAAAATAAAAAAATAAAAAGGAAGGACACAGCCCAGCAAAAGATAACATGGTGCTCATATGTATCACACTGTACAACATGAGCGAGGAATACCGCAAAACATGGCCGCAGGCCACCGGTTCCAATGGCGCCCTGTTATTGCAGGTTGGAAAATCCGTAAGAGGCAGGGTTCTGGGCCAAAGAAGCACGACTGCCATTCTCTGCGGGTAAGAGGGCAGCGAGTTCCTGCAGAGTGCCGGGATCCAGATCGGAAAGCAGGGTGTTGCCGCTTGTATGGCTGTTCGCAGCTTGTAGATTCGGTGACTGGCTGGCAGCTGGAAAGTTGGGGGCAGAGTTTGGCTGGGGCACACCCGAATCGCCAAAGTCAGCCAGGAGGAGATCAATGGCATCCAGTTCGTCTTGCTGAAGCGGCTGAAGGCCCGACGCAGCGGTGGCCGAGGAAGCAGACCACAGGCCAGCGGCGTTGTTGGGCGAGCGTGGGGTGTTTGACGTGAGAAGGGTATTCAAATACTCAGACCCTTGGTCTTGGTTGGCTGCAGACAATGTCGTTGAGGGGGCAGCTGGAACGGCGTCGGCGGGAGTGGCACTGGTCGGTGTAAAGGTGGTGCAACCCGCGTCCTTGGTGCGATGCTTCACCAGACCACAACCGACGAGTTGCTTGACAATTTTGGGGCAGAGCATGGCCAGGGTTTTGAGGGAAATGCAATCGGATCCGTCTTTGGTCTGATATGAGGTGGCAGCCACGGCATTGATGGTGGCGGGCACGACGGGGACGGGCTGGGCCATGGGGAGGGCGGCTTGGGCCAGCATGGTGTTGGCGTCGTCAATGTTTTGCCGAGCAGTGTCGACCGAGGCATGATTTGAGTTCATGTGCATGCGGAGACCAGCCTTGGTCTTGAAGGTCTTGGTGCAAAACTTGCAGGGTTCGCAGCGATCGTCGTTGTGGGTGCGTTCGTGCATTCGGCAGTGGCTAGATGTGACAAAGGATTTGCCGCACACATTGCAAGAATAGGGGCGTTCTCCCGTATGCGTACGGAGGTGCACTTTGAGATCACACGCTCGCGAGTGGCGCTTGCCGCAGATACTGCATGGTTGTTAGCGAAAGCGTAGAGCTTTGGTGAGCCGCGCGTCCAAACAAAAAGAACAAGAACAAGAGAAAAAAAAACCTCCTTGAGGCGGGGGGAGGAAGGCGGGAGCTCACCCGCATTTGTAAGGCTTGACACCGGTATGAGTCTTCTCGTGGCGGGAGAGATGGGAGCGTTTGGGAAAGCACCGGCCGCACTCGGCGCACTCGAATGGTTTTTCTGCGTTTGAAAAAAAAAAGGGGGGGGACGAAAGAAGGGCATGAGCTTCCAGCCGGAGAGCCAGAGAACGAGAGCTAATTTTTGGCAGGCAAAGGGAAGCGGTCACAGCATCATGTTGCGTTACGAGGTGCGTACCACCAGTATGTGAGCGCTCGTGGACCTTGAGATCGCTGCGGCGGGTGTACGATTTGCCGCATTCAAGACAAACATGACGCTTTGTCTTGCTACCATCGAGCACGGTTGTCGTCGTGGTGGAAGGAAGCGCGGTGTTGCTCATCACTGAAGATGAAGAAGTGCCTGAATTGTTCATTTGCAGGACCTGCCGCTCGATATCGGCTGCCGTCGAGGGGTTCGAGAGCTGTACCGCTGCCATAATCTGCGGTCAAACTAGACGCTTTGACACTTTGACCAATCCCAGAGTCAGTCCGGCTGTGCTCTGGAACACACACACAGCCCGGGACCAACTGATCTGATCCTCCTCTACAAACGACGCGTCTCGCCTGCAGGAAGGAGGAGAAGGAGGGAGGAGGGAAGAAGGGGAAGGCAGACAGGATACCCCTTGCCGCTGCCCTTTTTTTTTTTTTTTGCGTGCGCACAGAGTGAAGAGAGAGAGAGAGAGAGAGAGAGAGAGAGAGAGAGAGAGAAGGTGTGTGAGACGCTTTCTCTTCAAAGGTAAAATGCAAAGGGTTTGAGAGATGGTGGGCTGGTATGGTTGGTTGAAAGGCCATGAAAGGAGCTTGGGGATGGACTGACATTTGGTAATAAACTGGTTGGGATGACGTAAGTGTAACACTTGATACACTTGAAATATTGTCAGGTGGTAGCGGAATGAAAAGTTTACAATGCAGGATATCGTACCGTGATAACGTGTAAAGGTTAGATGGGGGAGATGTTAAAGTTAGAGGGGGATAGATGTTGCTGGTGGGGGGGGGACGAGTATGCAATCGAAAGGCCAACAATTCGTGAGAATACGACTCCCCCCCCCACCCTGGTCCTTGACGCACTCGCTTATGCAGAGAGATCGAAAGTTCATGTACATTAAGTAAGGTCTACAATGGTAGATATTGAAGCAAAAGGGGAGGAAAATGTCTTATTTGTTGTTCACATACCAACTCTTCGTCATCGTCCCAACTTGCTACTGCTCCTCCTCTGTGTCTGCATGCCGGCTGGGAATTGGTGTAACACCGACAGCTGCCAACCCGTGACGGCTTCATGCGTGTGGTTAGTCTGGACCCCATGTGTGGCTGTTCTACATACGTTTAGGCTTATCCTTTTGCAAATGCGTGTGCCCTTCTGTGTGTGTGTGTGTGTGCCCTTCTGTGTGCGTGTGTGTGTGTGTGTGTGTGGGTGTGTTGTGCCGTCAATCGTCTGACAGTAGCTCATCGAGCCAAAATAGACAACATCTGTTTACAACAGTATTTTAGACTCCCTCTGGCCTGACCGTTACACACCGTGCTTGTGCTTGCAAAAAGTTAAAAAAAAAAAAAACGAGCGCGCACGACGACGACGACGCCGACGACGACGTCTTGGATAACGATCGACACACTTGATTGCTGGATCGGGTACACGGAGGCAGCACGGGCACAGTCACTGACGCAGACACACAGCCAGGTAGTGACACAGAGTCACAGACACCACGACACACGCGCGCGCGCGCGCAGAGGCACAGACGCGCATTGGGAGGTGGTGTATCGACTGCTTGATTCGTCATGTCGCAGCTTTCGTCGACTCAGGTTGGTCCTCATCAACTCGCACGATGGGAACGACCGTCCATATGATGGTGCGACATTTGACCTTCTTTCGATGGCTCAACCTTTGGGCCTGTCATAGTCGGAGGCGACACGCCGGGAACTTCGCAATCGACACGGCGAGTCCATCCGACGCGTGCGTGCTGCCGCCGAGCAAGCCGATCCCATCAAGGCTGCCACCGAAGCCCTCGAGCAAACAAACAATGACTTTCGCTTCGGTCCGTTTCCTGTTCAGCTCTCAAGCCAAGATGATGTCTTGTTCCTTTTTTTTTTTTTTTTGCCTTGTTGATCTTTACTCTTCCACCCCTCAACGCGCACCGCGCTTCAATGTACAGTCAGTCATGGATCAGAGGCTGTCACTGACGCTCGCGTCTTGTCCGAAGCCGCCCTTCTCGGCCGCCAGGAGGTTGGTTCCAGTTTACGCAGCGCATTTCTGCAGTAAGCTTTGACGCTTATGTGATGGTTCCCCCGCGTCGTGCTACCTTGGTTTGTAGGCCGTCAAGCTCTCAGGCGCCTCGTTTGAGTTTTCCTCGGGCTCCCTGAAAGAAGCCTTGAAATCGACTTTTATGGTACGCTGACGACCTCCAGCGGCACATCCATTCCGCCTGGCGTTTATGCAGGCTTAGCTTTGTGCTTGGACCGTTGCAGATTGCGCCGGTTACTGGTGGCAGCTCCGGCATAGAGACGAGTCAGCCTCACAACAAGCGCAGCAAACGCAGCCTGGCTGCAGCATCAACGTCCAATGCTGTCAGCTACGACTGGGACGCCCTGGGTGTCTTGGCCTGCCAATACTTACTCCCCGTTCCTCCGCTGCGCGTCCTGTACGCTTGCTTCCTCACTGCCGATCACAAAGATTGGCCCAATCCCTTGTGGCCATGCTCCTACTTGATGCGCCCGCCCGGCTCACATCTTTCACGACTGTCAATAGTTTGGGGCCTTTGGCAATGGATACCTCGAAAAAAGTGATTGAGCGTCAAACAAATCAACGCAAGAATTATAAGGCGATTCAGCCGAAGACGGTCCGTGCAAAGCTTGCTGCCCGGCATCCCGTTGCTGTGTTTTCCATGCCTCAAAATCGCCCCCCGACGTTCTGGGCTGCACCAAATCAAACCCGCTTACGTTTCTTCTTGACAGATGAATGACTTTGCGACCGAGGACCGCGAAACCACCTCCAACCGCGTCGAAACAGTCCTTGATTGCCTGCTGGATGTACGCTTGGCGCTCGACCACCCGGTGACTGGCATGGCCTGGATTCATACGGTTGTTGATGCAATGTTGACCATTCGCCATGTTACCTCGCAGCATCTTGAAGAAATTGGCGAAGACGACTGTGACCTCTTCCACTTTGCTTTCAACCCAAAGAGTTTTAGCCAAACCATTGAAAACATTTTTGACGTCAGCTTTCTGGTGCGGGTCCGCTCCCATTGTGGCCGACCTGCTCCCTTTGCAGGCTGCGTGTGTGCCGATATCTTGATGCCGCCTTTGCTTCATGCTTCGTAGATCAATGAAGGACGATGCGGTCTTTTTTACGATCGACACAACCTCCCACGCATCCGTAAGCAACACCTTTGCTGGCCAAACCCCTGTGCGACAACACAAAAAGAGGCTTAGGCGTTTGGTTTTGGCTGGCGACAAACTCTTTTAGGGAGCCTCGATCCTGACGACGAGACAAAGGGCAAGCTGCCTGGCTCGGGCAGCAGGCAACAGGTCATCTTCTCCGTCAATCAGCAAGAGTGGCAAGACATTGTCGAGGTGCGCAACGTCTGTTGTGGTTCTGCACGACCTTCCATTTTCTGCGCTGGCCATCCGCCTCATGTTTTTGTGCCGTGCCTTTTTAATGTCAGGCTTTCAAAATTTCCAAGAGCGTCATCCCCAATCGCCCGTCATGATAGCCTCACCAGCAGAGCAGTTGTTGCCAGGTGTAGAGCGACGCACAACACAACAAAGATTCTTAATCTGTACTTGAGTCTTGAAAATAGCACCACCTGACTGAAGCAGGACTGACGAACCCCTTGTTTTTCTCTGCTCGTGTCTTGACATGTAAAGCAGGCTGATACGATAGTCGTAAACAACTAAGCAAAAATCGCCAACCTTGATGACTGATTACTGAGCTCAACTCACACAAAAGTGGCAAGCCACGGTGCAACACCAAAAAATCTGCACCCGCCCGCGCGGAACAGGGACAACTTGCAAGAGAGCGCAAGGGGATCAAAGATGCATACAAAAAGGATCGGTAAAAACACAAAAGGCAGCGAAGAACAGGCTCGTCAGACCAAAGACCAAGCCTGGCTTGGCAACACACAAGAAAAGACAGACAAAACCCATTCACACTCTCGCCTATGCAATCACACCACTGAGAGAGGAGCAAGCCATGGCCACCCCACGCTGATAAAAGACGGTGGGCGCTACATCTGCCGGCGGCAAAAAGGGTACCACTGCAATGAGGTTGGCCCGGGTCGTGTTGAGATAAAGAGGTACATTGACCGACTGCGTGGTGTCGGGCTCTGTCTCGTGCAACACCCAGCGCAGTACTGTCAGCGGATGCATGGTAAAAGCCACGTCCACCAGAGCAAAGGTGCGTCCCTTGCTGGTGGCACCCTCAATGCGCAGGTTGGTAATGAGGAAGCTATTAGTGAGCTCGCTTGGTGTATCTTGAGCGCCGCTGCGGACCTCCAGCTCCAGGGCCAGCTTTTCCAGGGGCCAGTTGTTGCGTTGGGCCACGGCCTGTCGAGTGGCCGTAATGTATGCCTCCGGCACAAACAGGCCCCCGAGCCACACGCGCAAATCCGGCAATGGATTGCCCGCCGTTACGTGGTGTTCGATGCTCTGCAACTGCAGTGTGCGCTGCGCAAAGTCAGCCACCCATTGTGCCACAGGCATGCCGTCGGGAATCTTGTACAGCTGCCATGACTTGGGTACGCTGCCTGCCACCAGTGCCGTGAAGAGTGATCGCATCTCGTTTGTTTGCTTCATCTCACCCTCGCACACTTTGATGACGTTGTCAAGGTCTCGGCGCACGCGCTGCAACAGCTGGACGCCAATGGTCGTCTCGCGCTCGAAAAAGCGGAAGAGCGGGTCCTTGATCGAATCCGCTGTACGCAAGAGTGAGTTCAGTACTGGCGGCAGCACACTTAGCCATTCTGCCGCATGGGATTTGAGGGTGCGCATCCAGGCGGGTGTGGCGGAGCTTGGGTGCTCGCTGTCCTCCGCACTGCCCAAGTCAAGACTGTCATCATCTGTCGTCTGCAGCATTTGGATGTTGATTGCAAGGACCTTGGCTCGGTTGCTCAACAACACGGCCTCAGCGTTGGCCGGTAGGCCAAGCCAGGTGGGCATCTGTGCATCAGGCAACGATGCCGCCCAGGCAATCAACTCCTGCTTGCCCTTGCCTTGCGGCGGTTTGATACTCGGCGTAGAACTGCTCTTGTCTGCCTGCACAAATTCAAACTTGGGCGAAAAACTAAAGAGCACAACAAGAAACGAAAAAAAAAAAAAAAAAAAAAAAAAAAAAAAAAAAAAAAAAAAAAGTGAGAGAAATGGCGAGAGAAATGGCAACGTCTAGTCGTGAGCGTTCAGCACCCTGGCCATCGTTGTAATCGCGTATTCGGACCTTTGTTCGGTAAACACAGAGGCAACAAAGGCTTCAAGAAGGCGCTGATCAATCTCGTTGTCGATGCGCCCGCCATAGACTGATTTGCTCAACAAAGTGCGAATGGCCTCCCAAGGAATTGCAGCTGGCTCGACGTTAGCCCTAAACAGCAGAGAGACGAGCACAAATTGAGCAAGTGATGAAGCGCCCCGAACCAACTGCTTTTGCAGGACCAGGCTCACAAAAAAAACCAAACCACAACAAACATTTCGACGCCATTCTCGAAAAACAAAGGCATCAAGGGAAAAGAAAAAAGAATTTAAAAAAAAATATGAAAAAAAAAAAAAAAAAACGTACTGGCCGTCAGCGGTTCGGTCGATCCAAGTGTGAATCGTGTCGGCAGCCGTGCGCAGATCTGGCTCGCCAAACTCGTACTTCTTACTCCATCCCAAGGGCGCGTAGCGCAAACGCTCTTGAATGACACCGTGCAGCCAGGCCAAGAGCAAATAAAGGTGCGCGCGCTGCGAGGGCGCGGCATCAATCTGATCTGAGAAGCTCTGTAGTGCACGCGTGACTGATGCCTTGACACCAGCTGGAGCCTCGTAGATAAACGTTCGTGCCGTGCGCACCAGAGTCACAGGCAGCTTGGGGCTGATTTCTGAAGTCAAGAAGAGGCGGAAGTTGGGGTTCGGGTTGGAGGTGCTCAGCAGCTTCTCCACCTTGACCAGCAAAGAAGGGGCCAGGTGTACGTTTTTCAGCACTACCCAGCGGCCGTTGGCAATGGCCCCACGCAACACGTCCAGGGCCTCACGAGCAGCTGATGCCGCTCCCACGGCCACGGCCGTCACCTGCTTCTCGGCTGCATTGGCAAAGTCATCAACCTTCACCGAGGTATCAAAGCCCTTGGCACCACACAGTAACACCGGGGTAGCCGCCGTGATCTGTGTTTTAAGGACACCGTTGGGGTCCTGGTCCATGCTAAGAGCGCCAAAGCTATCGCCGAGCACGAGGTGCACAAGCCGGTGTGCGTGCGTCAGCACACGGTCCGGTCGCGCGGCTTGCAGCAACAAGATTTCGCGGAACAGCTTACGCACGGCCGAGTCGGAACCCTCAATATGCAGGCCGCTCACGTAGGTCGGGAGCTCCAGTTCCGGGCGCGGCAGTTGCAGCCAATTGACAAAGGCGTCGCGATTGTCATGCACCTCCTGGGCCAAGGCTTGGAACGCAGTCAGTTTTTGCGATAGCGCGTGCATGGCCTGCGTCTGCTCAACGGTCATGCCATGGTCGAGTAGGCCATCAAAGGCAGTCTCGCCAGTCATGACCGCAGCTGCGCCCGTCAAAAAGTGGTTCATCTCCACCTCTGGAATTTCGTCGGCATCGCCCGCCACGCGGAAGCGCGCAAACGTGAGCGCCAGGGGTAGCCGATGCTCGTGCAGCATGCCGGGCGCCACGCGGTCATACACAAATTGGAAGATGCTGTCATTGATCACGCCAATGCGACGCTCAAAGTCGTCAGCCGCCACCTGTGCCAGGGCCGGGTTGGTGTCGTTGTTCAGGACCACCGTGAAAATGTCCAAGAAAAACTGCAGGCTGTACTGGTACAAAAAGTGGACCGCCGACATCTGCTGGAGCGTGAAAAAGATGGCCGAGCAGCGCTGCGCCAGCGGCATGTACTCCTTGCTCACGGCCTCGACGTTCTTCATGATAGAGTCCGTGTCCCGCACCTTGGCCTCAATCTCCATGGCGTTGGACTTGAGGGTCTCGAGCTGCGAGATAACGGCGTCGTTGTCCAAAATGCTGCCTTCAGCCTTGTTCAACGCGTCCAACAGCTGGTTCTCGAGCTGCAGCAGCTTCAGGCGGAACTCGCCCTGCATACGCAAGAGGTCACCACGCTGCTTGTCCACGTCGGGCCGCTCAGAACGCAGCGCCTGATTGATGCACTGCGTCTGCAGGGAACTGCGCGTCACGGTAAAGTTGACCAGCGTCACGCGGCTGCAAATGTCCACGGGAAACTCGGTTCCTGGGCTGCGCGTGATCAGAATCATGCTAAACTTGTGAGACAAGTCAATGTCCTTGCCCGCCACGTTGATAAAGACGCGCCCACCCTTGCGCTGCACCTCGTTGTTGAGCACCGGGTTGACGATCGGATCAAAAGACTCGGCGTCCAGGATAAGCAGTGTCGTGCCAAAGCGCAACGCACTCTCGAGGTCCTTCCGCAGCTGGTCGGTGTTCAAGAACGAAGTTGTCACGAGCTTGCCACCCTCGTTCTTTTCTTTCTGGATGTAAGCCAGCGCCTGGCCGGAGGGATCGATAATCAGCGGCGCACGGATCGAGCGTTTGATGGTGACCGCGTTTTGCAGACACAATTCGTCCTCTGGTAGGCTGTGGTTCTTCCAGCGTAAGCGGTCATCAGGACTGGAGAGGTACTCGGGCAGGCCCTCCTCGATGCCCGGCTTGTGTTGAATGCGCGCCTTGGTGAGATGCGCAGACCAGCGGAACAGAAGCATTTGGCGGTAGCTCTGATCAAAGTAGCCGCCGTATGCAACAAAGGCAGCCGCCAGAAGGCAGTCGCCCACAATTGTGATCATCTGTGCGTCAAAGTCTTTTGCGCTGTCGGACCAACGCTCGCGCTCGCTGGAGAGATCCCGGAGCAGCTTCTCCGACCGCTCAACCTTCTTCAACACCGTGGCCAGGCTGGCTTTGATGGCTTCTTGCTCGCTGATGAGCACAGCATAGTCGGCTTCCAGTTCCTGGATCTTGCTCTCCAATTCCTGGATCAGAACCTGCAGCTCGGCCTGCTGAACCTGCATATCCTCGGCCGCCCGCTCGAGATCCCGAAGCTCATTGGTAAGAGGCTCAATCTTGAGCAACTGTGTCGCGTACAGCACCGAGGCTCGAGCCCACTTCACCAGCGGACCCGCTGCCTTGGAAGCCTTGTTGGCTGCCTCAAACGTGAAGTCGGGGTCGTCCAGGTAGGGCTGAAGCTGCTTCATCACCTTGGGCGTGACGGACTCGGTGTCAAAGTTGCGGACATCTCGGGTAAAGTTGTCCTGCGCGATCAGACTGCGGATTTGCTTCCAGTCGGTCGTGTGCTTGCCCATCAGGGTCAGCGCGCCCTCGAGGGCAAGCTTGACCTTCTTGGGTGGGTTGATGAGCTTGCGCACTTCATCCAGATCCTTCTTGGAGATGCCGCTCACGGCCTGCTTGGCCTCCTCAACGGCGGGGGCCACAGCTGCCAGCTCCTCCTCCACCTGGGCCTTGCGTTCGTTGGCTTGTTGCTGCTTGACCTGCAACTCTTCGTCAATCTTAAGCGACTCGGTCTTCTTATCGTTGGCCGCCTGCTTTTGTTCAAGGATCACCTCCAGCTTCTGCTTGGCCAACTCGGACTTTTCCTTAAGCTGGGCCTCCTTCTCGGCCAGTGAGCCCTGCATCTCTTCGACGGTTTGCTTAGTTTCCGCAATCTTGATCACACCGGAGAGCAAGTGCTCCTTCTGTTCCTCCAATTCGCGGCGCTTCTCGGCCACAAAACGGGCAAACTGCTCCAAAAACTCCAGGTAGTGGCGCGGGGTAACGGAGACGATGCGGCCTTCGCGCTTGGCCAGCATGCGCACGGCTTGCTTGGCGCTCGTGTGCACATACACGGCCGCATTGTGGATGGCATCCTGATAGGTGGGCGCCTCGACAAAGTCGGCCAAAGCCGCAGGAAAGTCCATGGGTGCCTCGTAGGTGGCGAGCTCGAGGCCCATTGACACTGTCAGGTCGCGGGCAACGCGGAAGAGGGCGCGGTCGGACCAATCGCCGAACCAATCAAGAACGCAGCGATTGAAAAGAGCGGGCGAGGTTGAGGCGCGGTCCTGCATGCCAGCCTCAGATGGGCACATGGTGAATACAATGTGCAGGTTGTTCATGACATTGCGGCTGAACCACTTGTAGAGCTCGTCGTTGTCGTCCAGGTTGAGCTGCTGGCGGCGGGAGGCTTCCTTGCACTTGCTCATGAGAGCAGCGTAGTCCTCATCCTCAAAGAGGCCGGGCACCTCACCGTTGGCCAGGAGGGTGTTCATGCGCTCCAAAAAGGCCGTGTCCATGAGACTACCCTCATCCAGAATAAAGACAATCTTTTCGCCGTCCACACCCGAACGGCGCAGCACGTCACGAAGGTCGTTATCAAAGTCACTGGCCGTATAAGCGTTGTGGGCCTTGATCTGCACCACGCTCAAGTCGTTCATCCAGGCCACAAAGCGGGACAATGTGGTCCGGCCACATCCACTCGTGCCAATGAGCAGCATGTGCCCCTGGTTCTGCCGGAAGACGCGATCGATGCGCAGCACGTGGTCCAGCACCTCATCGAAGAGCACAAGCTCGACGTCCAGCTGTTCCTCCGTGAAGGTGTGCAATTTTTCACGCACAAACTCACGCAGCTCTTCCTGGTCCACGGGACCGTACTGGTTGGTCAACCAATCCGAGAAGAGGATGGGCCGCCCAATGGCCTCGCGCAGGTCGATGCCGCGGAAATGAGCCTTGGCAACCTCGTCGACTTTCTCGTCGGTCCACTGACGTTCCTCGTCGTAGACCAGGCGGTCTTGGAAGAGGCGCAGGGCCTCGTGCGCCCAAACACGCACCAGGCCTTCGAGCTTGAGCTCGACGCCACTCTTGGCCAGAGGGCCAATGGCCTCAGCCACGCCCTTCACCCAGCGTGTCATCTCGCGCGGCGAGTAGATGTAGTGAGGTTGCATGTCCGCCGTGAAACGCTGCTGTGACTGCATGTAAAAGTCGACCATGGCTTCGGTGAGCGTATCGCCGTAGGGCTCGAGATTCGGGTGCGGCCGGAGGACAGCCCGGTTGAATGTGCCGTAAATCTGCTTGAGGGATTCCGCGCCCGGGTAGTCGACGTAGACCACAGGGATGTGGCGCAGAAAACGGTGGGCGAGCGGCACACGACCGGGGTCCGTGGGTGGATTGCACGCTCCCACAAACTGAATGCGTTCAAGCTTGACCCAGGTGTGCTCGTCCGTGTTCCAAAAGCCGCCCTGCTCGACGAGCTGGCGGACAAATGTGATGACCTTCACCGTGTTGTACTTGTCAGCGGCAGGGAGATTGCACTCGTCCATAAAGACGATGAGCCACTTGTTCAGTTGTGTCGGCGCAAGCACGAGACCGTTGGCCGTGCGACGGTACTCGCAGTATTGATCAAAGGTCTTCATCAACAGCTCGGGCGTGGTGGTGCTGCTAAAGTTGAGCCCGGCCACGTCAAAGTGCGGAAGAGCTCGGAGCGCGCTGAACAGCGTCATGGTTTTGCCCGAGCCCGGAGGTCCGCACAACACGATGGGAAGATGTTCCGAAAGCCAAGTGTAGAGGAGGTCCTCGTGACGCACCGTGTCCAAAGTGGGCACGACCACGTCCGTGCCAGCGATCTGATCCGTCTCAATCTCCTTACGCGGTACCTGATCGGCCCAGGGCTGCCACGTGGCATCCGGAAGCGCCACCTTGTAGTCAATAATGTCACCATCTGGTGTGTCAATGGTCGTGGAGCTCTTGAGGAAAGTGCTCATTTCTGAGCGCACGGCGCCACGGGAATCACCCACCAAGCACCACATCAGGGAATAGAGGAATCGCTTTTGCGTGTAAGCCGCCACCTGGTCTTCGGTCAGAGGGAAGTCTGGGTGTGTCTGGTTGTACTCGCTGAGAACGTTGCAGATCTGATTCAGCATGCAGAAGAGCGCATTCAGACAGCGCGCCGGCGTGTAGTCCATGACGTGAAACAGATCTTGGCAGTAGCTGAGCGACTGAGAGACGAGGCCGTCGGGTTGGAAGAAAACAGCGAGCGTATCTGCCACGGTGCCCTGTAGGCGAAGTGCGGCTGCCTGGTCCGCTTCAGTGAGGGTGCTGTCCTCGCTCAGGACTTCATTGCGCATGACGGTGAGGAAGCGTGTGTAGTTCATGTCCAGCGTCAAGACCTCTTCGGAGAACCACACCATGCCACAGCGCGACACCGTGGCGAGGGTGGCGTTTTTGAGGTCTTGGACTTCGAAAATGATCCTAATGTTCTCCGGGAGGTTGAGGCGCTCACCGTTGGGCAAGGTCAGCAGCTTGTTGTCATCGAGGACCGAGTTGAGGTTTTCAACCCACTCGGGGTCGACATCGCCGTCAAAGATGATCCATTGACGCTTGTTCCGTTCGCCACGCACGTTGTCAATAATCTTTCGCACAATGTGTGTAAACAAGCCATCCGTCCATTCGCGGGTGGTCATGTCCAGGTAGCCGTACAGCTGCTCCTTGGAAATAGCCTTGGGGTCGATGACGTAAGATTCGGCCTCCTTCTTCTCCCAGCGGCGCAGAGCCTCGAGGAGAACGCTCCACGCCACCGATTTGCCGACGCCGGACGGCCCCACAAGCATGAGACCGTGGTTGAGGGTCGTCACCTGGTACAGCTGCAGCACCTTGGTGAGCCACATGTCACCAACCACATAATGGCGCTCCTGACAAATGTCGCGGATGTGCTGTTTGAGCTCGTCCAGCGGGATTTCTGGCGGCGTCACGCCGGGGAACACGTCGGCAAGCAGACTGTTGAGCAAGGGGATGTCCTGCGCAATCAACTTGGGGATCATGGTCTGTGTGATGGACTGAATCACCACCTCCGATTCGTCAATGCTTGCCGAGACGGCCTCCTCGTCAATGGTGCGCCCAGCCGCCGTGAGCGCCTGGCGCGCGGCAGCCAAGCGGTCGCGCTTGATGTTGCCAGCTGAAACAAGGACGGACTTGAGAGACCGCAGGCCAAAGTCGTAGTGGGACTGCGCGGAGAGCTGCTCGGCGCAGAGGATGAAAAGTGGAACGACCTTGCGAGAGAGCTCCTCTGCGGTACGGAAGCCCTGCGAATAGAGCATCACCTGAGCAATGAGTTGGCGGTCGGGCTTGGTCATGGCCAGGTTCCGGAAGAGCTTCTTCAGGTTGTCGGGAAGTGGGGAGCGACCTGCATAGCCTGGGTTCATTGTGATGAAAATCGCCATGTCTGGGTTCACCGGGATGGGATTGCCGCCCGAGAGGCGGACGGTCATGGCGCGCTTGGCCTCCTCGCCCGTTTTACCAGCTCCAGCCTTGAGGGCCAGCTGGATACTCTCAATTTGCTGCGAAACGGCAGAGAGCATGGACTCCTCCAGTCGGTTGAATTCGTCGAAACAACCCCAGGCCCCGACCTGACACAAGCCCACGAAGATACGGCTCATGGCATGGTTGTCAAAGGTCTCATCGCAGTTGAACACCAGCACGAAGCGGCCGAGCTGTGCGCCCAGGGCCTTGACCGACTCCGTCTTGCCCGTTCCAGCAGGACCAAAGGGACTACCACCTTGGCGCGCCGCCAAGGCCTGTGTCATGGTAAGGAAGCAGCGGTCCGTGAGAGGTGTCTGCACCAGCTTATCGACGAATCCCAGGTACTCAAAGCCATAGTAGCTGGTGGTATCAGCCATGCCGATGGAGAGCTGACGCAACACCTCGGTCTCGTTGGCATCAAAGTAAAAGCGCATGTTCTGCAGCCAGGCAAAATCCTCGCGGGAGGCGACGTTATCGCGGAGCAGGGAACGGGTGAGGTCACGCTTGTGAACAAGCTCTGTGATCATCTGCTCCAGTTTCTTCCGGCGGATCACGGGCTGATGCTGAAGCACCGTATCGGCCAGCCCGTTGAGGGTGGTCACCAGCGAATCAATGAGCGCGCTGAGCTCCTTGGCCGTATCAGCTGCGGCCAAGGCTGCCTCAGCACTGCGCGACCAGGACACTTGACCGCTGAGCAGGACGAGCTGGGCCTGGAACTCATCAAGCCATTGCAGGTAGGCGGCGAGATCAAAGCCTGTTCCGCGGAAGCGATCAACTCGCGCGGTCGACGTGGCCAAAAGTGAAGCCAGCGAAAGCTTCATGGCACGCTCAAAGGCTGTGAGCCAGGTATTGATTTTTTGGTCCTTGACCTGGACGGGATCGGCATAGGGCACAAGCTCGCCCTCCTTGCTTTCAATGCCCGCGCAAACAGCATTGTCGTTGCGAAGCACGATGCTGGTCACGCCCGCAAACATCTTCTTAAAGTGCTTCTGAATGCGGTCAACGTTCTTTCCGTTGCCAATAATGTCCAGAAGATCTTCATCGCCCACAAAGTAGAAGCGAGGGAAGGAGGCGCGCTCCTGCTCGAGATACTTGCTCAACGCCTTTTGGATATTTTCAAGCACGTCCTTGAGGTGGTCAAGCGTGCGGGGCAGATTCGGGATGTTCATCACCTCGACGACCAAGGGCTGCTTGGACACCTTGCGCATGAGGCCAACAAATTCGTTGCTGAGGCCTTGAAACTTGTTGGTTTCCACCGGCAGCAGAGCCTTGAGATCTGCACTGCCACTGAAAATGCCCTCGAGGTAGACCCATTTGCGCTGCACGTCAATCCAAACATCACAAAAGAGGGTGTAGATGGCGTTGAGCTTTTGTTCCCAGGCCACGGCTTCCTCCTCAAAGACCTTAAAGTACGCCGAGAGACGCATTTGAGCCAGATTGTTGAGGTGGTCCTTGGCCAGGGTGAAGAGGTCTTCCCAGCCCTTGATCAGCTTGGTCTTGTTGTGGTAGTTGACCAGCTCCAGCTCGTACGTCTGCCAGTCTTCCTTGATCTTCTTGAGGAACTCCTCAAGAGCCTTCTCACCCTGGGCCTGAAGAAGCACTTCCTGAAATTTGTGGGCATTGGCAAGGAGATCCACGGCCCAGACCTGACCGAGGGTGAGGGTTGCCATGTCCCAGTTGACCTGAAGGGCGCGAAGCAGCATTTTCCAGTGCCGAGCCTTGAGTGCATCACCGCGGAGGACGGCGACTGTCTCGTTCACCTTGAGGTGAGCGCGAGCCGCGTCCAGCAGCAGCTCATAGGCGGGATACGACTTGACGCGCGTGGGCATGGCTTTCATGTCGTCGATGAGGCCCTGCAGAGCTGCGCGAACCTTGGTCGGCACGACGGCACCCCATTCGGTGGAACGCAGCTCGTTCATCTTCTGCACAACCCGTGAGAGCTCGTTCCACGAGCCCTTGAGGTCACGCAGCTCCTCCAGTCGCGTCTCGAGGCGGTGATCGTCCTTTGTCTCAAGGTCAAGGGCCTGTTTGGCGTGCACAAGGCTCTCGTATTCGTCTTTGAGGCGTACAAAACGGCCCTCGAAGATTTGCAGGTGGTTGACGGCGTCGTCTGGACTGACGTCGCCGCCGGATGGTTTGTTGCGGTCCCAGTCAGTGACGAGCTCGGCAATCTGTGTTTCCAAGCTGCGCTCCTCGTCAACGATGCGCTTCTGCAGATTGACCATCTCGTCGCCGCAGGCATTCTCGCGGCGCTTCAAGATGGAAAGGAAGGCCTCCCACTCGCCGCTGAGCTGCTGGGCGCGGAGCCACTCGGCCGGGAGAGGGTAGCGTTGGCGCTCCAGCAGCGACTCGCTGTTGAGGCACTGGTCCACCAAATCCACATACTTGGCCACTTTCTTGCGGTTGCGCTGAATCAAGCTGATGTTTTGAATGCTGTCCTCGGTGTTGGTGGTCGACATGCTAATGGACTCGAGCTTCTCGCGCGAGGCGTGGATGTCACTGTAAAACGCTTGCATGGTCTCACCAACAAGGTGGGCAAAGTGGTTGATAAACTCGCGATGGATCGAGTCATACTTGAGCGCGATGCGTGACTGAACCTGGGCAAAGTCCACTTCGGCGCACCCAAAGCGACGAACGGTTTCAGAGGTGTCAAAGAGTTTGCGGGCCTTCTTGATGTCTGTCAGTAGCTCCTGCCAGCGCTCAAGGTCACCACCCAACTCTTGCACAATGACTTCCAGCTGCACATCCCAAAGGGTCTGATAGCCGAACCACTGTTGCACGTAGACATCAATAGTACGCGTGCGCTCCTGGATCATGGTAAACGCTTGAATGAGAGCGGCGCGTTCGCTGGGCAGCCGCACAAGAAGGTTGCCATAGCTGGCTTGGGTGCGCGTGGCCATGGGACCGGCGGACAGCTGTCCCGTGCTATCCACCACCACGCGGGGCAGAGAGGTAACGGCAGCCAGATAATCCTGCAGCTGGTGCATCAAGTCCATCTGGACACGCTCCATTGGAGGCTGCAGGGCGATGGTTTGGGCATGAAGCTGGAGCTCGTAGCGGTGGCTCTTGATGGATGGCAAGTCCTTGGTGCTGGCCTCGTCACTCTCACCCATGTCCCATTCAGTCTGAGGGCGAATGGCGGCCGTGAGCGCCCGGCACCATTGCTCGGTAGCCTTTTCCAGGCGGCCCACCAGGCGGGCCTCCAGACTGGCCTCTACCGCCTCAAACCAGTGCTGCATGTTGATGAAGCCGTCGGCCAGCATGGCTTGTACAGTGTTTTGCAAGCGATCACGCAACGCCTGGTCATTATTAGGCCACAACCCGGTGAAAAATACGTGAGGTCACAGTCGCTTTTTACAGGCACGTCATTCCATCCGATTGAGACAGGAATGGGACTGCCCCGAGCGGTCGCGAGGGGGGCTTACCGTCAGAGCTTGCGGGGTGAAGGGGCAGGTCTGCACTTCCTCAAGGACCTGTTGCACCTCGTTGTCACGGGCAAAAACCACCTCCGTCTTGTCCTCAAACTGGGTCACATCTGCCATCAGAACAAAGGCATACTGTTCCAAGTTACTAGACCAAGTGTAGTTGATGCCGGCAGCCAGATGCGACTGCACGTTGGCGTGCCACTGTGCAACAAGTTGATGCAAGTGGGGTCGCTCAGAGAGACGATCGAGGGTGGCGGTGTACGTCTTGACTGCGGCTTTGAGGCAGATGACAAAAGGGTATAGACCGTCCACCTTTTTGGCTTTGTGCGCTACGCCAAAGGGAATCTTATGATGCTTGAGGGCCTTGAGATTGCGTACCTACAGCAAGAAAGGCAGCAAGAGCCAGCGAGAGAAGGGGAGAGTTATGACATGGCGAGCTTTGGCTTAAAATACGCGGTTCCCACAAGAGGGTATCGTCAAGGGCAGCGATAGAGCGAAACAAGAAACCAATGGTGAAACAAACACTGGACCGGCAAGAAGGCAGGGGCGGAAGGAATGGTCATTTCAATGAAACGGAAGGCTTCATACCTCCTTTGCCATGGTGATGAGTCGATCGTGAAAGTTGACAAAGATTTCGAGACGAGTTTGCTCGCCGCGGAAGAGCTCAATGTCAAAGATGGGCTCTTCAAGAGCAGAATCACGGCTCTCGACATCAGCGAGCCATGCATCGTAAGGGTCGGAGCGATCAAGGCGACTCTTAAAGTAGTCTTGATCCTCTTTCAGCTCGCGGCCCTCGGCTTGTTTCTCCCAGTCGTCACCCAGCACGGATTTGACACGGTCCATGTACTGATCGAGCTGGCGCTTGATTTGCAAGGACCAGATGATCTGGCCTGACACGGGTGGGATGTCACGAACATGCGACATGTCCGAGTTGTTTGAGTTGTAGTAAGAAGCCTTGAACTTTTCGTGAAGATGCTTGATATCCTCTTTGACCTTTTTGATGAGCTCCTTTTGATAAGACCGAACGGCACCGCGGATGCGCTGGCGCACAAAGAGCGCATTGAATCGGTTGAAAATGCGAAACATTTCCGACGAACTCTTTGCTTTGCTTAGTTGATCGCTGAGGCGCTCGATGATGGTGGTTTCGACCTTGTCGATGCGGTCGCCGTACTTTTTCATGGCACGGTCCCAGGCCAGATCACCAGCCTCGGAGAGATCCATGACGTCGACCGTGCGCATTTCCTCATAGGCCAGTCGCACCTCCTCAATGGCATCGAGGTCACCCTCGGTCAAAAACGCTTCGTCTTCGTCGCCACTTTCGTGGTGGGCAAGCACTTTGCCGATGACAGAGGCAAGCTTGTGGTGTTCATTGCGAAAATCATACATCAACGTCATCTTGGCCAGAACGGGCTTGTGCTTGCCCTCTGATTTACGGACGTGATACTTGGTGGAGCGACCGCCTGCGCCGTAGCGCTTTTCTTCGGTCACCTTCTCGCGCAGCACGGTGCGCAAAGCGTCCGTCTACAAGGAGCACAGATGCAACGAGTGGTGAGGGCTGCCAGTGGTGTTAAAGCGGGAGGGGTTACTTTGTGGATGTGTAAAAAGTTGCGACCAACCTGCTCTTGCCAGGTCTTGTCAATATCCTTGAGCAAATCGTAGGTGCGCGCAAACTCGTTGATGCTGTGACGAATCGCGACGGGACCAAAGAAGGTAAGCGTGCCATCCAGCAAAACCCATCATGCCATGGAAAGAGATGCCAACACAATGGCATGGGCCAAAGTGAGTGGACCAAACAAAGCGCCATTCCAGCTTACTTGATGCCCCAAAGATTTTGCTGGCGAAGAATGAGGAGCAGGCGATCGGTAATCTCTTGGCCGATGAGGCTCTCCAGCGTGACGCAGCGCTCTACGGGGTATGAGACATGCTTCATCATCTTGATCATGTGCGTAAAAATGCTGATAATCGACTCCTGCAGAATGGCAAAAAGACAACCACAAAAGAGCCGCACAACATTGTCAAATAAGCTCCATGCCCACGCGACGTTGAGGCGAGATTGATCGTCAACCAGGACCCAGCGGTCCAGACGTGAAGCGGGGCTAGGATGTACGGTGCAAGCCACATACGCGAAGAGTGCTGAGTTCGGTAGCGGTGAGCATCTCGTTGATGGGAAAGTTGGACATCAGAGTCGCGTACTCCTTGACGGTGTCAGCGCGCGTCAGGTTGGTGTCAGAGGCGAAGCGCATGGGCAGAAGCTGGCGACCCGCATCCTTGAGCACATCAAGTGTCAGGGTAATGTCACGCCCATGAAGGCGTTCCTGAAGAGCCTCGAATCCGCTGGCCAGGCCTGGCCAGAAGCTAATCTCTTGACGGGCCGTACCAGAGGAGGGATCACGGTCAAGCATGGTGATTTTCTGAATGTCCGTGATCCACCGGGCCACAACACGTTCAAGGGATTTGAGAAAGTTGGGATCGGTGGCGCGCGGGCCGAGGTCGGCAACGGTTGCGGTACGACCCTGAGCCTGTGCGGCAGCCAAGGCCTTGGCAATGTCAGGATCGATGTGCGGCTCAAACTTGGGGATGTCTGTATCTTGTTGCAGGTGGGACAGATGGGTTTCGAGATCAACAACGGCCTTTTGAGCCTCCTTCACGCCATCTTTGGCACCCACATCCAGCGTCTTGACCACGGCGCTGAAGAAGGGGCTGATAAAGTTTTGCATCTGCACTTGCAGCGAACGAAAGGGGGACGCTGCAACGAATCGGTGTCAATGAGCACGAGTTGGGAGTAGGTGTGAGTGAGGCAGGGCCATCGTGACGCAGGCTGGCTCTCATCTCGATCGAGTCACACAAGGACAGAAAGCAGGAAGCAGGAAGCAGGGGAGTGTACCGTCGGCAAAGACGTGGATGAAAAACGCGTCCGGAAGCTCGCGGTCACGTGAGAGTGCAGTATCGGGATTGCGCTTCATGAACATGACTGACGTGAAGCCGCTACCTGGGTAGCCCACCTGTATTAGCGCGAGCGAGCATCAGATGGGCAAGGGAAAAGATGAGGAGTGGCAGTTTGATTTGGGATCTTGTAAAGTAGGGGGCGCATGAACCAACTTCAAATTCGACACGAATTTCATCCTCTGGAATGTCGTCGTCGTCACCATGATCCTCGTTGCCGGCGGCTGTGTGATCGCGTGTCATGGTGAGCATGTTCATGCGTGGTGTTGGTGATGAATGGGCAAGCGGATGGCAAATGAAGCGGTGCGAGCAGCAACAAACCATTGGTGTCGACCTGGGCACGCTTGTAGTGAATGACAAGCAAAGGCTTGGTGCTTTCGGAGATGAAGCTAGCTCAAAACGAAACAAAGCAGGAGAATAGCAAAAAAAAGCGCGACAAGCATGGCGTGAGGGGACAGACAAGAGGCATCTTCTGCCCGCTGGGAGATGGATGAAAGGATGTTGGGAGTCAAGGGATCAAGGGGCAAGCGTGCTCGGCAGGCGATGACGTACGGGCGTAGGTCTTGAATGCTGGACTGCAGGCTTGAGTAGAGCTTGCCACGCTGGCACGGAATGAGGAGGGGAACGACTTCGCACAAGTAGTCGAGCACCTCTGGCTCATCGTAGTTGGACAGATCAACACCGGCCGTGCGTTCCACCATGCTGCCGGTCAAGGCGGGTGGTAGGCGTGCGTGCGGAGCAAGAGGTCACAGTCACTGGCACCAGGACCAAGGGCCTGTCTCAAAGCCCACACGGGCAAGGTTATAGAGCTAGCAGCTGAAGGGAATGACAATCAACCTAGATCGTTAGGCCATTTCGTCTCTGAGGGACAAGGTTGGTTTCAGTCTCCTCGCCCTTGAACGTCCCCACCAAATGGCGGGGTGTCAACTTCTTGGAGACCTGGGGTGGGTGTCGCAGCCAAGCAAAATGGAGCGAGGATTCGAGTGCGTCAGCCCAGCAGCCGGCAATGCGTTGACGAGATCGGGGCGTTCTACTGGGCGAGATGCGCGACGTCGCCAGCCAGCCAACACACCTCGTCGGCCGTGGCTGGGCGGTGATCCAACCCGAGCCTCAAACCGTAATACCTAGATGATGGACCACCCGAAATCCGAGAACAGACCGTGAATCGTGGAATAAGCCGTGCACTGGCCTGACGCCGATTCATGCGACACACGGCACGCGGATGTGTCGTCCCAAACAGGTGCGTTGTGGGTTGTTTCTGTGGGTGCGATGTGTGGCAGCGTTGGGCTCAAGAGAAGCAGTCACACGTCTTTGTCAAAGTTCACTGGCGACGACCGACAACAATGGGACCAGGAGGCGGCTGCCATTTTCAGACGACCCGTCGCACAGACAGCAAGGGCAACTCGACCAGCAGAGACAAGAAGAGGAGACGAGGCGGATTCAGAGATACATCCAAGACACCGCAACAGAGGCGTCTAAAACCAAAGGCTTAAGCAGAGAGCTACACCCAAAGGAGCCGACACCAGAGAAGGGCACTGGAGGTGGAGATCGGAAGAGACAAGGGCAGTCAGTATACGTACGTTGAGGTCTCAACGGTCCAAACAAAGCAAATGGGTGCGGAACAAAAGGCTTTACAGGGCAAAAGCAGCCCGTCACACTTGCGATCATGGTCATCACACATCTAGTCACTGAACTCTAGTCTTTGGTACGTGTAACGTCACACATGTGTTCCACAGTCTCCACACGTGAAGACTGTGTACCGCTGTGTGGAAGCCGGAAAAAGTCTGACAGTGACGATTCGCGCTACCAGCAGTTGTGGAACGGTTTTTGTATACATTTCAAGCAAAGTTTTACCTGCCAAACACATACAAAAACGGTCAAGCGATGATAAGTAAAATACTTTTCAGATCGGCGGGGCGAGGGTTGAGCAGCGTGGCGGTGAAGTGGCGATCAGCACGGGACGGGACAGGGGGCAGCAAGGAAGTGGTGAGGCAAACGTGTGGATGCGTTGAATATTGGCGGCTGAAACAGGCTCCGTGAGCAGTTTGCATCAACGCAGTGCTACCTGTGGGCGTCGAATTGCCGTTTCCACCCATAGGATCATTCGGTCGAATTTAACTGTTACTCGTGGGCCATCATTATGTCATGCACTCATGCATGCGTCGCGAAGAACAGGAGCTGGAGGCTGTTCTTCTACCAGGGGAAGAGCAGCTCCAACGCAGCTCACAAGCTCGTCTTCTTGCCAAAACTCTTGCGTAAATCAAACACCATCACACACATGCATTCTCGATGGCTCCGGGCCACACTGTGGGTCTCCTCACTGCCATGCATAAATTTGATCCCGATTTCTCTCGCTTCCAACTCTGCCAGCGCACCACTGTGTAGTTTTACGCTGGTCACCCGATGCCTCTGGCCCTTGTTTCCGGTTTTCACATGTTTCGATCAGTCCTGATCAAAACCAGACAATGTACAATGATACTCTCCTTGGGATCATATGAATTCAGCCGCACATCTGACACACACACACACACACACACACGTTTGTCGGCGATGCCAATCAACTCTGCACCCGATCCCAATGCCATCCAGCTCCACCACACCGCACACACCTGAAGAATGAACACAATGTGTCAGGTAGATGTGAGCACCTCCCCACTCATGCAAAATTTTCTCTTTCTAGCGCTCTCCATCTCTAAATCTCTCTCTAAATCTCTAAATCTCTCTAAATCTCTCATCTCATCTCTCTCTCTCTCTCTCTCTCTCTCTCTCTCTCTCTCTCTCTCTCTCTCTCTCTCTCTCTCTGTAGCATTTAGTTTGTGGCGTTTTGGTCGGCGGGGCGGGTTGAGGTTTTGTCGTCGTCGGGGAGCGTCGGTCCAGCCCTCCCCAGTGAGATTGCATTTTTGGACAACCACAACCACAGGTGGAGAGACCGACAAGGATGGCCTCGCCTGGGAAGACGCGGTTTCCGCCGGAAATTTCGGAAAATTACGGTCAGCTCGACGTTTTGTTGCTGAGCTCTTTGAATGCCAACCTGCCGCAGTGCTCGGCCCGGGTCGTCACCTGACTCACGCATACACGCACACCTGCACGTGGGCCCTCTCTACCGCCCGTCTCGCCATGCCACTGCTTGCTGTATCGCCCGCCCCTTCGATGTGGCATGGGTGGTTGCATCGGGCGGGACTGTGAATGACGTTGTATTCAAATTAAACGCAGTGCTCAAGGAGACGGTCGGCACGGGTGGCTTTGCCAAGGTGAAGCTCGCGCGCCACCGCATGACCGGCGAGAAGGTGGCCATCAAGATCATGGACAAGGAGCAACTCAAGAAAACGGTACCCCATGCCCCCTGGCTGCTGCTCACGCCTTGGCCGTGCGTGCAAACCCCATACACACGTGCTGCGGCTCATCGCGCCAAACCATCGCCCATGCACACAGGACGACCTCAAGCGTGTGGCCCTCGAGGTGCAGGCGCTCTGTGATCTGCGTCACCAGAACATCTGCCAACTCTACCAAATGGTGGAAACCTCAACCCATTACTACTTGGTGGGTCCAGCCCCCTTCACGTCCGTGTCAATCCTCGGCACCTCTTGACAGCCCCTCTCTTATCCCTGATGACGTCCCTCGCCACAGGTGTTAGAGTATGCCCCGGGTGGCGAATTGTTCGACTACATTGTAAGTCGTGATCGCTGCAAGGAACCGGAAGCTCGCCGATTCTTCCAACAAATCCTCAAGGCCGTCCACCATTGTCACTTGCGAGGTACTTATGCCGCACCCAAGCCCCTGTGGCCGCACCCAAGCCCTGTGGCATTCAGACCGCCCCGATCAACCGCTTCAGCCTGACGCTGCATTGAATTTGCATTGACAACTTTAGGCTACGCACATCGCGATCTCAAGCCCGAAAATCTCCTGCTCGACTCGAAACACGTGGGTCTACCTCTCTTGCCCGTATTGGCACTTTTTGAATTGGTTGACGACGACCTTCGTCTGATTGACTCACTGGTGCATGACTTGACCGTCTACCCATCGACCTGGCAACTTTTCTTGCCGCTGAACGTATTTCCAGAACATCAAGCTGATTGACTTTGGCTTGGTGGCCCACCCCAACAAACTGCAAACGGATCTGTTGCGCACCTGCTGCGGCAGCGCTGCCTATGCCGCGCCAGAGCTCATTCGGGGCGAAAAGTACCTCGGCGAACCAGCAGACATGTGGAGCTTGGGCATCCTCCTCTATGCACTGCTAAACGGCTTTCTTCCCTTTGATGATGAGAACACCCAGCGTCTCTACCGCTTGGTCCAACGCGGCACCTATGAGATCCCCCCCTGGCTCTCATCAGAGAGCCAGGAGTTTATTGCTGCCCTTCTCAAGGTGTGGCGGCAAGCCTGTCCTCTCCCGATTTTTGCTTGCAGAGATCTTATGGGCATGCCAACAAGCCAGATCACGCATCTTCCACCCGTTCATTCTGCTTTTCCTTCTTGCCCCACCCTCCTCTTTTGCAGTTGAAGCCGGAGGAGCGCCTCACCATGGAGGAAGCACTGTCTCATCCCTGGGTCACAAAAGGTGCGCGAAGTTTTGAGATTTCTGCGCCGATCCACGTTCAGTCTCGAGCTCCAGTTTCTGCTTCATCTCATGACCCCGCGTCTCGTCACAGACCTCGATACCAACCAGCTTGACCCAAGCTCGACGCTCGAGGTATGTGACGTGGTACCGGCCGCCTGGCTTGGCATTCCTGCTTTGGCAATCCTCATGACGATTGAAACGCAGCAATCTTTGGATGACCATGTGATTGAGGAATTGGCCAAGTACTACGGTATTTCTAGCGTTGACATGGAAAACTGGATCGAAGAGGTAGGACCAGCACAGCGCCCAGGCCCGGTTTTTTTGTTTTTGTTTTTGTTTTTTATTCTTCTTCGGAAGGAGGATGTTGTTTGTTTGCCTTTTTTGATTATTTTTCCGGTTTTCCCTGACTGTGCTCGCTTGCCATTTTACTCGCAACAGTGGAACTATGACCATGTGACCGCCGAGTATTGCCTCTTGGAGCTTCGTCATTTGAAAGGCCATCACATCCGGTGCGTGTCGCCTTGCCACAGCCTGTGGTGCCAGGTGCAGAAGAGATCCCTCATACACGACGTGTGCCATACTACCACCCATGCAGCCTGCCAACGGATAAAGGCAAACTGCCTTTGGAAAAAGCCCAACAGCTGCGCAAAGCACGCGCATCGTTGGGTAGCCATCGTTCCTCGTACGCTCGACTCGTAACCTGCCAATCCCACTCTGCTTTCTTCACCATGGACCTTTGAAACAACCCATCTCGAAGGCAAGCATGCTCTTGCACTCACTCGCCTCTACGTGCACAGATTGGATGTGCCCCTTAGTCGTCAGACGGCCCAATATGGCTCGAGCCTGGCCATTCATGCCAGCAGTAATGGCGATGTGCAGTTTGGCGTGGTATGCTACCTCGCTTCGCATTTTCCCACCCAGACAATCCTCCAAACCCCAATGACGCGCCACAGCAAAACATGCAATTGTGCTGAAAACTGTGCATTGCCTGATGATTCGGGGCTTTATGACAATGGCCCCGGTGCCACCTCTAGACTTCTGGGCCGTACATGCACCCGCCCGGCTCTGTGGAAAACCTCACTTCGGGGCATGAAAACTCGAGTATGAGCAGTATGAATCCGGCCGTCACTCGACTGCAGGTTGGTTTGGCATGGCACCACCGCAGTTTGATGTTTCCCTTCTCTTGATGCGACGACATCTTCCTTCAACTCACGTGGCACGTACCTCCCAATGCAGATGGATTCATCCAATTTGGCCGCCATGACCGCCGTGTCAGGCTCACTGGTTTGTTGGCGTCTCATGCATCCTCTTGGTCGTGCATCAATCTTTGGGCATGCCGCTTCAATGTGTCACGGGCATGTTAACGCATCACCTGTCACACAACCTTTAGAATCAGCTCAATCTATCTCGCAGCGATGAGGAAGCATTGAAAAGACACAAGTTTGTAGCCTCCACCTGAACGTGGTCCACGTGATTGGTGCGATAATGACCCGGCTGTGCTCATCTCCCATGGGATTTGTTCCTATAGTTCTGGGCCGATCATGTCTCCACGCAAACAGACTTCATCACATGCGAGCTCGCATGAGCGCCCCTCATTGAATGAGAGTGCGCTTCGTCAGCAAATGACCCAACAAGTCAATGTAGACGAGGAGGCTCCCGCAGCACCGGCCGAGCGACGAGTACGCGTTTGACTCTCCACAGGCCTAGTCCTCACTGCAGCGCCGTTTGACCGTGCTTACTATTGTTCTCACTTCCCCCTTGCGGTCATCTCTCTTTGCCCTTAGCGCACGAGCTGGTTTGTGCGAAGCTTAGCCAACATCTTTGGCAGTTCACAAAAGTTGTCCGGGCCACGTGTTCTCAGCCAAGCCAAAAGCAACACGGTCGACAACGTGTCCACGGCACCTGCTGAGCAGGTCTATGACCGCATCCAAGATGCCTGTGCAGCTCTAGGACTCGAGTGCAAAGAGCAGCGACCCTTTTTGTTGCGCGCCAACACCACAGACAAGGCCGTAGCCTTTAATGTCGAAGTGTGCCAGCTGGCTGATTCAGAGCTGCGCGTTGTCTGCATGAAGCGTGTCAAGGGTGATACTTTTCTGTACCAAAAGGTATGATCCACATGCCTCATCTGCGTGATGGCCCTTCAACACCCTGAGTCGCTCCCCATGCTCATTCATCCACGCCTGCAAACAAACGATGCAGGTTCATGATGACTTTTTGGCCGAATATCACTACAAAAAGGCGCCCCCGACACCAGCCAAGTAGAAATGTTTGGGAGTGGCCTGTCTGTGACGGCACTCCTCACGCTTGACTGCCAAACCCGATGGACGCACGTCGCTTTGTTGTTTCTTTTCCTGCATGCAAATTATCGACTCTGTTGGTTCCGCTTATGGCGTTGGCGCAATCTTGTCTGCGTCCTGTCCCTTCGTTTTCTGGTTGATGTTTGTATCCCGCTTCATCTTGTTTGATCTTGGTCCATTTTCTCAATTTACCCGACCCGACCCGACCTGACCTCGTAACCATCCTCGCTCCCAGAGGCCCGCAATCATCACGCACGGCCTTGGTGCCACACGGATGCAAGCAAACTTTTTATGCACATCGAATGACTGTGTTCATTTATGTTCCTTTCAGTCCGCAAAAACGTCATCCAGAGTCAGGCTTTCGTGTGCAGCGTGTGCCTGCCCCGCGGCGTTTCTGGGTAAAGTGATCAAGCCATCATGGCCGCCACAGAACGCAAAAACCTGCGCAAAAAATTCGTTCGACTACAGAACAAAAGCATTTGACAGGTCTTTGAGCCGTGGCACAAGGGTTGTGGCGAAACAAGGTGGCTTCAGTATGCTACACAACCTACCTGTAACGTTCTGCGTGATCCCACCATCAGCAGCTTGGTCTTGGACCGAGTGATGGCCACATTGAGTCGTCGCCAATCAGCAAAAAGCTCGCCGACGCTGGCGTTGATATTTTGCCGTACAAACCCCACCAGTACAACATCCTTATCGCGTCCTTGATAGCGATCCACTGTGCTAACCTCCACCTAGAATCAGAGCAACGAGGCAATGAGATGCGGTCATCGGCACGTGGCGGTGAACAACCACCGACAGATGGGCGTGCACATCGCAGGGAGTCGCAAGACACGCATTGCATTAAACCGGTCTCAGCCAACCCCCCCACACAACCCAACTCCCTAAAGAGGCCGGCACAGCAAGTACATTTCTGCAAAGACCTACATGCGCGTCTACACCGTGCTGCACGAAAAGACGGCGAATAAGAGCTAGTTGGGCTCGGTATGGCACAATCACGCCCAGCTCGTTGACGTCCACGCCCAGCGCCAACAGTATTCTACGCAAAGAACCAGTGAGCCGTGCAACCAACGTTGACAAACAAAGACAAGGATCAAATTTGATTGGCTTTAACTGCTACGTACGCAGTCAAATGGGTGAGCAGGAGGGCCTCCCCCATGTTTGTGACGGCCTTTTGCTCGCGAGCTTCGCCAAAGGCCTCACACCCATCGGTATCAAGGAAGATCAAACCACGCTGCGGATCAAGACTTTGCTGCAGCCAATCGGGCTGCCGCGCCAAGCGAGCATGGTCCCAGGCTGGAGCGATGCCAGAAGCGGGGGTTGGTAAGCCACACTTCATCTGACGATCATAAAAAAGGTGATTTGCCAGGTCCATTATGACGGGTGCCATACGATACTGAGTGGTCAACTTCAGCAACGCCGTGCCATGCGCATCACAGAGACGCTTGAAGAGACTCAGACCGAGCCCCAACTTCCTGGCTTCAACCGAGTGCACGAGCGGTGGCAGTTGAAAGTGGTCGCCCACCAGGACGAAGCGATTGGCGTGCTGAATGGGCTGCATCGTCACCGCCTAGCCAAACCCGCCCCACGTCACATGTGTGAGCCGTAAAAGCTTTCTCGAGACATGCATTAAGGAGTCGCAAACAATGGAGTGACACAAAGAAACGAGAGAAATCCCATGCCGCACAACAGGGTTCACGCGTGCTCAAACGTACCTGTGAGATCTGAGAGGCTTCGTCGACGATGCATACGTCAAATCGATATTTGTCCAGAACCACGTGGTTTGCACCAAGGGCAGTCGCTGCGACCACTTGGATCCGGCCATACAGCCGCCGAAGATCAGCCACCGAGGTGCAATCGGCGGTCAGCTCGCTGTCTAAGAAAGGATGTACTTTGGGGTGCACGCTATCTCGACGCCCAAGACGCAGGATGGGAATACCGGTGTCCATCAACTTGAGCAAAATGTTGTCGACCGCAGAGTGAGTGTACGCTGTCAGGAGCACACGTTGATCTCGCGCGACCAGAGCCTGCACGGCCGCCGCGATGAGGGTTGTTTTGCCCGTACCAGGCATGCCTTGAACCAAAAGGTAGTCCTCAGCACGAAATATGCCCTGCACCACAGCCTGTTGCTCTGCATTGAGGCCCAGGGCACTCAGCTCGGTGGCAAGCGCATCGCGCTCGGCAGTTGGGAGCGGGACGAAGCGGGGTGCCTTGAGCTCCATTAAAAGCTCGCTACGCCGGCGATGAAAGGCGCGCGGGCCTGCCCCTTGGGTGTGCTGGGAATTAGCCATCGAGTTCTTAGACTCAAAAACAGGCAAGCCCGACACGAGCAAATCTGCCAACGTGCCCAGCTGAGCCTTGACGTGCAAGCCGCGAACGAGCTTGTCAAGACGGTACTGGCAGTCTTGGCTGTGCGCAGCCAGCCAGCGCTGGGCAGAGGCCGATGCGCTTGGGTGCTCAGCGTCTAGCTCGTCGTCTTCCAGACCACCATCTTCCGCAAGCCCAAGCAGGCCTTCTTCTACGGCCACGACCACCAGGGTTTCCTCCGCGTGCAGAAGAATGCCCGTCGTAATGGCAAAGCGAACGGGATCGAGGCAGCTGATGACCACGCCATCACCCACGACAAGGTGGGCTGTGGCCGAGCCTCGCAACGAGCGAGTCACAGCCGCATCAACGGCAAAAGTATAAGTGTAGCGAAAGCGCGCGCGGGCGTCCTGGATTCCCGTATTCTTGATAATGGTGAGAGGTGCGAGGGTAGTACCCGCGGCCAAGGCCTGAGACAGAGGCACGTTCCAAAGATCAGATTGCTGTTCGCGGTCATTGCATGCCTTGGTCTCGTAGGCCAATGCTTCGGTGTAGTTGCGGAAAAACTCGGCGTGGGCAGGCCCGAGGTGACCAGTACGACGCACAAACTCGTCGCCAAGGCCGCTCGTTTCGGGTGTACCATCCTCGAGCAGGGCATGGACTGTACAGCACAGATCGAGGCTAAAGCAGCGACGACACTCCGATGGAAGGCGCAGCATGTCCGGGAAGCGCACGGCATTTCCCAGGGAGCTGGCCAGCTCGTTACGTGCTAACATGAGGTGTCGAAGCTCGTTGTACTTGATGGGGACCTGGATGAGTTCATTGCCGCGAAGGTAGTGAAGGAGGCCCACATCAATGGGCCGCTCCAACTCGGAGAGCATCAGAGCGTAAAGGATCACCTGTGCCCGATGCTCTGCGCGACCACCGGCCATGGGTTTGCCAGTTTTGAGCTCCAGGGGTACGCCCAGTCGAACGCCTGCGTCCTTCTCAGGCACGCCGGCACCGGCTGAGGAACGTGCGGCTGGCGAAATGTGAATGTGCACGGTAGCGTCAATCTTGCCTTTGAGGCCGAGTCGAGGGGCCCAGCAGTTCTCCTCAATGTCCACAAGGCGGGTGATGGCCACATCCGGTTCAGCCTGAGCATCAGCCCGATGGGAGAAGGAACAGGCAGTCACTCTGGGAGTAGAGCGTGCAGGTGGTGGGCTGGCTGGTTGCACATAGCGAAGGCCCCACTCGGCAATGAGTGGAGCGTATTTGAGCAGCTGCTCGAGCATGCCGCGCTCACTTTGGTCGACGGCAAAAATGTCCAGGAGATGATCATCGATGGCATTGCGCAGCTCTTGATGGATGCGTGGAAGCTGGAAGTCATTGGCGGCCAGACAACACTGAAAGGCGATGTGAAGCAAGGTGCCCACGACCATGGGCTCGCTTCGCAGGTCGAGCGATTGGAAGCGCTCGGCAAGAACGGCGCGACGGGTACAATCAAAAGAGGAGGCGACGCGAGTGGCGGAGAGCAGACGATCAGGTTCCACCACAAGAAGGCGGGCGTGATGATTGTCGAGCACAATCTGATCCCCCTCCCGAACGCTGCTGGGCTCAAAGGGCACCAGCTCAATAATGGTGCCCCGCTCGACGGGTGAAAAGTACCAATCCTCGCGCAGCAGAACGCAAAAGCGACGGCTAGTTGCAACAGCCTCAACGGCCAGCCGCTTCGTCGGCAAGCCGCCGGCAGAAGGGGCTGCAATTTGAGTCACACTCAAGACCCTGAGCCGATGCACAAGCAAATCCGTGTGACCAGTGGTTGGTGTGACGTTGGAAACATGGGATCGATCAGCATTGTCGGCGTGGGCCTGATCTGGAGCCGATGCCAAAGGCGGGTTTGAGGGCATGGCGTCTTGCACGGGCACCCGGCGGGTGCGCCCTCGTCGGCTCGGCGACGATGCAAAGAGCATTTGGCTGAGGGCCGTGCTTGACAAAAGTTCGGCATTGTCTGAGGAAGGTATGGAGGCTGAGGTTTGAACCTCCATCTGAGAAGTGATGCGACGCACGAGGGTGTCTTCAGACAACAACGGTGGTTTGCCTGCAGCAGGCTGAGGGTGGAGATGCTTTGGCGGATGCGCGTGGGCTTGCTCGTGGTCATCCAGAAGGTCAAGGATGCTGTCCTGTGATGCGATGATAACGCCAGTGTCGGCCGGTTGCTCCACATCGCCAGCGCCTGGGATGGAGGAGTGAGGCTTGCTGGGATCAGCGGGTGCCGCCTTGGCACCAGCTGCACGGATGGCAGTCAAAGAATGCGCGGCGGGGGACGGATCGATGCGACCAAACAGTGGAGCCGGACTCGTCGGGGGCAGGGGGCCCTGCTTGGCCCCGTGGCCGTGGTCATACTGTTGCAGCAGTTGATTAAGCTCATTCTGGCTTCCAGAGCCCAACAGGTGGTCGAGACTTCCCTCTGAACCAGGACTCGCCACGGCAAGGGTCACATCTTGTCCCAAGATGCGTCGATGTCTGGGGCTGCTTGGATGCCCCGCAATTTGGACAGGTGATCCCTGCAGCAGCGGAGGCGAGCTGTGGGCCGCTGGGCTCTGCTGCTTCGATCGCTTCTGGCTCGGTGAGGCGCCTAGCCAACAGACAAGGTACAAAAGAGGAGTAGCAGCCCCTCCCACAAGAAATGAGTGTCATCTGTTTGCCCTGTACCTTTTGGCATTGGAAAGCAGCATGGCGAAGGCCGAGTCTCACAAACCTGGCGAGTGTGCGGGAGCCAGTGGCCACATGGTTCTTGAATCTTCGACAGCAGCGCTCGTCGGATGTTCCTGCTTCTTCTCCTGCTTCTTCTTCCTCTCCTCCACGCCTGCCCCAACAGCAGTTGCCTCACCCAACCTGGTTGGAAATGACATGGCACTGGCTCTACTGGCCCTTCCTTTCAAGCAAAGCTCGGCCAAAGCCCTCCATCCCGCGCTGCCATTCAATCGCACACAAACAGCTTGTGGCAACAGCACAAAACCGTTTTTTTTTTCCTCTCTCTCTCTCTCTCTCTCTCGTCGTGCTTGTGTGATGAAGTTGATGAACATTGTCAGCATGTCAGCGAATTTCGCATGTCAGATGATTAGGATGGCTGCAAGCAACCTCCCTTGCGCCAGCGCCAAAAAAAAAAAAAAAAACAGTTTTTTGGCGCTCTCTCTCTCTCTCTCTCTTCTGCACTCTTTCTGTCTCGTCGCTCTTGCCCCGCTTTCTCGTTGCAATGGCGGGGGTGGGTAAGCAGCTGTTGCTGCACAATCTGCGGCCGGTACGCCCGTGTCCAGGCAAAAGTGCTTGGTTGGATGCTGCAGTTCCAGGTAATGTGGTGTTGCAGGCACGGAATGGCATCGCATGTGACTGGCTTCACTGAGCTATGGTCTGTGCTTGTAGGGCCTTACACGACGATGCGCACCATCGACGGCACTCGCATCGTGGAATTCCAGACACACGTCGATCGCATTGGTAGGTATATTCGGGACTATAGATGGCTCGCAAGTGTCACGCTGCGGCCATGGCCGACGGTAAATACTCACACCACGACCACCCCGCCACTTTGACGGACCTACGGACGTGGGCGTGCAGCGCAAACCACGCGCACTCTGGCTGAGGACATTGCCACGGGCCGAGACCCCAAGCACCGGGTTCCCCTCGCCTCGCACTTGGTAGACACACTGACGGACCAAGGAGCCGTTCGACAGCTCGTGCTTGAGCACGCGCGCCAAGCTCTGCAGCATTTTCACGGGCCCTGTGACACGAGTCAGGCCGTGCCAGACACCCGCCTGACGGTTCTGGTCAACTGGGAGGCCGATGCTGAAAGCGACAAACACATGGCCACGGCATACAACGTCGATGTCTTCGTAGAGGCCCTCCCCCCACGGCCTAGCCAGCCTGTCTCGGTCATGCTGCGACGCCAGCCCGACTCGATGACGACAAAGGAGGGCAAGGATAGCAAGTGGATTTCTCAGCGCAAATACTTGGAAGCTGAGAAGGGCGAATGCAACGAGGTCGTGCTGGTTCGGGACTCAGGGGCTTGCGTTGAAGGCACACAGACCAACTTTTTCGCCCTGCAACGCCAAACCCTGCTCACTGCCCCTGACCAGGAGGTGGGTCCCTCCAGCCGTAGCGGTTACGGTACCATTTGCGTGTTCAAAGGCCTTTGCCCATCGCATTTTTAGAATTTCAACGACCTGTCCATTCTGTCTATAGGTGTTGCCGGGCACGATTCGAAAATTGGCCCTCGCTGGCGCCCAGGCCTTGGACGTGGCCTTGGCCATGCAGAGCCCCAACCTGCAGGCTATTAGGTAGGCCAATGCCGCACGCATGGACGTCGCCTTGCGCTCTCGCTCAAAAGAACTGCTAGATATTGACATTAACGTGCTCCGACGCAATAGCACTTGGACATCGGCGTTCTTGAGCTCGACCTCGCGCCTGGTGCTTCCCATCAATAAGGTGATTTTTGTCTCATCACATATGCGTCGGCCGCTCATACCCGCCATGATCATGCTCACTGGTGCCAATGACCGTCGCGGTGTGTGGCCGATGGAAAAACAGATTGTGGTCCACCCTGAAGTGCAGGCTGCGTTCCCCGAACTGCAGTTGCAAGACATCTACCAATTTGACGTCGACCCTAGCATCGAACGTCTAGATAAGGTAGGCCCACACAATGATTGCCACGAGAGTGGCATGGCCATTGAAGATGAAGAACTGTGCACAGGCGCCTTGCTGTTCACTTGTTTGTATAAATGCGCGTCTGCCGGTGTATCAGTGGGTGCAGCAACACTTGCGCGATACCGCAGAATCGGTCTCGTTGGAGCCCTTATCCTGAGCTCCTCCCGGCTGGGAAACTCGGCAAACTCCGCCGCAGTTCCATAGCTGGTCAAGGCATGGGACTCGGGCTCAGTCCTTTCTTTTCTGCGTGTACGTTGCGATTTGGTGTGGATTGCGGGCCGCACCGCCATGGATGCCCGGTGATGCGCGTCCCGTACGAAGCAAAAGCGAAAAATGAAAAACAATCAAGACGGTGTCAGTGTACTAACATGTTAACAGCTGATTTACATGTTAATAAATTAATTGGTTGATTATTAAGTTGAACCCTGAATTTTCTCGAATTAGATGCGCACCCCCAGATGCGCTTCGTGTGCCTGACGATAAGACAATGCGGTATTTACAAGCAGCAAAAGCGACTTTTGCCTTGACCGAGGTGGCTCAACTTAGGGCAGAGTATCCAAGTCAAAATATTAATGGGTCAAATTGGAAAAAAAAAATTAATTTTATCATTTTATTTTGGCTGACGCGCTGATTCAAGTCAACTATGCCTCTCACGCATGCGTATCAAAGTGTAATCTGGCGAAAATGAAATAAAGAAGATATGCACCACCGAGTTTACTCCAAGCCGAAGCCTATTGCATTTTCAACCGCTTGCAAAAGGCGCTCGCGCATCTGTATCTCAAAGGAGAGCCGGTGTGGTGGGTGAGGTGTGCGAGGAGTGCGATGAAAACAACGCCTGTCGATGCGCGGTTCACACACCTGGTCTTGCGAATCGTAAGGTGGAAGATCGATGCGATTAAAACAGGTGTGGGCGCGAGGCAACCCATTCCGGACAGCATTCGGCACCGTTTCAATAGTGAACAATTTTGGTCCTTGGGCGCCCTGGCAAAGAGCGAGCGAGACACGGGGATGAGGTGGGCGAACTTGGGGCAAGAAGACAAGGTAAAGAAGCGACTTCAAACGTACCCGAAGATCGCGAAAGCCCGTCACTGGTACACGCGATGTGCCGGTCACAAATTGCAACACGCGCGCGCGCAGCTCCGTGTCAAACGACCGGAGCACGTCCCAAAACCAGGCAATCTGCAGATACATTGAAGCCAAGAATGAGCTGGGGTTCGTCTCGAGGCTATCCGAGCGCAATGCATTTTTTGTTTTGGAGAAAAGACGGGTAATGACACACCTGTTCATCCGTGGGCTCGCAATGCCGATATTCTGTGTTGCTGCTCCAATCTCCCACATCAATCTCGCCCAGACCGCAAATGATGAGCTCCAACTCGGCCTCATCGAACATGCTCACGTAGGCATGAGGGACAACGTCGTTAAATCCTTGCTTCAGAGCCTTGACCTACGTCAACCCGCAAGCAGCCACAACGGTGAGCCACAACAAAGCGACACGACACCCCTTCTTTCGTTCTTGTTGGTTCAGATAGAGACATTTGACGGGGGATTTACCTGCTCCTCAATGCCAAAGTTGAGGCGATGGCGCACGATGAGCTGAACATATTCGTTCTTGTTGCTTTCGGTCACAGGCAGATCACTTCCTCCCGGTTTGAGCTCAATCGTCTCCTGAACGCCAAAAGCGTCATACTCATCGACAAAGTTGTTCTCAATGATGCCAGTGATGTCGTTCTCCAACATCCAAACAAGGCTGTTGTAGAACATCTCGTCAACGTGTGCCATGTCGTCCAGCGTTACTGGCTTGCCCAAGAGATGTTTGTACAACGGCATTACAAAACCGCCGTCCACATAGTGGCCATGCCAGACGGCCAGCCCCAGGACTCGCCCCACCATGGCAAAGTAGGAGAGATGGTCCGGATTGATGGCCGAGTTGGGATTGATCTCCAGAAGCTGCGCATCCGACGCGCTAAACTGGAAGAGCCCATAGTAAGGGTTGAGCATCTCCTTGGATAGCAGGAAAAACCACTCGCGTGTCACGCCGCCGTAGTCAAGAGCTGCCTCGCCACGGAAGGATATGTTCAGCTTGGCCTACGCCAGATTAGAGCGAACACAGACGAATTAATGAACCGATCCCGGGACTACAGCGCCGGTCGCACGTATAAAAAGGAAACAGCCAGACAAGCGGTACAACATACCCGTAATTGCACCGAGGTCATTTTGGTAATTGTGTCAAAGCTGTCTTCAAAGAGATGGTCGCGGCGCACTCGAATCTCAGTGCCCTCCATGCGGTATTCCCGGTCTGATAAGCGCACGCCGTATTTTTGTGCATCCTGGAAAGACACAAGACACGCAGCCATGCAGGCATCACCCCGGTCAGACAAGTGCTTTAAAACAAACAAACTGCGACCCTTTTTCGGCTGTGTTCAGGCCCAAGGAATTGCTTACCTTGTCTTGCTTGTGATGTACGAGATGGCGGAGCTTGAGAAGTTTGCGGCGCAGATCGCGCTTGTATTGAGGCAACTGCGCTTCCTGTGACAGTGCCTCTTCGCGACGGCGACGTTCAGCTTCTTGACGAGGGTCAGTAAACTATGGTTGAGCAAGGCGGTCGAGAGGTGGGTAAGACTGAAGGCAAGCGATGCATTTGTAACAATCGGAGGAGCAAAACGGCTGCAATGCGTGCGCGCATACCGTAGTAGATCGGTTGATGTGGTCAACATAGTAGGGGCGTCCGCTGGCCGTGAAGCGCTGCTCCCAGCCAATGGGAAATTCGCCTTGAGCGTCTTCAACCACAAACTCGGACCAGTGGCGGCTGAGCGGATTAGGTGAGCCGGAGACGAGGCGCGAGCGGCGGTGTGGAGGCTATCATTCACAAAGAATGGCGGTGAGATAGCGCCAGAGTGAGACAGCAAGAGGGCAGCGCGGTCATGTTGCACGGAAATGGTGGGTATGGAGAGTGTTGCGCACCGTTGTGGTGGGAGTTGTGGGATTGCTCTCAAACGAGCTGCTGGGTGCCAAGGCAGCTGGAGATCGAGGCTCACTGAGCTCGACCACGCTGTCATCCAGAGAAGGAGCAGGGCTTTCTGCCTGCTCCATGATCGTGGAAACAGAGCGTGGCAGTGGACGTGTGGGGGGTGTGGAGACGGGAGAACCAATCTCGTCGGGAAAGCCAAAGTTGTCGTCTGCAGCCAGCAAGTGAAAGCGTGAGAACAAATAAACAAAATATTGTGGGCTGAGTGGCTTTGCAGGTGAGGATGAGGCGCACTGGGCCAGGCAGCACCCGCGAGGACGGACCGTCTTGTTGAACGTCCAAATCAGAGACGAGAAGGGAACGTCGCTCGTAGGATTCGAGGCGGCGAATCGAGGCATTCTGAGCCTCATCAACGCTGGCCTCAGCCTCTTCTGTAGGTTTTTGCCATTGCGTCGTGCGCGTGATGTGGTTGGCATAGTAAACTTCACCACCCGGGCTCAGCCGCGCTTCCCACCTGAGTTCCAGAAACGACATGTTCCAAATGAAGCTATGACAATGTTTATATGCGGCCCCCTTTTTTGGGCTCGGACATGGCTGTGTGGGCGCGCAAAGGAAGAAGAGAGAGAGAGGGTAGGAAAAAAGACGTACCCGGTGGGCAGCGATTCACGGAGGAGTTGGAGAGTGTGTGCCGAGGGCTGCGGGCGCGATCGACGGCGGGGTGTGCCGTGCGAGGAGCGACCCGTGGCGCGCATAATCTCGCTGCGCGAGGCGTTGAAGGAGGCAGTGCTCGCCGGGCTGGCTGTTTCCGAGGCGATGGCAGATACAGTTGCGGACGAGGTTGCGGATGCAGGCTCAATTGAGCCACCACTACGCCGACGCAATGAGTTGGAGCGGCTCGAGGTGCCAGCGCGTTGCGGACTAGTGGCAAAGAAAGGGTTGGAATTGGATGCGCTGTTTGCTCGCGAACGCCATGTATCCTCGGGAATGGATTCCATCTGAGGAAGCCGGCCGAGGGGGCTGGGTGAGACGCTGCAGCGCAACCCCGACACCCACGTTTGGGGTTGGCGAGTGCCAATTGTTGAACCAAGCAGCATACCGCAACGGTGTCGGTGAGATTATCGACTGAGAAGGCAGCCTGCATTTGACTCGAGTTGCTACTGTGAGCGGAGAGGCTCCGGGCGGGCTCCTCGTGCGAAACAAAGTGGGCCAAAGACCCAGAGGCAGCGTCCTGTGAGCGGGTTCGCGTGGGGCCACGTGGAATGGGCCCCGCACTTAGAGTGCTCGGGCTGGCGGCAAGCTCTGGACTCATGGCTCTGGGTAGATTGTGAAGGGCAGGCGAAGCACCGAAGGCAGGTGAGTGAGGTCGGCAGTGGTGCGAGCAAGTGTTGAAACGAGCATACAGAAGTACAAAATCGAGAAATCGAGAGCCCAGGTTCATGTCGTACGGAGGAGTGGCTTGTTGTGCGGTGAACATGAGGGAGTCACGCGTGTGCCGGTGCATGAGCCGATGAGGCCTGTGATGGGCGCAGCCGGCTTGAGCTTTTTAAACGGGATAAGGTTCGCATCAGGCGGCTGGCTGAAGGAGCTGAGCGCAATGTTATGGGACGAACCGTCCAGGTCCGGAGGAGCCCAGATCAAACGCGGAGCGTCGCGGTTCTCCGGGTGAAGAGGCGGCACCGGATCCAGCGGATCCTGGGCGTGTTACGAGCGGTTGTCGGCGCTAAAGAGCACGGGTCAAGCAGCTATGACGTGAGGGCACGAGTTGAAGGCGCCTTGCCAATTGTTTGACCAGTGCGACACCAGTGCGACGACGTGTTACTGTGTCCAAAGAAGAGGGGCTGTTTTTGCTCGCGTACAATTTCAAATGTCACGTAGATGGTGCCGGCTGCCTCGCCATCGTACAGCACTTCCAAACTTTCGTCTGTGGGGTGACAGAGGAGCAGCACACAGTGAGAGGGATGGCAAAGCCGGATGCAGCCAGAGAGGGGGCATGGCAGTATCGCACTGTATTCTTGGTGCGCCACGCGTTGTCGCAGGAAGTCTAGGGGTAGGATGACGCGGCCCATCAGGCCCGTGTGCTCTTTCCGGCTGTATTTGCGCCAGTTGTAGATGGAGAGGCGCATGGAGGACGAGGGATAGACGTGGCTGTGGGAGCAAGCGTTGAGGTGGGTGAGCGGAGCGGTGAGGGTTGGACGGTCTCCTTTCCGCTTTCGAGGTCAGCAAAAGGCTGCACAGATGGATGGGGTGACGCACAAGTTGAAGGCTTGGTTCCAGACGGGGGTGACGGTGCGCTTGGCAGGTTTTGAGGAGAGGCGTTCATGACCGCAGGTCAGGACAACAAAAGGGTCAGGTGCACCTGCAAT